ATGGCTTTGAGTCGGTACATCAAACTGTTATTCTTTACTTTCTACATTGAGCCGAAGTATGCAATTTTTCCCTTTCACTTTCACAAACCATGTCCTTCTTATCGTCGTGCATAATAAATTAAGGTGATGGGCTGCCTAAACCCAAATGATTGACTGTTTTGATCTTTTGCTCTTTGATCTGGCGTGGAAAACGAAAATCTGTAGCAGATGATAGTATTTCTTCCATCAAAGAAAAGTTAATATAGAAAATTACATAAAACGCCTAAATCTTTTGTGCCAACAATAAAGGAGTAAAGGTGCTGTTTATATTCAATACATCATCCAGAAAATGGTACATTTCGATCAAGTGCAGTAAGCCGAATCACACGTCTCATACTACAAACGCTAACAACAATCGATTGTACAGCAAGCTGTGATTAAGACTGTCCTAAGGAGCACGATTCATCAACAAGGTGACAGAGTATGAGGCAAAACAGTCGAATAGGGGGTGCGAAATTTAGGGGTGTATCAGAAATTGGTGCAGGAGGGGTAATTAGATTAAGGCAGACCTACCTAGGGCCTCACGTGGGTTGAACAATTTAGCCACCATCTGTTGACTATTTAGTATTCTATTAGCCATAAACGACAGATGGCAACTGCATGCTAGAATCCCATGTGAAACGTTCCACAAAGAAGAGCGCTGCGGTTCGCGCAAGATTTGTTGTATTCTCTCTCCACTTGGCCCCATTGCTTAGTCTTGATTTGCAATGTGACTCTATTAATAACCTAAACACACAGCTGTGGTGCTGAGAGAAAAAAATGCTGCTGATTTAATTTGATTTTAAAAAGATTTAAATGGGTATAAATTCTGAGTGAACAAGAGAAGTTAAACACTCATTGAAGGGTGATCACTCGGTGCGAGCAAGCATCAACTCACATTCGAAAGAAAACTTGACCGCAGGATAATTACTGTTGAAACTTCTGACCACAAGGTATCAAACTCCAGATCGAACAACGCAATTTGTTTAAAACACAAATGTGCTAAACTGCCAAACACTTAACTGTTTTAGGCTGCTCTACGATTTAACGTCTCGAAAGTCAAAACAAGGACGAGAAAAAGAAGCCTTATCGCGAAGGAAATGGCACATCTCGGTAGGTACATATTGTGCACTTTATAAGCAACTCCAAGGTCTCATTTTCACTCTACCTTCAAGCTTCCATCTCTTTGTATTTAAAGTTACAAGCCAAGGTGAACCCGTGGTTGTCTTTTCTAGTCTGATATTGTGAGTCAATTTACTAGTGAGGTAAGCACCAAGCAACTTTAAAATTAGAAGCAAAAATTGAACGAGGCTATGCAGCTAACTTGAGCTGTGTTACTAATATACGTGTAAGAGAAATATCTGTTATATTTCCCTACATTCTCAAAGCGTGTTTCAACTAGTTTCCTCCGTTAAACAAGCTAAGCTCGAGCGAAAGGAAATTTTAATCTTTTCTTCCAAGTCCTCGTGTTTTGTACACAAACGCTTCTTCGACTTTTGTTGCCCCCAGCGTGGTCTCAAAACTAACGCATTGTCTGGCAAACATAAATATCCGTACACATAACAGCAATTTGAAAATGAGCATTTCAAATTCTCCCACATTTCTTTCTCCGTGGAAGATTCTGTACGTTGTTTGTACAAGTCTTTTACACTGCCCGCTTGCGGAAAAGCAGGTTCAGTCTCGATACATACGCCGTCACGCCTTTTCAATAGAAGCATTCTCCCTTTTCAATACCTGTGTATGGTTAAATAAACGTATTTTGTTTAAATCTTTCATTGTAATTCAATCTTTCGTGAATGGATTCTTACTGAAAGACGACGTTTCTATGCGACAACGAAAAGGATACAGATCAAAAGCTTTCTCCGGAACATTGATTTAAACGGGACGGTCGCGACGAAAAAAAACTGTGAACTACTTAACATACATCAAGGTTATAGCAAACAGTCATAACAGTATCTTTCTACGCATTTAAAAATTTCTCATTAAGCTTTCGCAGTAAGAGGCATCTTCACTAAGCATGAGATCGTAGCAGCGATAAAAATTTAGAAAGAAACAACTGTTCAATTACATAAGGACGGGCTGACCTTCCTTTAATAACTGCAGTGCACTTGCACGAAAAGTGAAACGTTCAACTTAAGGTATTGTACTACTTACATTATAATAATAATGAAAATCAGATTTAAAGACATCCTTTCTCTTGTAAAATTCGCAGCCCCCTCAGCGATATGAAATATTAAAATCCTCTTCACTCCCTCAGGCACCATAGTATAGCGCTGAAAATTGCCTGTATGTAGGATAGATTTTGGCCCGACGTTAGAATGTTTGTATATTGCTCCTTGTTGTTATTACCCCATTTGTGTGTTTAATTAAGCACGGGCCATCAAAGATGATTTACGGTTTCTTAATTGTTGAGAAAACTAATTAACTGACCACTGCGAGAGAAAATAAATGTTAAACGAAAAGCAATTTACCTCAACACGGTCTAGATTCTCATTAGGACGTGCTAAAGCTTCGGAAAAGGAATAAAGGAAGTTACGAAAGACATTTTGAATTCATAGGTAAATTAAAAAACTATTAGGTCGTTTGAATTTTTCATCGCAGAAGCGTTTGCAAGAGGATTCCAGTTTTAAAATAAACTTTTTCTTCTCTCAATTCTGTCACGTGAAAGGCTCATCATAACAACACAAGTAGTGTTAATTTCATGGTTTTTAATTCAAAAAATCTGAATTGTGCTCGCGAAGCCTGAGGTATATAAGACAGGAATTGGTGAATCAGAAATTCATTTACACTCATTCTTATTCATTTTAACGAGTTCAGCAAACATTGGTCGCCTTACATCTTGCATTACTATTTCAAACCATAATGCACTAAAAAGTCTCTCTGACCATTTTTTTCTTTTTTTAATGACAGTGTTCGGTGATTGACACTTTTGGTTAGCATGCTTACGGCAATACCGGGATGTTTTTAATCCAATGAATAATCCGCGAAATTAATGTGGCTAGAAAAATTATATTATTGATGAAGAAATGAAAGGCATGTACGTTTTACATCAGTCCTCGAGTAATATACAAGTATCTCATCGCCATGGTGAGTCTTAAACAGATTAAAAGAGAAAAAAAAAAGAACAGCGAGAAACTAACGATCGTGTGTCTCTAAATATTGCCAAATACTGATCCTATCTTTTTCCTCTCTTACTTGATTGGTAAAAAGCTGAGTTGGCGTTAATCAGATAAAATTAAAAGTTAGAAAGACCTCTAATGAACAGGTGAAATATTGAAGGTATCATTCTCAGTAACGACCAACCAGCCATAGTGAGATATTCACTTTAAAGTTATTTCGTATAGCAGTCACAGAGTACAGCCTGAATGTGCAATTCCTGGGAATGTGAAGCTTTCCCTCTCGTCAATCCTTTTTAAAAACTATTTATTTCTTCATGATTAAGGTATTTACTTGGTTTGTTATTCTCTACTTAGTATTCCCTAATATTTATTCAATGAGCATTGTTTTTTTACCAGACCTATTAATTTATATTTTACTATTTTTCTTCTTATTTGAATTATTCAAGACGAGTTTTCTTTATACTGCTTCGTAGGAACACATTTCCAAACATTTTCCAAACATTTTCCAAACATTTTCTAAACATATGTGAAACGTATGTTTGCATAAGTAAGTATGAGTTTATAACCTTTTGGCCATAAGCAGTTTTGCAATAGTTCTTTCGGTGGGCTTACACATTAAAATAAAAGACAAAGAAATATTTACATTTGTAGATATCGTTTACTTACCAGCACTTCAACTTTTGTGTACTCCATTACGTGACAAAAATCTAAAGACGAGTTACGTGACAGCACTGGTAAATTGTACTTGGGACTCGTGGATTATTAACTTCGCTCTATTGACAATGATAATTTTTCCAAATCTCTGGCTGTCTTTCGTTTCCATTTTGGTCCACCTCTCCTCGCCTTCAGTTTAGATAACATGGCTACTCTTCAAGAAGTCCTCTGGAAAAAGGAGTCACCGAAAAATACTTCAAAAGTTTACCAAAACAACATTGGTAGCCACGTTGTGAATGTATTTCCTTGGTTAACCATTCCTTCGTCACGGTTAACGAGCACAAATATGCTTGAAAAACGTATACAAACCTCCCTAATTTCTCTTTTATCCATTTCTGCGAAGCAATAGCTTAAAAGAAGATTTTCTCGTCCACACCAGCTAAACCTTTGACTGTCGTTATCTGCATCTGTATAGCAATGTTGTGATGATGAAAGGTCACGTCACAACTCGACGCTTACATCCCGTGGATTTCCCGCCAAAACTAACCGCTAATTCGTCACCATTCCCACTAGGAATGTTTTTTGACAGCCACAGAAAAGGACGAAATAGGCAATTTTGCCACTTTAAAAAGCTAATAACGTGTAATGTCCATCTCTTCAAATTTCATATGTTCAAAAAAAAAGGCAAGAAGGAAAAAATAAATAATAATAAGTCTCTCTTAGTTAGAAATTTGACAAATCAAAACCTTATCTTTGTTCTCTTTATAAATTTTTTCTTCGGCAGCGCCTTTTCTTTTCCAAAGTCATGGAGGGATTAATCAGCTTGGAGGACCCTTTGTAAACGGTCGACCTCTCCCAGATTACATTCGTCACCGTATCGTGCAACTTGCAGCCTGTGGGGTGCGACCGTGCGAGATTTCTCGCCGTCTGTTGGTTTCTCATGGCTGTGTCAGCAAAATCTTGGGCAGATTCTATGAGACAGGTTCCATTCGTCCAGGATCAATTGGAGGAAGCAAACCAAAGGTCGCTACTCCTCCGGTCGTAAGCAAGATTGTTCAGTACAAGCAACAAAATCCCACCATTTTTGCGTGGGAAATTCGGGATCGCCTTGTCGAAGAGGGTGTCTGTGATCGGGAAAACACTCCAAGCGTCAGTTCCATCAATCGCATCCTGAGAAACAAAGCTGCAGAAAGGGCTGCACAGTACGCAATGATTGAGCGTGAAAGACAACATTTGGCAAGTATATATGGCTTCCATCCATGGTCATCCATTTGTGACCCGAGTGTTCCGTGGTCTTGTCACGCTTTGCCTCAGCATGAAGATTTTTCACATCATGAGTACGAGAGACGGGGCATGGAACCTGCCCCTGGGATGTCACTCATGGCACCGTCAGAGAGTAGCAACAGTCACCAGGAGCACAGCGAAGGTAATTTAAAAGTGTGTTTGCACGAATCAGGCTATATGAGACAAAAATATAATTAATAAGATGTTGATGTATATTCGCAACTAAACGAAGGTGTAAAACAACTCCTTCTTCTCTTCCCCCCCCCCCCAAAAAAAAAAAACATAACTCACATCTAGATCTTCAATTGCGTGAACTACCCAATGGTTGCGTGTGCATTCAAACCAGTTGCGTTGAGCTTGAGCCCGCGATCAGAAAACGTCACCTCGTTCAAATTTTTCCCGAAAATTACGAAAATAAAGTAAACCAACTGCCTAGAGAATCCATCAGAATTTCCACACTAACTTTACTGTTTCATGTGCTTTGACGAATTTTCAGTGAGGCTGAAAGAGGAAAATGACGAGGAGCAACGCGAGTCGCAGTACGCTACCAAAGAAAGAGAGGTCGTTAAAACAGAAAGAGATAAACCAATTCTTCACCGAACTGACATTGAGAATGATCATGAAGACGACCTGGATGAGTTTGAAACTAACATCCAAGAGACCAGCTTCCTTGATGACAACACTTTTAGCAGCAAAAACATCAACAACAACAACAACAACTACAACAACAAAGACAACGAAAACGACACCCCTGAAACAGACAGCAAAAATTTCAATAACAATTCAGAAAATACCTGCTACAACAGTGGAAGTGAAAGTGGCAAAGATGAAAACGATTCCCAAGCAAATCAGAAAAGAAAAATACGAAGAAACAGGACAACATTTTCTCCCGAACAACTGGAGATGCTTGAGAAGGAATTTGAAAAGTCGCATTACCCAGACGTAGCTACGAGAGAGGAGCTTGCAAATAAGATTGAAATGTCGGAAGCCCGTGTACAGGTTAGACTGAATCCTTTTAAAACATAACTGTAACTGTCCTTTTTCTCTTTTAGTAATTCTTCTCATTGTCTGTCATACAATTTTTATAATGATAATTCGGAGGACTTGGTATTGGATCTACGAATAATCCCCTAGTCTGAAATTTTTCTCTATTCTCACCACTTGTCTGTTTAAAATAGTATTGATATTGTAAGGATAAATTCTGCTTTGCTCACCCATGGGAGTTTTAGGGGAAAGTCTAACTGTCCAAAATATTTTTCAGATTATCTGACAGATTGCAACATGTACAAGAGAATCACATTGGAACGCTCTGCCAATATGCAGAACTTTCTAATGAAGCTATTCATTTCGTTCTGCATTTGACTTAAATGCACAAGCAACTACTCAGTAACTCTGCCACTCACAAGATATTTTGTTTGTTGCTTTTCAGGTCTGGTTCTCCAATCGTCGAGCTAAATGGCGTCGTCATCAGAAAATTAATAGCTTACCGCACATACGTCATTCACTGTTGGGTGGATGTTACCCTATGTGCACAGAATGTGACATGGCTGATCAACAGTGTACCATGATACCTGGTCCTTACAGTCCGCCGATGAACTCTCTGAGCCTTCTGTCACCGAACGCTGACCGAATAAGTTCATCGTCAACTTCCATATTAGGAGGTGAAAATGCTGTGAGATCTTGTTCACCCAAGGACTGCACTTGCTCGCGAGTTTGAGCTTGACTTTTTGTTAAAAATAAAATAGAATGGTGGTCCTATTTTGTAAATAGCTTCCAGGGGTTTTTCAGGTTTCTATGGTAAAATTAGAGAAAATGTGTGCGTTTGGTTTTGCGATTTTATGGACAGCCTGATGATGCATTAGGTTTGCGATATCAGATTAATGTAAATACCAGGACGAAAAATAAAGCATTTCATTCCAAGTATGATTACGAAATTCCATTGAAAATTTCGCTTATGAGATTTTCAAAGCGTGATACTAATTTATCCTAGACTAGTGTTTGTGATTCTTGTACAGAAATAAAGGGAATAAAAACTATGAAAATTTTCACACGTCTTTTGAAGTGTACGTTATTAATTTCCTTCGAGCAGCAGCGTTTCGCGGAGCCGCGAATAGTGTCAAGATCATGGACGCCTTGCCATAAAACTGTTCTTTGGCGCTTTAATTTGTCTTAAGATATATAAAATTGTTTTAAAGGGTGTTTCAATCGAATTCGGCGAGGCCACCGTTTCCATTCTGTGAGATATCAGCACACTGACTCAACAACAACATACAGCCTGTCGTCGGATCATCTGCGGATAATGATATGGATATTGGTGCCTCTAACAACTGAAAACGCAAATGGGCAAATGATAGGTAAATTCTTGCTACCTCTTGCTTGATTCCTCCAATTTCGAGTTTCATGCAAAATCACCAAGAAAATTAAAGAAGTGTAACAGGTTGATCAGTGGCGCAAAATTTACAAAAAATTATAGAGGGGACTGTTCATGATCTATCGACTACCCCCTAGGTCGAAATTTCCCTAAACCAACATTCTCCTGCCTTCAAAGTCTACTGTTGTGGCCAATCATTTCGTATGGACACCTTCACCATAGCCTATTTTGCCTGTTGTTGCCTTACCCTCCATCTCTCACTTGAAGGTGAGGCCGATGGTAACCTGGGAGCGAGTCCTTAACCATCATGGCGGGACAACAGATGGAAGTCGTAGTTGGGACCTATGAACAAGTTTTGGTCGGATTTGACGTTGTCGATGGAGAGGAAGAGCTTGAGGTAACTTTCACATGCTTAGAATTCCACAGAGAGAAGATTTCTTAAATAACAATTGAATTATTTTTGTGTTCATCGTCGAGCAGTATAGACTAAAACCGATCTTCGCGGAGAAAGAGCATGCGGGTTGTATCAAATGTGCCGCTAACAATGGCCAGTTTCTCGCGACTGGAAGCTCAGATGAAACGATAAGGTGAGTTAATACCATAATTAATTTTCAAATGTTAAGAGGGAGAAAAGATCAGAACAAGCGCTTGAAGTAGACTGCTGATCAGAGGTAGGTTCCAAGACATCTTTGTTCCTCATACTCTTTTCCATGGTGTAGCACCCAAGAGGAGAAACAGCTCTTCACCCTACAGGTCAACAATGGAACAACAATACCTGGTACACCATACTTACCAAGATAATATTAAGGAAAGATGAACAACTTTGTTACCGTATAGAAAATCAAGTCTAATATAGAAAATCAGCCTGTGAGGCCAAGGCCATTTTTTTGAAAACTCACTACCTACACAAGCCTCTCAAGTTTATAAAAGTTTTCATACGTGGCATAATTTTCCTTCAAATTGCACCATGTGCTTGCATTATATTGTTTAAATTACGTCATTGTAATTACTAGACTTAAAAATTATGAGTAAAATTAAAACAAAATGGTAAACAAGTGTTCCACCTCTTTTTACACTGACTTAGATTATACAGTCTTAAGGATCACAAAGAGCTTGGTGCCTTAATGCAGCATGAGGGTATGTAGAAATGGTTGAAAGCATTTTAAAGGTTTTAAAAAATTGCTAGCTCCTAGTTAAATCATGATCTTCAAGGTTTTTGTATGGTCTCGTAGCAAAAGTGGACTGTCCCCTATTGAAAATTTTGTTGTAATACAGTTCAATTCCTTCAATCAACTTTAGCTACTGAATGGAATTCATTTCATGATCAGGGTTGTAAAAATAAGGTGGCAATGGGCACATTTCACTATCTACTCTGAGAGATGCTTCAGTTACTCCTGGGGAGTGGCATTGAACCCTTAATGCCATGTATTCTATATCACAGTCTGGTCACTCAAAACCTTTCTGACAATCCTGTGTAATGTATAAAAGTAAACATGCCTTCTTTCTGTAAAGTCACTTGATGTTAGTGTGTAGAATTATAATGCCAAAGCAAACTTTAGAAAGCCTTTTATATGTAATGTTTTAAAGGGAATGCTGTTTAATACATGTCATTAATACATTTCTACAACTTGCTAGGATATTCCTTTGATTCTTAAGGCAAAAAAGAGGCAAAATCTTGCATTTGCTTGCTAATTCATTAACAGTTGCCATATTGCAAATTCTTCCCCTCCAGACAATCCTAATCCCACTGTCAATGGCCTCAGCTGTTGCATTTTCCCCCACCACCTTGGTCATTTTCATATTTTCACTAAGTCATAAGTATTGGTTAGTTTCATGTACTTGTTTTGTTATCCTCCAATGGAACAAAGCTCATAAAGAAAGAATGATACATGCACATAACTATTTGGTTTGTTTATTCTTAGTACTCCTTTTGTTTATCATAGGCACAATAACATGTTTGACATTTCATAACAGTACTCATATGCTAAGTGCTAGTGAGGACAATACAATTTGTGTTTGGGAATGTCGTACATGGGAATGCCTTAAAACATTAAAAGGTCACAGGTAAATGTTTCTCAAAGTTGTTTCCACCTACATTTAGTCTCTACTGTACTTGGTGTAAGGCCAAGATAATTCTAAATTGTGTAAATGATTATTGATAAGTGTTAAATTGTGTAATAAATGTTAAAAAAGTTCTTAAGTCAAAGGAAACAGTTCATTTCTAACCTTTTCTGAAGACCTGAATAAATATATGATGAATTGAAGTCCAGGCCTTCACATTGTGTAGACCAATGCTTTAGCACTGAGTTATGAACTAATATGAACTCGATGTAGCAACCAATGTCAGCTATTTTCAGTGACTGAGCTCCAAAATTTTTCAATCTTTCTTGTTCTGTTTCTTGTCCAAACCTTTACTAATGAGCAGTCAAAGTCTTAAACTTCAAATTTACAGTACAAGGATTTTTACAGAAACTTTGACCTAGTGAAGGAGAAGTGAAAATTGATCCTCCATATATTTTATTACCTTCAAAATTTAAAACAAAAGGGCATAATTCACCTTCATTAATCATGATAGCTCTGTAACTAATCATGGTACAATTGTCTGTAAAGCAATGATTTAATGGAAAAAATTTATACTTTTCCCAGGGGCCATGTAAATTCAGTTTCTGTACATCCCTCTGGAAGACTGGCTCTCTCTGTTTCTAAAGACAAAACATTAAGGTATTGTATTAAAGTAAAACAGATATTATCACTTTATTTGACTTATAAATTGCATCAAGACAACTTTCTAAGTATACTTGTAACTCTCAAGTAAGTCATTACTAGGCCTTGGTAAAGTTCTGGTATCTCCAAACAATCTTTCCTTCCATCTCTTTATTTCAACTAATGCTTTTCCAATAAAGAGTCAAGGAACCTTTACTATGAAGATAAACAAAATTGATATGATATTCCTTGGATGCCACTGATTTCATTTAAATCTGAATTTCAATTGGAAAACAACCTTATAGCCAATGTTTTGATAAGACTGCTCAGTTCATTTAAACTGAAATATTGCATACTACATTCTGCTAATAATTAAACCACCCTGCACAGTTTTTGCCACATTATGCAAAGAGCTTCAATTTCTTTTGAGGCATTTCACCTTTACTAAAGGTACTTTTTATTAAGCAAATAATGTTTTTTTCAAACAGAACATGGAATCTTGTGACTGGAAAATCAGCCTATGTCACCAATATCAAAGAAGGTATGCTATTACATATTATTAATCTTTTGTTAGAGCCCTGCTTTCCCTTACCCTGTCAGTTATTTTGGGTGTACAAACTTTCATTTATTTATTTGTTTGTTCCCTGGGACACCAGCTGCCTTACAGGTTAAGTGGTCCCCTGCAGGAGACAGCTATGCTGTTGCTATTGGAACAAAAGTAGTTGTTTACAAACTTGCAGTAAGTTTACTCAGACTCTAAGTATACTTTATAGTTCATTCAAAAGGCAGCAAGCATGCACATACATTCAGACATGGAATGAAGCTTTTGAATTTTGAAATGTGGCAAAGGCGGCAGTGATCAATCCACTAGACTTGTTTAATGTTGAATTGCCTCAATTTTATTCTATTATTTGGCCTAGCTTCCCAATAACTTCCCCAAAATTCAATTGGTATAATATCTTACCACAAAATTAGAAACTAGCTCCAGTTTAAATATCTTTGTTTTTTTTTTCTATGTTCCATTCTCATTAAAAAAAATTTTAACATCATTCTTTATTTTTATCATATTTAGACAGCTGCCTTATCTTTTACAATGGAGTTCTCCAGATATGTGTTGGCTTTGGAGTTTCTCTCGGTAAGAGAACAATACTTTGTAGTGTTTGATATGCCAGTTAGATTATTTGATCTTAAAGAACTACACTGTACTGTGCAGTAGAAAAACATTTCTGTTATTTTTAACCATCTTAGGAAAATATCCTGGCTGCAGGTGGAGAATTTGAAGGAATAAGAATATTGGATATTGAAAAGGAAGAGTGTCTTCAGACAGTGAAAGGACATGAAAGCAGGTGAAGAACTTAAATTACCCATAGAAAGTACATGTAAGAAATGCAGGCAGATAGACCAAGACAATATTGTCTTACAGGTTGTCTGTTTTCCGGCTTTTGAGCCTTGAGTTTCATAATCCTTTTACCCCAAAGACATGAGAGCTAATCTTAATTGTCAATTAACATTCACTTCTACATGTATGTGCTGAAATGGAAAGAATTTGATATTTCATCAATGCAGTGTCTATTTCCTAAATTTTGTTTATCATTCTGTTTACTGGTCTTGTAAATTGTAAGGAGATTATGGCGTAGATCTCTTGTGGTAACATGAAATTCGTTGTTTATATAAACATAAAATTTTGTTTATATTGCCTTCTTCAAAGAATACCCCTTTTGACTTGCTGCATACATTACATTCCTTTCATGAACCCAGATACCCACTTAAATATGTGATTCTTTATTTAACGCGAGTTTAAGTCCTAATCCACTGTCCAGTTGACAAGAATTTAAATTGGTTGTGAGCTTGATATAGTGCCAAATTCCCCTTAAATTGTGTCTTAGAAAAGATATGCACCCTTGATGGGAGAATTGCTAATCGCATCTTGCTCATCGAAGGTTTAAATCGAGTTACTGCAGCGCCAGTGGTAGCGGTATGTATGTAGTAACTTTAAATTGGCATGTCTTTCTAGGATAAAAGATCTCTGCATGACAGACGATTTGCTGAAAGAGGAAACTGGGCGTTTGGTTTTGTTTTCGACGTCATCCGATGGAGATTTAAGAGGCTGGGCTTTCAACCCTGAAAACGTAAGAATTTACCTTCTTTCGAGTGAGTCTTGAAATCTCTATCTCCAACTGACTTGTTTTTCTATCCATATGTGAAGTTTGAAGAAGATGCTAAGCTTGTAGCGAGGTATCAAGTACCTGGACGACCAACATGTCTAACGGTCGTGGGCAGGCGATCGGTACCTGCTGCGGCAAAATCTGAGCTGGAGACAAAAGCTGTGGAGTCCGAGCAACCTACAAAAGTGAAGAAGAAAAAGGAAAAAGGAAAGAATGAAAGAAGAACCACAAGTGTTTCAGGTATTTCGGTTCCATGGCAAATCATATGCAAGCATTGAGGTTTTTAAAATAACTCATCGCTGCTTCATGGTGTTTTTTTTTTTTTATGATTGACTAAGACGATAACTGAGAATAAAAACATGTTTTTGAATAAAGCATTTAGGATTTTCTTAGGGAACCTTACAAGATTTCTAAGACAGGCCTTGCCTAGATTAGCACCAGCTATCTGCGGGCCAGACTAGCTGTAGCTTCTATTTTGAGAATGAAAAATAGAGAACGTTGTTATTGTTCTTGTTATTTTAGAAATTTACAGCTACCAGTTTCGTTTCTCTTTAGCTGACGAGCCCAAAAAGAAAAAGAACAGAACAAAGAAGAGGAGAAGGTCCGCTAAGAAACGAGGCGATTCCGGTCTTAAAACGACAGAGGGATTTAGCAGCACCAATGAAAAAACTAAAGATGAAACTGAAATGGTGGAAGGAACTGAAAACGGACAAAGCGATGGTAGTAATTCTAGTGGGGAAGACGAATGAAGTTAAAGAAAAGCGTGGGATTTACTTTATATTGATACACTCAGTAAAATGATTCAGTAAAAGGTCGTGGTCAAACACTTCTACGAGCGAGGAAACATGCGCGCTATGGGTTCGCCCTATGTGCATCTCACTGCACTGCTGTCCTGGCTCAGTTGTCTGTGTTCCTGTTATCGAGGATTAGTCTGTCTTGAGCTGAAAAGACCTTGATGCTCAGCTAATCGAAAAAGTACGATTAAGTTTGGTTAAAATCTACTCCGTGTGCTCTCTAACAATGAGGTGTAAAGATCACTCTAAAAGGTGGAAAATCTGAAATCCCATATGGTTAATTCAAACCTTATATGTGAAAAGGCAGGCAGCCGCCAAGAAGAGTGGCAAGAAGAGTTGCGCTTAAATTAATGGCTTGGCCAGATACGATCAGTATTTTCCGTCCATCACTCAAAGAAATGCCTCGGTTGTAGATCTACACCAAGCAGTGAATTATTAAAATGGAGATCTGCTCCATGACAATTTTAGCTTCGTGATAAATACGAATGAACTAGCGTGCGTAGCGAAGGAGATTATTCGCATGATGGCATAATCGGTAAGGGGGTTTGTTAACCGCGGAAAGAAGGAGAAGAAGCGATTGACATCTCTAGACACTTCGTGGTTCTTACGAGAAATAGTTTACCGTTTTTTATTGTATAAAGACTATGAATAAACCAGTTTTCCCATGCGTTGTGTGGTATGAGATACTATGAACTTAACACAGAGACAGTAATTGCTGATTTACGTTTTAGCTTTGGACTGAAAATTATTTTACGGAGAAATGTTATTTATTATCTTTGTTCCCTTCCCCTTTTCTTTGACTTTTTTTTAATCCCATCAAGATCGCAGATTATTAGGTATTTCTCAAAGCCTGTTCAAGAGTCTTGGTTGAGGGGACGAGTGACATAGCTAAGGAAAGCGCTTGGCAGGTGCTACGGGAGGCGAAAATTCGTCCTCCCACTTTTTTGCTTTTCTGCACTGAATGAGGTGCTGTTGCAGTTCTTGCCTATTAAAAGTTGCAATTCTTGCCTATTTTTGTAATTCTTGCCTATCACAAGTTATTTGCGTCCTCTGTCGGGTATTAAGTTGTAGCAATAATTCTTGTTTTTTTCTAAACTCTTACTAAGTGTCGGAGCCCAGTCAGCTCTGTATGGTGTCCAGAGCGCGGGCACAGCGAGAGCTTTAAAATGCCGTGCAATCGGGGTGGCCTTAAGGTTTCTCTTTCTTTTACCGGAACCTTAACTTACCGGTAAACAGCATTGAGGTCAGTTTTATTTTTATTTATTTATTTATTTATTTATTTTATTTTAATTTTTTTGTCTCGCAACTACTCGCTTGTTTTCTGGCCCTACTAATCTTGTCTTTCCCTCAAAATTTTTTCCCAGAGTTCTTCGGTTCCGTGGTCCTTGACGTGGCGTTCGTACCCAGACTCTTTTTGGTAGCCGCTACTCGCTGGCGTCCGCCATTACAGATATTTGGGGTAGAATCCGGTTACTATCAGGTGAATCATAGGCCATCTCGTCCTTTATGTAGCTGCCTTTGAGAAATATGGCATCCAGGAGGAATCATCTGTTATTTCTGCTTGTTCTTTTGAGCTTGGAGGCTATCACGGGGGATGAACATACCCATAAAGTACGTCAATATTGTTTACGTTTGAGTCTTGATCTTTTCCCTTTATGTTCCACCGCAGTTAATCGTATCTTCTCTATTATGTTAATTTAAAGTATTACTGAGCTACTTCGTAAGGTTTAAAATTATCGTGGATGGAAAATTTTCTTTTTGTTGATGTGATCGATCTTATCTTCCTCTGTGGGAATATGCGATCGCTTATGAACGAATTAAATTTATGAGAAATTGACACATCAGCATATGAGGTCGTGTCCAGATATACGTTGCATTCATTGCTGTTACGTTGGAAACAAGTCAATCTAGCACCACAATGTGAAGGAAAAAACCTTGTTGCAATGTTTAACATCCATTTTACGAAATCTGACCTGTAGAGTGCATTAAATATTGGTGGAACATTGTTTGTTTACGGTAATGGTTGTGTGATCTTCCCCTTGTTGTATGTCAGTGTCGGTCTTCATTTGTTGTCGTCTTTTGAACTGTTGTAATTATTACGCAAACTAGGGCTTTTAAGATTTCTCCATAATTCGTGAAGGTTTTGACGAAGCTTTGAAATCTTATCCAAGCGTACCTGTTAACTTAATGGTGTGACTGAACAGATGATCCCTTGTCTTGTCGCGAGTTTACTATACTTCACCTAAATAAGAGAGAGGAATGCAAAGCATAGCTTCCAAGGTTTCCTTTCCTCAATCCAGACAATTTTTTGTTACTTGGTTACAAGAATTAGGAGCATGCTATGTAAGATTTTGTGCTTATTGACTGGGTGGTAGGGCTGCATGGGAAATTGTTTGGTACCAGGTCATGGTATCAAGACTTTTCTGTACTAAGTTTTGAACTTTGGTTATGACTCATGGCCAGAAATTTTTTTTCCTTCCAGCCTGACCTGACTCAGGCAATAAGTATTTTCCTACATGAGTACTTCACTTCCTCTTTCTTCTTCCATTTTGTCTCTTAAAAGCCGGGTAGGGCTGTCAAGGTTTTTATGGCCCTGCATGAACCATCTCTAATGGGGATTTTTTCACAGTGTATTTCAGTTAAAGCTCATGTGGGTCTGGTCTTAAAAAATAGTCCTCTAAGATTTTTACAGCATATTTACTTAGCTTGTGAACTAAACTATTGCCTCAAATTGGTTATTGAAATTGGTGTTCATTTATATATAAATGACTTTTTGCTTTGAATAATGATGTGCAGCTGCACTGATATATATTTCTGATGTGGTATAGATAAATAGATGGAGACTGCCATGCACAACAGTACTGATATATGCAAGACTTGCATTAATATGCAATTAATAACAATGCATTAATATTCTTTGTCTTTCAATTGCAGTATGAGGATGGTGAGGAGGTAGTGCTTTGGATGAACACAGTTGGCCCCTATCACAACAGGCAGGAAACATACACATATTTCTCACTTCCATTTTGTAAAGGAACCAAGAAGGATATCAGTCATTACCATGAGACACTGGGCGAAGCAATTCAAGGAGTTGAACTTGATTTCAGTGGAATTGATATTTCTTTTAAAGGTATAGTTTTGGAGTTATTGAGTTTTTATTAGAATCCTTGCCTAGTCATGATTTGGAATTGGGATTGCTGTGAAATGAATGAAAATAGAATGTGTGCATGCACGTTTCCTGGTCAAAGCTACGTATGTAGGATGTTGAACAATATGTGCGTGTGTTGTGGAGTGCAACATTTGAGGAAAAAAAGATCTCAAACCAGTCTGATTTGTGTTTTCTTTTTGACTGACTTTGATGATATTTCTTGACCAAATACAAACACTTCAAACTATTGGAAAACATTTAAATCATTTTGATCAGTTATTTGTGCTCTGTTCAAACCAATGTTGATGATTCGTAATGCTACTGAAACCAAAAAATTATATAATTTATATATTAATAAAAAGAGAAGTTGAAAATAACTTACTCTTTCATCCCATTGCTTCCAACTTCACTTGTACATTGTAAATATATGTACAGTGTATCAACCCTATCTTATTCCTGTGTTATTTATTTCACTTCTAGTTAATGTACCACCTTTAGAGTACTGTACTATGGATCTGAGTCAGGAAAATCATGATGCATTAGTTTATGCTGTAAAGAATCATTATTGGTATCAAATGTATATAGGTAGGTTCTTGTATCATGATTCTTAGTCTTGCATTTATTCGCAGTGTTCACATATGACGCTCGTAAGCTGTGTCTAAAAGTAACTTTACAGGACTCCAAATAATTCTTCATTCTTTATATATTTTCTTGCAGATGATTTGCCAATTTGGGGTAAGTGTTGTAGTTTTGTTTCACTTTCTCTAGGAGATTTTCCAGGAGTAGATGTTGATAGTTTTCATAAATGGTCAATTATATTAAGCCTTAGTAAACCAAGAATGTCTTAAATTTACACTGTAACTTGGTTAGAACAAATCAAACAAACCATTTTTCAACAGAAGATGGTGGCTTTATTGCCTTTGCTGGAAAAGGTCACCAAAAATACAGTAGCTAAATTATAAATTTGCCTTGTCAAAGTACAAAATCAGCCAGAAATATACTCACACAGAAAACAAATGTCAAAGAATTCTCAGCTCAATTTACAAGTTTTTGTCCATATAGATTTTTACAGAATGACAATGCATATTCATTATATGTATATGACATACTATCACTTGCTTCAACTCTCTTCAGGAATCGTTGGTGAAATTGGTGAAAGTAAGGATGAGTTCTATATTTGGACACACAAGAAGCTTGATATTGCCTACAATGGTGACCAGATTGTAGATGTGAGCTTAACAAGTGAATCCAAAGCAAAACTTGTTCCCAATTCAAAACTAAGCTTCACTTATGAGGTAAATAACTTAAATGAATTCAGCTATAGTGACTGTAAACTAAACTTAGAGATAACACTGTTGTTAAACTAATGTAGTTGAAAGTCATCACACTGTGGAGATGTTGGTTTGAGAGTGAAACAGAAAAAGAAAATTGCTAAAACTATATGGCTTCCAACAATGAGAGCTGCCTCATGATATTTATTTTACATACATTATATTAAATCGTAGTATTTTGTTGTTTTGTAGGTTAAGTGGACAGAATCCAAGACACCTTTTGAGAAGAGATATGAAAAATACCTTGATCCTAGTTTCTTCCAGCACAGGGTAAGATTCCTTGCAAAGTTTAAATTACTACAACACCTAATGGTCATTTAAAATAGTTTTGCGTATGGTTAAATCTCTGTATATTTTAGATCCACTGGTTTTCAATCTTCAATTCCTTCATGATGGTCATTTTCCTGGTGGGTCTTGTCTCCATGATTCTGATGAGAACTCTGAGAAAAGATTATGCAAGATACAGCAAAGATGATGATCTTGATGACATGGTAAGATTGTCATTCTCATTGCTAATGTTATGGCCTTTTGCAAAGTTTTTTGGGAGAACCGAGTAGGTTAGAAGCCATACCAAATGTCTGGTAAACTTAATGACATGGTGGGGGATAATCTTGGCATGGACTGGTATCCCATTCAAAGGGGAGTGGTAATACTCCTAGTCTCTTCATAGTAAGGAAACTGGAATAAGCTCCAGCTGGGTGGGCTATTTGGCTCAAACGTAGCTGCAACCTTAATACTTAACACCTAATTACATGTTCTTGTGGCTGTCCAGGAGAGAGACCTTGGAGATGAATATGGATGGAAGCAGGTTCATGGAGATGTGTTCAGGCCTGCATCACATCGAGTGATGTTCACCAGCTTGATTGGCACAGGATATCACCTATCTAGTGTTGCTGGCTGTGTTATCATGTTCACTATCATGGGAGACCTGTACACCACGTAAGCCATTTTTATAGTAACCCACTTTTGATGTTGGGATGTTGAGAGAACACTCAAAAACACTCACCTACGCCTTGTGATTTGGAAACTTTTTGCATGTTTTCAAGTTTTCTTTTTTACAGTATACACAATTATAAGATGTTATTTTGTAACTTGTGTGCTTCCTAGGCGTGGATCCATTCTTAGCACTACAATATTTGTGTATGCAGCAACAGCCCCTGTCAACGGATTTATGGGGGGCAGTCTTTATGCCAGGCAAGGAGGTCTGTATGACTTGTTAGATATTTCACCCATATTTTCAGAATCACTGTTAGGCTTTTGGTGATATAAGTGAAGCTACATGAACATACACTGTTTTACCACAGGGAGACAATGGATAAAACAAATGGTGCTGAGTGCAGTGTTGTTTCCTTTCCTGGTTTGCGGAACAGCTTTTATGATCAATTTCATTGCCATATATTATCATGCATCTAGAGCCATCCCATTTGCCACAATGGTGAGTTATTAAAGTTTCACCAGGAAGTATTAGTGATGTAAACAACAAATTTTTGCAAAAGGATTTCAAGAAAATAACAGCATTGCAAAATTACACACCTAAAAAGGAAACAGGTTTTTTTTTTAATTTCAATTTTATTTTTCATTTCATTCCATGTATTTATTTACTTAGTTTTGAACAGGCTTAGCACAATGTTTATTTTAAAACATGTTAAACTGGTACTGTGAAATTACCTCATACTTGTAAAGAAAGATGGAACATTACATGTTGTAAATCATCAGCTGATACTATTTGAATCCCTTACCAAAACAAGAATACCAACCTTGTTTAAACTTTTTAATTTGTTAATGTGAAATCTATAAACCATTTACTCTACACTGGGAGTGAAAGTCTTTTAGATGCTCTGTTATTAGCCTGTTTCAGGCTGTCAGTCAAAAGAACTAATAGACAAATAACAATCAACAATCGATGTTTATGTTTTTAGTTGTTGAGGTCTTGTTGGTTTGTAATTTGTAGGTTGCTGTGACAAGCATTGTCATCTTTGTGATCCTGCCATTAACCTTAGTGGGAACTGTATTGGGAAGAAATTTGTATGGTGCTCCAAATGTTCCTTGTAGAGTGAACACAGTTCCCAGACCTATACCAGAGAAGAAATGGTGAGACAAGAGTAAACCTTAGAAAATCACCCTCAACACTGTCCACATTGGAGGGTTAAACATACCCTCATTATCTGCCCATAATCACTTAAGTTTTGGAATGCACATTTTTGAAGAGGCATTTGATGCTACCAAGGACGTTTTTTCATTCGAAATACTCTTAGAATCGCAAATCATGCTATAATTACACAATGTCACTGAATGGTTCACATCACCTCCAAGATCAAGGAACTAACCTTAACCAGTCCCAACTGATTGCCAGATTTAACGTTAGTCTTAAGAAGTTAGTGTCTTTTCAAGAAGAAGGTTTTTAAGTACAGAATGAATCACCTTGAAAGAACGAAAAAGTGAATGTATTTCTTGTTTCTTTTTGGTATCTTGTAGGTTCATGGAGCCCCTAGTGATCATAATTCTTGGAGGAGTTCTACCATTTGGATCAATATTCATAGAAATGTAAGTCACTGAGCTTGCACTTAAGGTTTTACACATAGATAAATACATGTATTTAAGACGCTTTATGAAAAAGTCCAGGCCGATGCCTCGGCCAGGATCATTGTGTTGCTTTCATGAGCATGTCAAACAAGTTTCTCTTGACCATCCTGGTAACCTGAGATAGGCTGACTTCCCTTTCTTGTGGGAGAAGCACTACTCCTTGCCGCCTCATGCTACAGAAATCGTGATAGCTCTGGAACCCAAAATCTCGGGACCAAAAGGATTAGTTTAAATCCTTTTACAGATAAACTTCGTTATGTATATTCTCTTGAAAGTTCTCCATACATTTTTATGATACTGACCTGAGAAATTTGTTCAAAGTAATCAAGAGTTGGTGATCATTTCCTCCACTCTCATGACCAGAGTTGTTACTGGCAGGAGAAACTAGATGTTAGTCTTTGGAATGAAAGGGTTGACTCATAGAGAAAAGGAGATGTGTAGGCTTTAAACTCTGATAGACATTAGGAACTGCATTGCCAACTTGACTGGTGTTATTTTGGCTTCTTTCGCATGTAATGAATCTCTCGTGCGTTTTTACCTGTAGGTACTTCATATTTACGTCTTTCTGGGCATACAAGATTTACTACGTGTTTGGATTTATGTTCCTGGTGTTTGTGATCCTTGCCATTGTAACAGTGTGCGTTACTATTGTGTGCACCTATTTCCTTCTAAACGCTGAAGATTACAGATGGCAGTGGACAGCGTTTTTGTCAGCTGCCTCCACAGCTGGTTATGTCTACCTTTACTCGTTCTATTACTTCTTTTTCAAGACCAAGTAAGCTACTAGTTGTTGTGTGTCTTTTAATTTTGTTCTCATCTCCTCATTTGCATACTCGAGAAAACCATCTTATGTCGCACAAATGTGGGTGGGCAGTTGCGATTCGAAGCTCGAGATTAGAGTGTGAAGACGCTTGAAGAATGTTTCGAGGAAAAGACTTAACTCTGGAAAGTACAGTGACACTGACGATAACAACGCTTTGCTACTTCATTCAAAAAGTGTCGGTAATTTAATGGTGATATGATACGGGGTACTGCCAGTCTACCTGGAAAAGCTTGGGAGCGAAAAAACTCAGGCAATCAGATTAAAGAAAAGACATACATATACATGTATCGCTTGTCCAGGAACATTCAACACACTTGCAACAAAGTTCGTTCTACATATGATAACAGTGTGAAGTAATCCTGCTTTTGTCGTGATTTTCAGAATGTACGGCTTATTCCAGACAACGTTTTACTTTGGTTACATGGCTCTCTTCAGTCTCGGTCTCGGGATTATGTGCGGTAAGCACTGTTCATGATTGCTTTCACTAAAATGTCTTGATATTGTTAGGAGAAGTTACATGTTTATCACCTCTGGTAAATACAATTTTCCTTGTGTTCAACAGGTACATTTGGGTATGCCGGGGCAAGTGCCTTCGTCAAGAAGATTTATTCTACGGTAAAAATAGACTGACGAGAAAACTTGTCAGAAATGTCGCTTTTGGTCCGATGGCTGTTTTTAAAACAATACCGAACGATAATCTTTGTATTTATAGGTATAAAAGAGCTTCGTGCGTATGTTGAAACGCGTCGAGCGAGGAAACACTATCGCCTCGTTCTCAGATTTCCTTTAAAATGGCGTATTCTTTGAATTGTTCAACTTGAACTAGTGCAAGACATTTCCTACAAATTGAATGATATCTTCAAACCTTCCCTGAGCAGACATTCTCGGAACAGGATAACTTTGATTTACTAGTGGTTTAAGGTTTTAAGGGTGCCGGCGCAGTTGGTTGTGGGTAGTGAAGATAACAGAAGAATACTAGAAACCTGTAATAATTCAACAGAAGGGAAAAACAACCTATCAGTGTCCTAAAATTTAAACATGAGAAGAAGCAGCGAAATTCACCTTTTTGGCTTGGTAAATCCTTTTGTTGGGACTGATAGGTTTTTTTTATTGGTGCATTTTAAGATAGACTTAGATATAGTAACCTTGTTCCCCTAACGATTCGAATGCTTAAGGAAGGTTTGCTCGTATAGCTCGTCGGGGAATCCACTGGCGCCAGACTAGGGTCACATAGCATTGATACCTGGTACATAACGACTCAAGTGATAATCTTACCAATGTGGACGTGGTAACGCAATATTCTTTTTAGCTGTTATGTTCCAAGTGTGAAACGGTCTAAGAGGCATTGTGCAGTATTCTAGGCTAATGAGCGAGGGAGCTTTTACTGAAACTATCTTTAATGGTAAATAACACAAAAAGGGATTGGCTGTCATCCAAGCGACAAACTGACTCGACCAGATGATGATCTTTGATTTGTTAGCAAGAATTGGAATGCTTTCGCGTCTTTGAGAGTACTCGTCGAAACGGCCGTAATAGCAAATTAATTTAAAAGGTGTCCTACACGACTATTAGTTGTGCAACTCACAAAGTTGTTGGTAGCGCTACGATAATACAGGACAGAGAGAGTGGAGCGCAGCGCTTGGCCTGTCCTATCCAGAAGTGCAGTAATGACATGGCTTTTCGGTATTCAAATTATTTCTTTGTAAAAAAAAAAGTAGAGTTATTGAACTTTCTGTGGTAAGTTTATAGCAGTGCTTGTAAACTGTTCGTTTCTTTGTGTGTTATTCAGTTTAAATGTTAGAGGAAGAAATTCATTCACAAAATGTAGGTACAGATAATATAATTATTTCCTCTTTTATCTCAGCCTGTTAGTTTGTTGGTAGTGAAATCTCTTGTCACTGGAGCATCAAGGTTCCAATTGAAGCGACATTTGTTCCCTCTAAACAAATTACGCTCGCGTCTTAAAAAGTTACCAAGCTAAAGGTGACTGAAATCACTGTCCAATTTGTTTATATACTGTAACAGGGTCAGAAAACAGGTAACGATTCCACGTGTTCTTAGCTGTGAATTTGGCTATATTCAGAAGAGATTTTCCAACAAAATTAGCTTTTTGAGAATCTAGACTTCATCAGCTGACCCTTTGAAGAACTGATATGTATATTTTTCCGAGGAATATTGGAAAGAGATTAATGTACTAAACTATTCGATTAAACAAAGTATCTCGAGCTCATTATAGTTATTGGCCCGTCATCAATAGGTACTTACTTCATAAATGTGTTAAATATTTATTGTGGCACTTAACCTTGTTTCCGTCTAGAACAGAAAAAAAATAAGTATTAGGGTCTTACATTAGTATTGGTTATCTGTTAAAATTGTGAACTAGACTACTGAATGTGACGACCATCGCCATGTTTTTTTTCCCCCTTAAAGGGATACCTCCTCCCTTGGAATTTCTTACTCTCCACCTTCAAGATGTCACCTCGTCCCTTGTCCTCCTAAGGGTGGTCCTGTTCTCTTAATCGCGTTTAATTTTCTATAATGCAAAGTCACTAGCGACCGACGAGTGTATTTCCATGTAAGTGAAAGGTCTTTCTGCCAAAGTGTACGCCTGTGAAGTGCGATAATTTTTTTTTTCCAATATGAAATATAATAAGTGAGACTCAGGCTGAATAATCCTGTAATGAATATGGAGAACTCGCTTTACATGAGAGGGTGAACTTATTCCTTTGTCGACTTAAGAGAGATTTTAAAGTCTTTCCAAGAAAGTTTGATTACTTAACTAAACTTAATTAAAATGTTTTAAATGCAGTTGTGTATCTTTTTGGGTTTGCTCGTCATGGATTTTTGTAATGAGTCGCCATAGCTCCCAAGGAAGAACTACAACTTCATTCTTTAAGTTGCTTGCGCTGCCGAAACAAAATTATCTATTTCCCTATGGCAAGTTTCTTTCTACAGCTGTACTACTAAGTTTCATTGAAGTCGCTCACGCCATGAGCCAATTATATTTCAGACTATGTATGCGAGACAAGCAAAAGCGCTGGATAACGAGTTTACTCGGCTTATTAGGTGATTGGAGTTTGTTTACCTTTCTCATTGTCAACAACCATCGTAATGTGAGAGTGGGCCAGAGCGCAACTGCCTGTTTGCTTAATGTCATGTGATCTAAAAACTATATGATGACCCATAGAACCTGCGTGCCAGGTTTGGAGGGAGTTGTAGACATGGAAGTATTCCCGTAGCGCAAAAGCCTCCTGAAAATTTCCTGCGGTCGCCTTTTAACAGTAAATCAAGAAATAAAGCATTAATTGTTGGATGAAAACACTCGAAACGATTTAAAATATATCATTTTTTCGTAAATTTTAAAATTGTGGATGTTGGCCGTTCTTTAATTTGCCTCAAACGAAAATGGCCTAGGCTTGCAGTAATTATTAATTCGGCTAAAACAGTACGCTCCTTTGATAACTTCGTACCCTCCTGAGCTGCCTGACCAATTCATAGGGACATGCGCAAGTGGATTCCAACCCAGCTCCCTTCTGTCCTTCTTCCGGTAATCCTCTCACAGGTGACATTTCGCCCGCTAGGCTGACAAAAAGTTTTTCGGCTAGACTGATGTGCGAGCGCAATTTTAGCTAACGAACGCTAAGTACTTCTGCTTAAAAAGCTTGGCTGGCACCTCGGATTTTTAAAGTACAGGAAGGCTGAGGAGCGAAAGAAATTACCTTGGTTAACGAAAATGGCGGCCTGGTGAATGATTGTTAGCTTGTAACGCTAAGGAAGCCCCGCCTGAAAGACGATTCCATGATAATCATTACTGTATGGTACCTCCAGCGCAAGTCCATCTTGCAGTCTTGAGCTCGAAACAGAATATGAATTTTTATTTAAAAAAATAATAATTAAAAAGGACTCACCCAGAAGAAATACAAAGGGAGAGCGGCTTGATCAATATAAGATGAGTTTCTCGTCAGTTGTCAGTCAAATTAACGCCACCAGCCGATGCCCCTCGTAATTTTATTGGCGAATATATATTTTTGCCCCGGGGAGGTCGAGACAATCAACACTAATAACATTTATGAGCAAAAATCTTTCTCTAGCATGGATATACAATATCAAACCTTTACGCATTTCCGCAAAAGTTAGGAAAAATAGAAACACTTAAGTAAATAAATGAGAATGATAAAAATGTTTCGAGAAACCTTGCGATCATGACATTAATCATTGATGAAGTGTAAACATCTAAACTGTGGCTGTACACAACCCTTACTGCTATTATCCGAGGATGTATCAAAACAGAAAAGAGCAATGGCGAAATTTTAAGAAAATATCTGTTTTGAAAAAGCAGTATTTTCTTCAGAAGTCGTAATTCAAAATTGCTTTCTAAGGCATTTTTTGTCATCATAATTGATGGTAGCACACAACACAAGGACATTCAATTTTTTTAGAAAATCGTAATTAAACACTATTTAAATTTCAACTCTGGAAGCTTCTTGACAAGAGGATCGCCGCTAATTTAAAATTTAAGGATCATGAATATTCCAATTTTTAACAGTGGTGAAAGTTTATTATCTTTAAGCACTCACCGTTTCTCTCACTCGCGTAAAACAATGAGAGTATAGTGAAAAAGAAATTTCAGATAAATTTCTCACGCATACATTTCAGATCGTAAGTTGAAGTATTAACACGTTTTAGGATAATAATAAAAAATGTACATAAACATCAGCCATCGCACTAACTAATTTATACCAAAACAAAAGGGTTAACTTAAGCCAAAATATTGCGACACGTGGACTTTCGTGCTCCAATAAGAAACATCCCTGTCGCACTATTATTGAATTTAAGATCTCTTCAAATACACAGCCATTTAAATTTGTTTTCTGTCTGCGTGCAATTGAACTGGATGTTGAAATAGTCGCTCGGACAACGGATTTACTCAAATTTAAAAGCAGGCATTTATAATTTTTTCGCGGAAATTTTCAATGACGCTTCGAGCTCTCGTCACGCTAATCCACTAACGGTTTCGAAGTTTAAATATTGTTATTCCGTTCCACTTTTTTTTATCCCGTTGTTTTCATTTTTCAAATTGCATTTTCAATGGGAGTCGATGACGCCTTTCTTGAAGCTGGAAAGAAGCCGGGCATGGAGATATGGAGAATAGAGGTTAGTTGCAGTTATCTAATGTTCAGCAAATGATTTATATTTTTCTTCCCTTGATTAAAATCATTACTAAGGCACATAAATGGACCTGCTGTGAACTTAACTTTACAGGCGGCTTTATGATAACAGCCGGCTAACCCCGGATTCACATCCTACGCTCAACCATCATTCGACAATTTGTATCGAGTGCTAAATTATTTTCGGAAGCAAATTATTCCTTCTATCATGATATGTAGTCTATTTATTCATACTTTATAAAAACAGCTCTTAGCTATTTAAAATAACCATCAGTTCTAACCTGACGCACGAAAAACGAACTGTAATTTTTTACTTGCTTTTTCGCAACTATACTCATAATTCTCGAGCGATTCGTTTTCAGTTACTTGCAGTGCGTTGTTATAAGTTAAAGCGACAACCTGCATGGCCAATATTTTTTTTTCACACTGGCTCTGGCTAAATTTAAAAATGTGACTTGCTTTAGGTTTTTCTCCCCAATAACAATATGCCTACAATTATATTATAACCAAACAATAACAAAAGTCAGTGATGTTTTTTCTTTGTGTGCTATTAGGAGCGGGCTTTTACTAAGTCGCTACTCCATAGCAGGACCGCTCAAGTTATGAAAATTGCGCATAGGTAGATTTTATGTTAATTCGCACGCGACGGTGTTTGCATATTGCGTTTGGAGTGTTTTTGTCAAGTAGATTACTTCATCCTGACTTTAGTTACCTTCTATGGATGCTCAGCAGGTGCTTGGATAAGGAAAGAGACTCGATATTTAGGTGTTAGGCACCAAAGAACCACCTAAGTTTGTTTATGATTCTTAAGACGTGAAATGAGCCACTTTCAACGTTTGGAACATTAAATATTTACAATCCCTATTACAAAAGGAAGCGTTTTTTCCCATCATGTCACAGATGATATTTAAGTTACACCTTTAAATTATTTCGAAGAATTAAGTTATTCTCGTCAAAAGCTATCGATGTCATACCTTAGCTACGCGTTATTGGTTTGATAAAAAGTAACCACATTTTTAGCTTATAACAATAACATATGAAGGAGACCGGGTAAATCCAGCGGCTCAGCTAAATATCGAGGCTCTATATATTTCGTAGCTGTATTCTCGAGTTGAGCGTTTGGATCGGGAAAAAATAATAAAAAGTGGGTATCATCAGAGGTTGTCAAAAACTGAGGTATTGCGCCTTTCGAAGTTTTCCCTTTAAATCATACCTCTCGTTGTACCGCCTGAGAAAGATTAACAAATCTAATGCAGAGTAGGTTGTTGGTCTGTAACTTTGCCTAAAAAAAAGGCGCCAAAGCTATGATTTTTGACCAAACAAAGATAGACTCGTTTGCATCACGATTCGTGGGCGGACACCTGTAATTTTAATTTTATTGCATCATTGAAATATTTGTATCACTACGCCACCTTTCCAAGAAATGTTTGGGTTACCAAGGTGTATTTCTTTCTTACGTACAATTTCAGTAAAGATGTCGAGTAGATAAATTGCTTTTATATGTGTATAACATTATTTTGACTAAGAAACAATTCAGAAGTGTCATTGCTCTAAAATAAGAGATGACGCTGTAAGGAGATTTGTGAAGGCATCTCGGGTTGCTCTCTCGCTCAGACTTCAGCTGCAGGTACGCGTATTTCTAAATCATAGTTTGCCCTCGTATCGACATGCAATAGATAATAGCTGGAGAGTTCTAGAAATCGGATTTCATTGTACATTGATTGTAGAAATTTGTCATTCCAACATAATTTCGAATAAAATTTATAGAAAACGGCAGGTGCTGAGCTTCCAGAGCGCAGAATTTGCGTTATCGCTGTATGGTATGAAAAAGAAGGAGGGATGAAAATAAAGGGGAATATGATTCAAGACTTCTTGTTAATGTTCCCTCACCAAATATCCCGCTTTAGATTCTTACATTTTTCTTTTTAACCCCTGAACGCTTTGCTGCCTCCCCACCCTCCCCTCCCCTCTCCACCAGTTCCTGTCTTGCAGCTCGCGAGGTAGCAAGGTCAAAGTCAAACTTAATAAACCCGTTTGATCAAATATTGAAATTTTCTGCAATATGCAGTGGCGGAAACAATATCACTAGCTTCAAAGGCTTCTTTATGATGTTGTAATTATTTTGTTCATTTCCTCAAAGAAACTGAAAGTTGTCGCTCAAGGTACTGAAACCTACGGCACGTTCTATTCAGGGGACTCTTACATCTGTCTATCGGTGAGTTGTGACCATACGCTGATTAAATATTTGATGACATAGTAATCAAGCTTCTCGTAATTTTCTTAATAAATCACCATTTTATTCATTTACCTTTAGGTTGATTTTTTTTAACAATTTCTTTTGTACATATGTTTATTTGTTTAGACCAGAAAAGTTGAATCTCATTTAGAATGGGATATACATTTCTGGCTTGGCACTAGCACATCTCAGGTATTTTGATTTCATTTTGTTATTTTGGTTTATGACAATTCGTGCACCATTTTGTTTTCTAAACGTCCAAACCTCTCTTTCAGTCTCATTTTCAATTTAAAGGGCTAAATTTTTTAAATTTTATTTATTTATCTATTTATTTATTTTTTAAATATTGTTATCAAAGCTCTCAACAACGTTCATTTTCATGGAGCCACCCTGTTCACAGTTATCTAATCAACCTTTGCTAACTTGTACAACAGTAGCTAGAACCCAATTTTTCTGTCAGAGATCACTCCGACCAGTTTGCGTTGGAGCTCTTTTTTTTACATTTCATTTTTTACTTCTGTTTTAAATTTCTTCTGTACAACGCCATCATGAACTTATAACACTAAATCTTTACTACACCACACACCAAGAGAATAGTACAGAAAATACGCCTAACAACAGATATACCTACAATACAACTTACAAACCTTACCACCTTTTTATAAACTTTATATATGGTTTGAGCTTATAATTCTATCTTAGCGTGTTTAGTCCCAGTTTCGCGCGGCTCGTGGTGGGCAAATCGTGCAGAAAAAGCGCGGTTCCTTAGACTTGTCTCTTTACACAGGACGAGCAAGGCGTGGCAGCTTACAAGACAGTTGAATTGGATGATAATCTGGGAGGAGGACCAGTGCAATACAGAGAGGTAAAGAGGTCTTAGTCTGATCAACAATAAGTGTTGTCAGTGTTCCGTATAAATTCATTTGTGTTCAATGAGACACTAAAAGTGTCTGTCACGAAGGCCGTGTCCACACAGATAGTCTGCATTTAGGAATTGTCAGACCGAAAAGAGACCGAAATGTCGCTCTTCCGCACATTTTCAATTATAATTGAGCTTGGTATTGCTTAAAGCGTTCTTGGAAAAGTTTAAATTTCAATTTTGCATCTTTTCACGAAAGCTATATTTGAAATATTTGTATAAACCATAAGGCTTAATGCTCTTCTGTTTGATTACCTCTAAAGGTTCAGGATCATGAATCAAGAAAATTTCTATCATATTTTCCCAAGGGTATAAGGTATGATCAAAACTAAACTGCAATCATAGTAAATCCTAAAGCATACTTCTCTTCTTTTTTAGAAAAAGTGCTTCACAAAGCCGTATTGTCGATAAGGACCTGGGCCTCTCTTCCACCCCACGCCCCCTTAGGAACGGCCAAAAACAATTGAGTTTAATGAAAATTCCCTAGGTTCGGGGTTCTGAATGTGAATGAGGTAGGAAACATAATGACTACAAGATGAATAACGGGCTCTCCTCTCGATTAACAGATACCTTGAAGGAGGAGTGGATTCTGGCTTCAGGAAAGTACAACGCGGTGTGTACGAGAAAAGACTCTTTCAGATCAAGGGAAAGAGAAATGTGCGAGTTTCACAGGTCAGGGACAGGAATATCTTCGCTTCCACCCATTTCAACCCGTTTTACTTTTTATTATCCTCTTTGGTTTTTCTACCTGCTGTTGTGCGAAGCCCTATCAACATAAATATTTGGTTTAGTGTAGTCCTAGACAAAAGTTATCGTAGCAATTAAATCTGGATTAAGGTGAATCACTTGTAAAATGGAAATTCCAGAGTCTCTTATCACCTGATGGAAGTATGACATGACTATCTCCAATTGATTAACTCCACCGAAAAAATTAATAGAAAAAGAAAACGGTGTATTTTGGAAGCAATCGTAGAACTGAGAGAGAAGTAAACTTTTTCTTTCGTCATGGTATTTTGTCATAGTGTTTAATAGTCATTTCCATTTTGTTAAAGACCTACTCAGAAATGGGCGCAAAAGGAAATTTCTCTATTGTACTATATACATTTTAAATCTCAGGTTGAGATGCACTACACATCATTAAACAAAGGAGATGTTTTTATTCTTGATGAGGGGATGACCATTCACTGCTGGAACGGATCACAGTGTAGCAGAACAGAACGAATGAAGGTAATGATGACAAAAAGCTCTTTTTGCGCGTTCAGTTTACATCTTTGTTATCATGCCTATTAGAACTCATTTAATATTAAATGATTTGGTTTTGTAAGGGAATTGAAGTGGCAAGACGTATAAGAGATGAAGAGAGGGGAGGAAAAGCCAAACTTGTCATTATAGGTAAAATGCTAAAATGCACCACGTTTCCAGTTTTAATCAAGTTGTACAAATCGCTTCAATTGTGCCCATTTTTGTTACTATTAGAGGAGAATATGAGGACGACAAAAAAATCTAACATTTTTTATTTGTGTTTATGTCAGCGTAAACAAGAGACATAAATATTTCAAACCTCATGCAAGGGTATTTTTAACTGGGTTCGTTCTATGATTTGTCAGACGAAAACAAAGATCATCGGGACGAAAACAACTTTTTCCAAGCCCTTGGGTCTCGCGGTGAAATAAAAGAAGCCTCTGAAGGAGGCGATGACGTAGCGTTTGAGAAGAACAGCCAGACAAGTGTCACACTGTACAGGTACGCTACCTTAAAGGTTTACCTCGTAGATTTAAGAATATGTTCGCATGTAGTGCCAAAAACCCTAGAGCCAAAGTATACTAGTCCACCAGACCTAAATTAATTTGGTAAAAACTGAAAGCAAACTCACTCAAGCGCGGGAAAACGCGGACGACAAAGTTTAGGGTCTGACTCCAACTGGCGTAGAGGGTGATGGGAATTACCTATACCACCACAAAGCGCAGAGAGGATATACAAGTTCAACCCCGATTTATTTTTGACACTCAATTGAAATATGGACCATGTTCCTTTGCAGGGTTTCTGATGAACGTGGAACCCTGGAGATGTCAGTGGTCAATGAAATGCCTCTTAAAAAAGAACATCTCGATCCAAACGTGAGGGCTAAATAACGACTCGTTTTCATTCTGTATTTTTGTTAACAAATGGAATCTCAGCAGCTTTGGACGACATTCTTTACCACGGCTTCTCTCATTTGGACGATAAGACTTAACCGATCAACTGCTTTTCCTCACCTCAAAGCATTCATTGTATTTGCGAGCTGTTTAACTTAATTTAAACTGCTGATACTTCGTTCGTACGCTATTTTGCACAGGATTGCTTCATTCTGGACTGTGGCAGCAGTGGAATATTTGTGTGGATCGGGAAGAAATGTACTGATGATGAAAAGAAGGGAGGAATGAAATTTGGAATGGTAATTTACACTACAAAATTTTATTTGTCGTTGTTCGGTTGGATTGTAAAGCTTTGATCGCATTGTAACCACCTATTCTCTTTCAAAGGATTTTATCAGCAAGAAGGGCTACCCGCAATGGACACAAGTCACCCGTGTGGTGGAGGGTGGAGAGACACCGATCTTTAAACAATTTTTTTCAGGGTGGAGGGATGAGGGCGAACAAGTAGGACTGGGAAAGGTGTTCAGACAAGGGGCCTTGGGTAAGTTTAGCTGTCAACTGCTTTAACAGGATAGAAAAAAGATCTAGCTGTATATCAATATTCGAACCTTCTCTTAAGTTGGGAAGATCTTAAAATGAAGTGAAACATTTGCTTAAATAGACGGAAACGTCAACAGGTGCATTGCAGTCTTTCTAAGTGCAAAGCAGTGAACAGTATTCTGAAATTTCTTTCTAATACAAACTGCCTTAATTCATTTCTTAGCCAAACAGAGCAATGAGAAGTTTGACGCTTCACAGTTGCATGACAGAGAAAGACCGAAACATAAAACGGAAATTCTTCCTGATGATGCAACAGGAGATGTAGAGGTGCAATGAAAACATTAATTAACTTGATTCCTTTGTTTGACGGATTTTTGTTTAAAATGTGCCGCCTTGATATCTTTGCTGATTTTATTTTAATTTGAATCTTCTATTGATTCCCCAATATGTTGATACTTTGAAGTAAAGAAATAAACTGGCTACAAAGAAAAAGGCTTCAATTAATAATACTCCTCTGTATGCTTCATTCATTTTTCATTTATTTATTTAGTTATTTGCCAATCTCTCAATCCATTTACCTTTTTTTTAGATATGGCGTGTTGAAGACCATGACCTGGTTTCATGGGAGCCAAACTTGCACGGAGTATTCTTCAGCGGCGATTCTTACGTTATCAAGTACAGCTTTACTGCAAACTGGAGAAGGCAAATAATAATCTATTTTTGGCAGGTATCAATCAAGTCTGCATTGAATATGTATTTGTGCGTCGTTTTTCTGGCCCCCTAGAATCTATGGATAAGAGTTGACTTTGTCTTTGACTAGGGAGCGAGAAGCAGCCTAGATGAGAGAGCAGCATCAGCCATGTTAGCCGATCAAATGGACAAAAATCTCGGTGGGATAGCAACACAGGTAACAACGCGATGATAACATTTTTTTAAAGAGAGCCCATTTAGTTTATGAGGCACTAGCTACTGAACTACTTTCCCTCACGCAATTAGCATTTATTGGAGCAAAAGGTAGAGTTTTATTTTTTATATGAAAAGAGTTTAATTCCCACCGACATTACCGCAATTTTCATTGACTTTTGTCTTGTAAAAACTGTCCATTGTCAAAAAATAACTTTAAGCACTTGGTGAGAAAGCTTAAGCGTCAGAGTCGAGGGGAGGGGAGGGGAGGGACAGTAAGAACCTCTGAAGGGAGGAAGTAGGAATTTCAGATATGGCAGAAACCAAACATTTTGCTTTTTGTTTTTAGATTAGAGTTGTTCAGAATAAAGAACCGGAACACTTTTTGAGAATGTTTCGTGGACGCTTCATAATACTGGAGGTTGGTATTCGATGAGATACTGTTGACGTTTGGTAAATTCATGCTTCATGCATAGTATCATTTTACAGAGATTGTCTCTCCTATTTTAATTTTGTGATTTAACTCTCTTATCGTGTCTCGAACTTAATTCCTAGCTAGCGTTTATTATGTTTTTTTTCACCTGATTGATAGGGTGGCAAAGGTGCAGGCTATCGCGCTGGTTCGGAGGAGGATACGTATGACGGTCAAGGAAAAAGAATGTTTCATGTTCGGGGTTCATCGGACATGAATGCAAAGGCGATGCAGGTTTGTGCTTTAGTAAACTATCTCATAAGATCTGTCAGTAGGTGTGGCTTAAGGCTATTCCTGTAGCCAGTTTATTTTAAACATTTACCATATTTTTACTGCCAATTTAAATACTTTTCCCAGGAAAAAGCGATACGGTATAATTTAACGTGTTTGTGGATATCTACAGGTGCCTCGAAGAGCCGCTTCGTTAAATTCTGGAGACATGTTTGTTTTGGAGACTCCGTACATAGCCTATTTGTGGAGAGGAAAGGTGACAACTTACATTCTTTACACCTACTATCTCCAGGAGATCGTCCACCAATCTAAAGATTGTCATTTCGATTGGTTCCACTAAGTTTCTATCAACTCCACCGAAATTGATAGCGAAAGCAAAGCTTTAAGGCTGAATAAAACTTTCTCCATTCACTCTTGTGAAAAATGTTTAAAAATTCAATCGCTCGCGGAAAACTGCTATTTGGCATCACGTTGACTTGACAACAAAATATTAAGTCGCATTTATTTAAACTTACAAGCTGAACTAGCCACAAAACTTAACTCCAATGTTCGAAAACAGTTCTTCCTAGAAATACCCTAACCCGTAAGATCAGACTGTACCATCGCTTTAAAAAATATCTCATGTCAATTGTCGTTTTTGCTGACTTATTTAACAGGGGGCATGTGCCGCCGAGAGAAGAAATGCAAGACAGCTTATCGATTACCTGATGGTTGGCAGGTGAGAAAACTGATTGGCCGTTAAACTCAACATTTAATTGGCTCGACGAAGAAGCCATTTAGGATTAAGTTGTGGACTGTTTCTCTTCTCCACTTTTCTTTTTTCAACCACAAATTCCAGAGAATATATCACTTAAGTCTTTCGGATCCTACTTAAGATTTGGCATTTGTTTGTATCTTTAGAGAGGTGGAACCCATTCGGGAAGGGAAAGAACCGAAGGCATTTTGGGAAGCTATTGGAGGATATGAAGAGTACGCAACAGGAAAACGTATGGAGGTAACAGAAATTTATCAACAGCGTGAAGAAATTTTTCTTAAACCTCTCCTTGGGTGCAGTACTTTAAGGTAGCAATTGGATGTTTCATAATTTATTTATAAGAAATTATATGCTGCAAGCCTAAAATTCATAAGCTGATTCAATTTCTTTCAATTCTTTCCAGGAAGAGAAACCCAGCTACCCGCCGCGATTATTTCAGTGTTCAAACGCTTCTGGGGCATTCAGGGTGGAAGAAATATTCGAATTTTGTCAAGAGGTTAGAAAAAGTTTCCATCAACTTAGTGCTCCTCCCAATTTGTCTCGCTTTAGTTTGTAAATTTTAATGATTAAATCATTCCTTGTAGGACCTGGTTGAGGATGACGTCATGTTCCTGGACACGTATGATGAGGTACAACCATCTTTTATTATCCGCATGAGAATTGTTTATCAAGGGTGTGTTGTTCTCTTGTGGAGACGTTGCGGAGACGGTGTGGTTGAAATACTAATCAAATGGTCAGGGTTTCGATCCGAAGACGAAGTCACAGATGCCTTTTATTATTTATTATCATTTATTTATCTTTTTAATTTTTTTTGGGAGGATTGAGGTAACAACGGACTGATTTAATCCCTCCCCCCCCCCTTGTGTTTCTCGAACTCTCTTACGAGGACAAACAGTTGAGTGAATACCCCGTGATGTCTTCGAATGAGTTGGGAAACGACAATGGTTGGTCTGTGGCAGGTTCACTATCAAATGAAAAAAAAATGAAATCATGGAGTGACGCTGATAAGATAGATAATTTATAAGTTGAGTTCAGACAGGATGGAAGTATTCGATGCAGTTATTTCTTTTCTTCAGGTGTTTGTGTGGATAGGAGAAGGAGCAAACGAGGTCGAAAAAGCCGAAGCTGTCACCGTAGCTATGGTAACATATGATGGCTTGATCTCCGTTATCAAATTACCTTGAAGATTTCAGGAAATCATTTAAAAGCGGAGTGTTCCATAATGGATTTAAAAAAAAATTATCGTTTCACATCGTGGTCGCGGTCTTTATTGATTTGTGATCATGAATGTGATCCTGCACTCCCAATTGCAAACGTCGTCATTATCGTAATCGTTACAAACGCAAGTTTTAAGGAGCAAATATAAAAAAGAAAGATGGCAAAATTTGAGCTCAGTCAAGAAACAAGGAAAAATTTATTAGTTTTGCCACAAGTGCGGAATAAAGATGGAAATCTTATTTCCCACGAAGAATCAAACCCAGACCCTCGGACCGGAAATTCTATCGTAAGCTGGGCCATTGCGTGTTTCATATATGACAAGCGTCCTATACCCACTGCTAGAATAACAAAGATGCTAAATTTTAAGGTCGTTAATTTTCATTACCGTTATTATCTTAATTATTCCAATCTGTTAATCCACGAAAGTTTGCTATATACTTCATCAGAGATATTCCGATAAATAATACCCGAATATCATTGCAAATCGTCGAAAAGGAAAGGAAAAAAAATTTTTTTTTCCTTTAAAGGATTACGTAAGATCCGATCCGTCTGGACGGACACTGGAGGATACAATGATGATCCAAGTGAAACAAGGATATGAACCGTTGAATTTCACGGGTCACTTTCAGGCCTGGGACCGTGACGTATGGAGTGTAAGTTTAAATCTACACATTACCTCGTTTGGAAAAACCTGAATCCTTCGATTCACCGGTTTGATGGCTGAGTCAAGAAGAAAACACATGAATGTTAGCTCATAGAGGTTGCATTAAGACCTGCAAACTTGGTCTTCTTTGCCAGAAACTCGACATAATTTTCGTCGTATAAGAAACAGTAGTTAACCAAAACACTCCTCTGAAACTGCTGTTTTTATCTCAGCCTTTTTAATTGTCTGCTTTAGAAAGGAAAGACCTACGAGGAACTAAAGAAGGAAATGGGAGAAGATGGCATCAGAAAAGTTTCCGAAATACGAATTACTCCTCAGGTGTGTGAGAAATGATAACATATCACATATAGCTTCATTCCCTCTCCATTTCTTTCCAAAAGAGCTATACTTGTTTTGATCTTTCGAAAATGCATGTAAAATGCATTGCACATTTTGAATTGTTGCATCCTAGAGTATGAAAACCATGAATAACAACAACCACAGTGACGCCACAGACGGCGGTAGCTTTACTTACGAAGCTCTGGCCCAGCCATATCACCTTCTACCAGCTGGTATCGACAAGGCAAGGAGAGAGGTACATCATTATCTACTCTCAGATAAAAGAATAGAGAACTAGAGCAGAGTCGTTTTCAAGACGGTGCTGGCAACCGACTTTGACGTCAGTAGACCGACTTGAGCATTTTAAACCAAACTTTGCAGGACAAAAGGTGTAGTGAGCACCGGGAATGAGAACTTTTAACTTTTTATTGCCGTCCGCTTCATAGTGCTTAAGCTCCTTAAGAGTTGTGTGACCCCTGACATACATTACCTACGACCGTATAAATTCACTGCAAGAGTTCAAAAAAAGAGAACTAACTCATTATTGTAACGTTAGTGATTATAAAAGAGTATCCTTCATGAATTAAGTGAAATATACCCTTCATTTCTTTTCTTGCAGCACTACCTGTCAAATGAAGAGTTTTTCTTGGTATTTGATATGGAGAGGACAGAGTTTGAATCTCTACCAAGATGGAAACAAGTGCAACTAAAGAAAGAAAAAGGATTGTTTTAATATCAGCTGTTGATGTGTTAGTTATCAGGAAATCATGTCCGTCGAAAGGCGAACTCTTCGTTATTATCAATGTGATGGTTCAGAAAATGTCAAGTTTTTGAAGAGCTCTCTCGTATTTAGCGACAGTCTGAGTGGTAACAGTTGAGTAAGTCAATGAATACATAAACACGGTTTTATAAAATTGTTCACGCCATCCAGCTGAAATCATTTTCAAAATCATCTAGCATTATAAAAGTAGTGAAGTTCCCATATTTTGTACGTCAGTGGACAATGAGAACGCTGTTTCATTTATTTCATAGGCGTTTCCTTAGTAGAATCACTATCTTTGACCGCGTTTGGTTTAACAGATCATTTTCCGTAGGATTAACTATAAGACAGTCTTTGTTTTGTCAACAACATAAGTCTAGAAATGTCGCCATATGTACATGTATTTGAGATCTTAATCAAAAGAATGAGTCTGATTAGTAAGAAGTAGAATAAAGTGGCGATTGATTTTTGATTTCAAGAACTGTGGTGCTATTCATTTACTACAGGGGTTTTGTAAACCGCAGTTTAAAAATTACAGTAGCTACATCGTGGAGAAGAATAAACGTGTTATCCTTGGACCGAAAAAATTTGAACAAAGAATGCTTAAGTTTGCCATAAAGCAAAACTAGTCCCTTATCAAAGAATACTTAGATCAGCTAGCTTACATAATAATATCTAACAGGTTCTGAACGAGGAATAAGATAAGATACAGCTTCATTGTAATAAATTTGAGCGATTTTTCTTTCAGTTGTAAGTGTCTCATTTTTTTTCTGTGTGACTCTCCTGAAAAATACGAGAGAGGTAAACCAACATCGCTTTGCGCATACGTAAACTTTGGATAAAAAGCAGAAGTAATCGATAAGTGATTTTCTTGGCATAACTTAATTTATCTGCTCGTGTTATTTAGGCTTATTTCTTTTTTACCCTTTAATTTTTTTTCCATTTTTTCCACAAGTGCGTCTTGCTCTCTGAAAATCCAGCTCGTTTTATTTCACTACAGGAGCTCGGAAAATAAATATTAACACCTACACGAAAGTCCAGAGAAGCCAAAAAATTTCTTGCAGTACAAATATAAGTACCTTGATCAGCTAGCGATGCTTTTTCAATAACAAGTGAACCATTTGCGAGGGTTCGATGTCTTGCAGTCAGCTGAGGTCCGTTTGATCTTGACCACGTAACAACCACTGAAAAGTCTCCACTGTCAGCTTGACAGTGCAGAATAAGCGATTTACCAGCAAAAATGGTGACATTTTGAGGGGGCGGCACAGTAAAATGAAGTTTAGGAACTACCACGACACTACCCGAGGTGGTCTCGAAATTGATCAGGTTTTCTGCCCTGCATGAGTATGTACCAGAGTCCGAGACTTTTGAAGATTTTAATATGAAGGTGGCGCCGTCGACAATAAGCCTCTTGGTGTCCAAAGTTGATCCCAGTCTTTCCCAACTTATGCTCGGTTTAGGTTGACCTGTTGCTGCGCATGTCAACCTTAGATCTGAACCTTCTTCTATTGCCGTGGATTTGGGTCCTTGGGTGATTTTCACTGGAACTGCAGATCAAATTGAAATAGTGTGGGTGACTAACAATGTTCAAGTCAAATAAGGCTTCAACATTTTTTTTATCTTGATTTGGTACTTAGCGACCGATCATTGTTTATCGTTTGGGGCGCCCGAGGTGTTTAGTTGTGTCACAATAAAAGGCACCGGATCCCCTATAAGGCTCTGTAACATTCTTATGATCCCCTTCCCCCCCTCTTTGTCATTGATTGGCGGTCAAATATCTATTTACACTCTGTTGGCGAGCACTGATTCCCCCTCCGCTTCCCCCCTGAAAACCATGTAATTCCCCCAAAGTCTTCCATCCCTCCCCTCCCGTGAAATAAATAATGATTTGTCGTTAGGCGAACTGCAACCCAAAATAGTCTAAAATTGACTCAAATACCATGCTTGGGGGGGAAGGGAATGGAGCAGGCTTAACTCTGTCACATACCTTGTACTGTTAGGATGGCAGACACACACGTATATGTCCCGTGATCAGAAAATGTTACATTTCTTAACAACAGCGTGTTATTAGGTTGAGTGGTATGACGGTCACGGACAATGATAGAGCTTCCATTTCGATACCAGGTTATAACAGGTATGGGTAGTCCCTCTGCCTTACATCTGAACCAGGCTGAATTGTACTCACGCACGGTTAACGAGGTCGGAGACGATGCTATCTTGGGAGGAGATACTGACTCGCCTGTGTCGCCTGAGGAGAGAAGGCATTTGTAATTAATCATGCTGTAGATGAAGGTCGGAATAGTTTGTATTAGCCTTCCATGTCAGTCATTATGTGGATTTACCACCCGCTGCGCAAAGTACTGAATAACAAGTCCATGCACACAGTTTTGCCACTTACTTTTTATTTCCTAGAAAGCTTTTGTGGAAGTGGAAACTAAAGCCAAGTCAAATTTTTCATTTAGAATTTGTGTTTCTACCCAAGATATCGGGAATTTACCCCTGAACAACGTATTCAAATATTGGAGAAAATGTGAAGAGGGAAAAGTTATAAAGGTACAGTCAGGTAAGGATGTCATAGTTTAGTCACTACTCGCCAAAATAATAATAATAATAAAATGGTCATTACTTATTAAAAGCAAAATTACGCTGATTAACTTGTATAGCAAGGAAGTTCTACCTTTTTCTCCCTTATTTCCATGCCTTCCCGGTTCGCCTTTTTCTCCACTCAGACCAGCCGGTCCACGTTTACCACGGTAACCTTGACTACCCTTATTTCCTTTATCGCCAGGTCCTCCTATTGGTCCACGTTTTCCTGTGTCACCTTTGGGGCCCTTGCAAACAGAGTTTCTCGTCTCGCGCGCAGAATGTCTTTATCATGACTGAGAGCACGTGTCTGATTTGAGTAATAGTCTCATTTTCAACTGAAAAGTTTTTGGACGGATAAACACTTCTTCGATAACGTCGGACATGATCTGTCAGCAAATCCAAAGTTACATCTGAAATTTGCATTGAAATCAAGGATATGATCAACTTGAAATCTGAATCTGCTGGAGAAACTCTATTCAGTAAAACTGAAGCTTTTTGATTGAATTTCTAACCTTCTGAATGACCGAACGGAGCCATTTTATGAGCTTGTTACCTAGCTCCGAAAAATATGGTTAGTGAACTCGTCAGAAAAGAGAGAAGAAAATTCTGTGAGCGAACCGTGAAGCAATGACTGAAAAAAAAATCGGTTTGCTCCAGAGTTTCCAACTAAAGATGTAACAGGATTAATAGAAAATGTGTGACTCTCTTATCCATCAGAAAAGCCATTAAATTCGGTATGGAATATTTCAAGGTATGTATCGGAAGATTAAGCAGTTCAGTTTTATTCGCTAAATGCGTAACATGATTTGCTTACATGTTGAGATAACATTTGCGACAAGCTAAAGTTAATTGTTTCACTGACTGGTCGCGGTCAAACCAGATAAAAGTTAGTTGGTAAAGTTATCTTTAAGTGCGATTTTATTAAAACAATTATTCTACTCAGGTTTTCCCAATATGAGATATATATAACTATCGTCTCAAATTTGGCGCGGCCTCGTAGAATGATTTTCAAATAACCAACAGTCACTTTGTCCGCTTGTGCAATAAAATTCCTGATATATTTCGTAGTTGTATGAGCTGAATGTCCTTGTTACGGCTAAGAGGACCGAGACCTTTGATTGGTATCAGTGCATCTTGGTCATGGAAGGTCAATGCAGTTTCTGATGTGAAAAGACTTGCAAAAGAATTAAACTTACCTGGCAAAACTAAGTCGTAGTTTTAGTTATCGATCTAAAAATAGTCAGTCAGTTAACCTTACCTCTGTTCGTCCTCAAACCATCAAAGTTCGTTTCCACGTATAAAACGCGTGACTCGCGAGCCAAGAAACGTGACTCGTTTCTTATCATGATAACACAAAGTAGAATAAGACACAATACGGATAGTATCTGGCTCGCAAAAGAAATAAAATTCGATGTTTTTGACTTGTCGGACATCTTGACACAATCCTAGCCTTTAAAACAGACGTTCATAGGGCCAGCTTATGTACCATTTTTGAAGCGGAAATCGATACATCTGATCACGTAGAGAAAACGGTTCAGACAAACAGGAAGTTTAAATTGTAGGCTGCACAATGATATGTGAGGGGGTGAGTTTCTAATGAAACTGTTGTGTTGCGTCGATCGGGGTATAACGGGATAATGTAGTGTTATCAACTAACTTGATAAAGTAAATTGGCCATGATAAAAAGTTTCTTAAAGGTTGACGGTAAGAACGTGGAAACTATTTACAGCGGCCAGTTGACATGATGTATCATCAACTCATTGAAGTCAGTCACCCTGGCACGCTTAGTCTAAGGAGCACCCAATGTTATCTAAGAAACTGTGAAAAAACGTTTGCAAGTCGTAAAATTTCCATTTTCCAAGTGCATCAGGTACAAGGAAGTATGTATATATGAGCACGTAAAAACAGTTTAGACAAAAGTAAGTTAAAAATGGAGACTGAAAGGGAAAAATTCTTAGCTTGTGAGAGGCCGTCACGTATCCTAGATTCTGGACTCATTGATACTCTTCGAGACGGAAATAGTTTAAGCTGTCAACACCAATTCATAGAATGTGAACGAAGAAATACTGAAAACTTTCCTGATACTTAAGTTTTATAAATTCTTTTATAAACTGAAGGAGATTCGCAGCGTTTTATTGAAGCTATCTAAAAGTGGTTTCAGATTAGTGACACTAATATTGGTCGAAATTGGTTTTTTTTTTTAATTTGGGCGAGAATTTCAACAAGCATTCCCGTCACTTCCGTAAGGGGTTAAACAATTCTTGGGCTTAAAATGAACTTTAGACGACTCCTGTTTTTAACCAAACCATATACTCCCTTATCTCCCCTACACATGCTGAAGTTATTGACCCTTAAAAGATTTAAACTGATATGATTGACTTTCCCGCTTTTCCAGTATGTCGATTATTGTATATCTGGCTTTGTAAGTTACTCAGCTCAGGAGGAAACTGATCTGAGTTATCAGTGGGAGTCACTGTGTCACGGAACATCGAAATTCTAGCTCTACTGCCCTACAACTGAATGCATCGCAGGGAACTTAAGTGTGAGCCAGGCAAGTTAAAATCAAGAGACCATGAGCTTTGTGAAAAAGCTCCGCTGTTATTAACGAATATTTCCTTTCATTTCTAAATTTTAGACACCCAGGCAGTCATCAAACCTAACGATAACCTGTGTAGGACAGATTTTAGTGAAAATTCCTCACAGGAAACCATACTCCAGTCGGAGACACGATTTTGGCTCCGGGGTTGTCACTCTGCAGACGATGTGTCTACTGTCTAGAGGATTCCTGTAAATTTTCATGAAAATGTCTTTGTTTGGACTCTAGGAATTACATTGCTGTGCATAGCGATTAATTTAAACCTTATATATTTATCATAATATAGTTCATTTAAACTGTAAAACTGTCCACTCTGTCCGCAAAATCCACACTATCTCATCTTTTAATTTAAAATGTTCATTTCCTTTCGATTCAGTTCGAGTTATGAAGATTTGCCCATGTTTAAAGTGACCAAGTCAGCTTAACGGATTTAGAAACGGTTTGAATTGAGATATCATCAAACGACCCCACACCATATGCATCTTGTCTTTTAAAAGAAAAGGTCATTTCGCTACGAAGAGGTTTGAAGGATCGATGTAAGCAAATCAACGCTTGGGAATATAGCATTTGAATCCCGAAATTTGTTATAAAAAAAAAAATCTATCAAGTTATTACTGCAAATTCTCCCGGAACAAATTATGATAGTTTCCAAAATAGGTAACAATACAAGTAAATATCAATGGACTAGTTAATACCTCCATAAATGCTCAACATTTCCGCTTCATTGCTAGGGAAAAGTTGAGCTCGTTCGCACGACAACCGGCGAGCTAGTTACCATTGCACATTTAGGGTAATAAGATTGATTTCTTATATCTGCTTGAAGTTTGGCAGGGGTTTATTTATAAGTTAACGTCGTCTGGTAAAACAATCTATTAACTCTGTCTTAAAGAACATGCGCAAAAAATATATTTAATGTTTAACCTGCAGATGACAAATAATAATGCTATGCTGCGATTTTCCTGAATGATAAAGGAAATACTGTCGATATGCTCTTAATTGTAACTCGTCACAAGAAGAAATGACTCTGTTTTGAATTAAGATTAAAGATGATTACGCAGCCAAACAACTGTTTGGCAACAGATTGCAAGTCCAAGAGATCTCTAGATCATGTCTGTCATACAAATCCGATTTCCATTGGATAAACTCTAATGAATGAAGACGGTAGAGAGTGTTTAACCAGGCGGATGAAAAGCGATCTTATAAATAACTCGTGTGATATTCATTATCAGGTGCAACAAGCCTTTGACCTTCCTGCTAACGACTCAATCAGGAGCAGATGAGAGATCTACAAACTGTCTGAAACAATAGTGGTCGGCTGCTCCGGGCGATTTAAAATGATACTTTTAAAAGGATCTAAAAGGTTGTGTATAATTTGGAATGATATATTATTTCATGAGTTTTCCTGTTACCTCAGCTCAGAGGCAAATTCCAGCCCCTTTTAGACTCGGAAAATTCTCCGAGATGTATCGAGCGAGTTACCGCCGGGATGCTCCTCCATCTCTCGTTTGCTAAGCCTAACATGTGATTCCATCCAAACGTAGAAACATGCGCACTTTTCACTTTGTTTATCATCGTGGGTCAAATGAGACATTAAAAGGGGTAGAGTAAATATGCATATCATCCCTTGTCTTTCTACGGAAAAATTCAAACGGTGCTTTATTAAAGCGTTCATGTTAGTGCAATTGCACCAACATAAATGTTTGTATAAAAATTGCATTTTAATGAGTTTCATTCGTTCTTCTGGAAGCTAAACGCCGGTATGAAAACAACGGACTTCATGTGTAATGAGTTTTTTAGCCACACAGACAATGCTATATCCCTTAGCGGGAGTATCATTTTTGCTGCCGTCTAATTTAATAAAAAAGCCGATATTTAAAAAATCAGTTATTACTAACTAATCATTCTGTTGTTTAATTCTTGCGAAACAGCAGGGTGCCAGTTCAAACAACTAAACGACTCATGTGGGCGGGAAAACTCTGCTAAACGCGACCGCAGAGCGTTAAAAGGTTGTCTATCAAACCGGGGAACAGCAGAATGGCTCCCGTCAGTGACGTCACACAAATCACGACCAGCTAAAATACTGCGGTTGACAATTGTTGTCACCCAGACAAACCTCATCAAGAAAGAGAAACATTGATGTGTGCTTTGATACACTCCACTCGACGTTTATCAGACGATGAGATAAGCCAAGTTTCATTTTTGGCAGTAGCTCCTGCACTTCACAACTCTATCTCAAGGATTTCTGTCATCAACAAACTCTACGTTCAAGTGGAGAAGACATAAAGCGTATACGGACGCTCAGAGCAGGCCCTAATTGGAATATTTTTCTCCCTGGAGTTCAAGACCTGCTCTGCAGTCGATCAGAGAGTCATGAACGGCTACCGTCGACAGTCCTTTTGCGGTTTCATGCCTTCCATAGAAAGAATGAAAGATGAAAGATATGGCCACGTTAAAGCAAGAAAATATTCCGAAGCCTGCATACAGCATAAAATAAACAGGCCACCAAATGATCAGGAACTGGGAGACTTACGAAGGACTGCTTCATTACCGGACTTTCAAGAAATGGAAAGAATACACTCTAGAAGGCCCTCTCGCAGCAAGGCAATATTTTCGGATCCACCTGAAGGCTTCAAAAGAACCCGCAGCGTGTCGTTCGCTCCAGAAGTTGTCTTCTTTACTGCAGTGGCTGATAACGATGTTGCAGAGCTCACGAAGATTATTCACAAGCAGGAAATAGATTTAAACCACCAGAGTCCGTCTGGACTCACGGCATTGCATTACGCAGCTGCCGAAGGAAGCTTTGAATGTCTTCAATTGCTGATAGATTGCGGTGCCGAGGTGGAATTATCGGACTCTCAAGGGTGCTCTGCATTAGATTTTGCTGTGCGCGGGGGGCACTTTGATTGCGCATCGTACCTTATCAAAGCAGGTGCGGAAATCAAAAAGATTGTAAATGGTCTGTAAACGTATACTGCCATGGTTCATTTGATTAGCACGAGTTACAATCAAAGGAATGCTGCGTGATAATTGTTCACAACTTAAAACCCTATCTCTCGACGTCTTGTAAGGTCTAAAAATAGGCCTTGAGCACAGAGGTCTCCACTGTGGAATTGCAAGAATTGGAGAAGATACCACTAATTTTAAAAGCGGTCAGCATAACCACGTTTTCAGTTTTCAATCTTCTTTCTTCGTTTCTTATAGAACGCAGATTTATTTGTTCAGTTAAGGTAAATGACGTACTTTTGCCATCCAAAAAGCCGCACTAAACATTCCTGGTATGTTTAAATAATCATCTGAAGACTCTTATTTATGAACAAAAACAACTTTAAAAAACAGAAAAGCCCCCTAGAAGTTTTTTTAATGAAATCCTTCTGTAATAGCCCGCCAGCGAGAAACACATGGGCATCGCAAGTGTTGATTTAAGGCTTTCGCAAGGTTGAACTTAAGCGGAAAGGTCAGCTTTTAATGGGCTACATACCTGTAAAAGAATCGCTAAATATTTGCAATATGTCACATGCATGATTCAAAGTTAACCCCGTTTGAAGGGGGTCACTTTTCAACTTGTTTACATAAGGCACTGCGCCGAAATTAAAGAAGGACACAAGAAAAACAAACGGCGGATAGATGTTAAATAATTCTTTCTAAAACAAAGCCTTGAGGATGAAAATTGAGAGGCCATGTTGTCCTTTGTTTGTGGTTTCGCTTTTGCGCAACGGAAGAGAATATTTTAACATCGAGTGCGTTTGTATTGAATTGTTAAATGGTTAGGGCCATTAAGAAAGAAAAGATATAGGTGATTCGTATTGCACTAGAAATAACAGGTTTGAAAGATTTTTTTGTTGTTATTGTTTCGCCCAAAATAGCCAGCCTTCAAATGATGAATGCCAAAGCGAAAAGGTAACTCTCCGGAGGATAATGTATTGACCAATGTAGTTTCACTTTTTGGAGTTTTTTCTACCAGATTGACTCTGTTGACTTTCAGACTGGTTGGTAGTTGTGGTTAAAATGCGAAGGCAAATAAGTAAGTAAATAGTGAATTAATTAAGATTAGATTTGGTCTGATGAATTCCATAGGTTCCTAAAAGCCGAACACTGTTTGAAAATCATTAGTTTTGCACAACAGAATGCTTACCAAGAAAGCGTTTTACAATAAGGAGGCAGAGCTTGCTACTACAATGAACTACTTATGTTAAACTGCGTTCAACGAGACCCTTTAGAGTAAAATTACAATTGCCATTAGTTGGTGTTGTAGTTAATTTGACTACAATAGAGGGCTGTCTCTCTTCGTATCATTGTCCGTACGCATAAATAATCTCCCAACAAGAGAGGCTATTGTACGATTACCAAGACTGCAACCCATGAAATTGCCGTGAATAAAGGGTCTTTCAATTTTATCTCCTGACCTAACTTTTGAGAAGCCAAAAGTATGTAGAAATCTTTTAAATGGATTTTGCACATGTTGAGGCAAAGATAATATTGATCATCCCCTGAGCCGAAAATCTGTAATAAAAGATTTGTCAACAGTTGACTGAGATAAACCAACATGAGGCATATATCTTTGGATTCTTTTTGCTGAAGTGAACAAATGAAGAGAACATTCAGATCAAAGCACGGCTTGTCAATATTATGCATGAGCCACGTCCACGTTGACAGTAATTTTTTTAGGTAATAAAAAGCCGCCGGAAAAGTCTTAATTAGTCAGATAAAGAGTCATTAATTCAGGAAAATGGAGGGATTTTAGCAGGTTTACTTGTCTTAAAGCACGGAAATTACCACATATAAAGATATGAAGACCTATGGATCTTCGAAAAAGCGCAAAGAATAATAATCAATTAAGAAATTTGAAAGCCCATTGCCTATCGCAAAATTAGGGCGCTCCTGATGTGCGCGTCATTTTCACACGAAACTGTTTTCGAAAGTAGAAGGGAAATGCGTTTTCTCGCGAATACTACGGTTAAGAGTTCCCCTTCATGTTGTCGGATTCGTCAGTTGTAATCTCCAGATCTCTTCAGGTCTTTTAGAGTGTGTCTTGAACTCAGATTAAGGCCCCCTTCTTGTCGAGCCTTACTGAGTTGCAAGCACACTGACTTGCCTTGTTCCGTGAAAAAGAATTAGAGATAGGGAAGAACAACACCGGAGAGGATGTGAAGGCAGCAAGGGGAGAGCATCACATCTTGAATCGATTAGCGTAATTGTTTGAAGTCTCTGTCTTCAACCATCTGTGTTCAGCTTTGATTTATTGTCAGTATTTTGGCGTTATTCTACCGCAGCAATCGATGGCCTTAAAAAGGATCCTTTCTATCAAAAGAAATTTTTCACGGGCCTGTACGTGAGTCAAAACGCACATATTTCTCTGTCGGCTTGTCTTTGTGATCATCGAAAAAAATTAGGTAACATTAGGATTTAAATTGTATTAGATGCAATTGTTTGTGACTAAAGACCGCTTTTGTCAGCTGTTATTGTAAGTGATGTGTAAAATGTCATAGAACAGATGTAGCGGCAATCTGAGAGAAATGGTCTGCTAATGAAAAACAGCGGTTAAGTAAATGTGTTTTGAAAGTCGTAACTATTTGCTCGTCTTATCTGATGAGGAAGACTGGGTTCTACCCATACTCGACCACCTAGTTGGAGCAAAACTCCGGTGGAAAAATTTATCTTTTTTTTATCCTCAGAATGGAAGGGAACAGGACGAAAAGGGTAGATGTCACATTTAAAATTCCACCTCTAATTTCTTAATATAAATGCTTTAATTCAGCTTTTACATTCATTTAATCCAAACCTCAATGTTCCACACCTTTGCTTACTTTTTATTCAATTTTTTTTTTTGCTTAAGTTGGATATTGCACAAAAATAACAGTCGGTAGGGGTAACTTAGCTGATATCATAGCGACAACATGTCCAAGGTGATTTAAGAAAACATCGTTAAACCGGCTAAGACAAACAAGTTCAATATCTGAGGATTCAGATTAATCAGTCCATCATTCCGGCTAAAACTGATTTATTCCAATCAATTAAACGGTTTTTCATCTGTGCCGCTATGAAAATTTTATTTTGGCTGGACCTCCATGAGGAATTAGCTTTACGATTAAGACAGAACGTTACTTCATGCACGGTTAAACTTACTAGCGACAGAGAAATCGGTGTTTTCGCGATATATCAGGAGTTATACAACTGCTTGAACGCATCGTTGAAAATACCAACGATATGCAAGAGGTTTCATTTTGATTTATACAATGAAACAAAGAGTGCAAATTCTGGTTTATGTAACCATTTTGACTAAATACGTATTGTAGAATATTTGAAGCAAGACATAGTCGAGACACCTTTTTTTTCAGAGAGTCAGTGTTCGTAACTATAAGTGGGCGACATTGCAATACAAATCGGACCTCAAATCATACGTTTGGGACACCCTGATTTCAGGGGAAAAATGGCATTTCTAAAAATCCTTCCCCATCCGTTGCCATTTCAATGTTTCACCATCCATGGTGGATAGCGCCTCGTACGTGTCAATTAATAAACATTGGGTTTATGAGTGGTGGGGGATGGGAGGGAGAGATTGCAGTGATGGGAACCAGGACGCAAACGGTGACTTTGTTTCATACATAAATACTTTTGACTTGGGCCACTTTCAAATACTTTTGTCTAAGATTGCTTTTCATTGAGGAAAATTAGGTAGAACAATATCGATACAAACGCTGAGCAGTTTCCAGCTTACCGGTCGAACTACAGCGTTCAAGCAAAAGGTATACTGTGTACTCAATAGATAGCCAATCGAGAACAAAGCTCGCAATATAGGTGCATGTTTTACTCTCAGATAATGTTAGACATGAATAAAGGTAATGAAATTAATAAATAGGAAATTAAAACTTGTTAAAGATATAATTACAGTTGTCGCCTTCCAGCGTCTAATCAAGTTGTACAGGAGCAAAAGAAATGGTCTCTGTCTCGAGATAAAATGAACTCTTGGAGGATCAGGATATGATAAAATTTTGAAAAGGAAAGTTTCGAGGAAAGAGAATAATAAATTCTGATTCACGATTCTGTACACGATAAAAGACTTCATGAAGTAGGCCGCCATAACTTGACACGACTATGATAGTTCCTCACCTGTGTGAGAGCATCTTAAGCGACGATAAAGCGTCTTAAGAACGAAAGAAAAATTTTAATTGCATACTCCGGCTAATATGTTGACCACATTAATTTTCTTTCCTTATCATCTGTTTTCACGGATTCGGGAACAAGAATTAAGGAAAGGATTTAGATCGGAATGTTATTTAACGATTATGTTATTTGATAAATGTAGATTAAAACAGGAAATCAGATTAATCAGATGTTTTTCTCATATCACACATTCTGAAGATAATGCGGACAATACAGAATTGTTTGATCAGTCGTGCTTAGGGGAGGTTTTGGCATGGACAGTGAGACATACAACCAAGATCAACAAGATTTTATCAAAAGTATTTCCAAAAAAAATCTGAAAGACGGCACATGGACTGGACGCCGGGTTTAGTCTATCAATCAGAAAATAACGAGATAATCAGGCTGTAGTTACATTAAGAGGTGAACCATTCACACGTTACATGATGACTCTGAGCCCTAATGTGTAGTCTCTTTGACTCTAATGATGACTCCTGCTCATGTTGTTGCCGCTGACAGTCCATTTGAAGGCTGTTCTCTTTAGGACGATCGGACACACACGATTGTAGATCCAGTGACTCGCGCAAAATTGAACAACTACAATATTAGTCTGTGTCAGTACCTTTTTTAGTATGGGTTTCTCCCAAGCTACATGGTTTGACACTTAAAATAAAGTTTTATTATTATTGTCAGCTTTGCTTTGTGAGTCTGCTCACTCTACATGGAGTTCGGTAGAGTACCTTCACTTTTTAACTTTTCTGTAGGATTTTTTTCTATTATTGTTGTTGTTGTTGTTTTGATGTTGATTGGAGCCATTCTGCTCCGCAAATACTGAGATATTTTTTATTAGTGAGCCTGGTTAGAATAATTAAGGGAGGCCTGTCCAAATCAGCTAATTTTGCTTTCCAACACTTAGCTGTTACTGGTACTGTATCCTTTCCTTTCAGAGCGTAGTTACAGCTGACAAATGCGATCCAGTGAACTATGAAAGATTCTACTGATATAGGTGCATGTCCACTAAAGATGCATACGCGCGTTGGATGAATTCAAGCATCACTTCCTCTGTAAATTGGACTCACCAGTTTTAAACCTTGATAACAAGCATCATTTCACCTCTGAATGCAGGGTTCATGAAAGTTGGCTCAAACGTGGTGCTCCTCTCTTTTCAAATATTTTCATGGTTCTCCTTAAAATTTGTCCCTTTTTTATGTTGTGGAGCGTGGAAAGGAATTCAAAGCATTTCAAATTCTTTCTCGTCGATAGCATGAAGGAGTAGCCATGAAATGACCATTTGACGATTTAGTTTGCCAAACTGGATTAATTCTGAAAAACATGATTCAGTGTGTACGATAAATTGATATTTAGGGCGTGGTTTTCTCGAAATAAATACTAATGATATAGGTAAACACTGATGACAAAAATTTAGCGAAGAACAGCTCTAAAATTGACTAAATGAAAGTTGCGAAAAATTTCAAATACATTAAATAAAATATTGTGACTCAAAATAACCACGAAAAATGTTTTTGTCATTTATGGACCATTGGAGCGAAGATTATCTGCTTCGTTCATTCTTATTGCATGACAGGGCAGTTCATTGGGTGAAAATATCTGTCACAAAGGCAAAAGCTCGACTTATTCAAGTCATTCCAGACAAGTTGTTTTGTTACTGTGATCAGCACAGAAACTTCTAACCAACAAGGAAGATTTTAAGTAGCAATGACAGCACTAGTAAGTTTATTTTTACAAGCGAGGATCACTCAGTTTAACTAAACCTCGCGACACCTAAGATTCCTTACCATTCTTTAGTGACGCAAAGTGTGTTTATGGTAAAAAAATAATTCATCATATGGAAAAAAAACCGACACAAAGAAAAGGAAATTACTAATTTTTGATTACAGGTGATACATTAATAGATTCAATGACCTGCCTTAAACAGTACACTTAACTATTATCCCAAATGAATCAAACGGTTCCGGTTTGAGTTTTCGCCCTCTCGGCTGTAAGACTTTTCAATTACTTGTTTGTCACTAGGCGTGTTGAACGAGGTCTAAGCTGGATTTAAGGGTCAATGACCGATAGCAGGTACAAGAAAGGGACTTGCAAGGTAGAATAATTAAGTGGCTTTTCAACGTGTTATTTGCAAATTATTACTAGCACATTCCAGGATTAAACTCTGATGTTTGTAGAGTCAAAGTCGCCCTGATGTGTGGAATTTTGCTGCAAAGATCACTCAAGAGGCCGAAATGAGAGAAAATACGACGAAAAAGTCCCTTGTTTTCACTTTATTTCTTCTCACGAATCAGACTTTATTACATTTTAGCGACTGCCAGCTTATAGACATTCGAAACTCGCTTGTACGAAAACATGGAAAATTGAAAACCGAGAACTCTCCGCAAGAGGTGAGTGAGGAAAGCTCTATTTTACTTTTTTCAGGATCAGTTGATTGTTTTTAACTAGCTGGGTAGTTGCTGGAATGAAACAGACCAAACTTGCTGTTTTAAGTTCCCACTGTGCCGAGACTTTCAGACTGAACGCTGTAAGCGAATTTCCTTGATCCGTAACACGTTATTCTCACCCCGAAAGGAACTATATCTACAGAGCGGAGCTTGTATTCTGTAAACACCTCCTATCCCTGAGTTCGAATTGTCCGACTATGATTATGTCATAAAAATATGATATTTTTGTGCGAAGTGGCAAAGAGGAGTAAGCGACTAAAGGGTTGTTTTTAATTCTTCTGGTTGTTGCCGGTGTGCTACCGATAACTTGGAATAAATTTAGTAACAAGCGAAAAAACCCTTTCACTTAATTTACAAATCTAATCGACTTACAAATCTAAACGTACGGTGATGATACTATGAAATATTTTATAGACATTAAATGAGACCAATGTTTAAGGCTTGGCATTAAGTTGAAAAGCTCATCCGCTGTCTTTGTTCCACGATGTTTGTTGCTGAACACGCCACACTGAACATTTCACAAGGCCAGTTGCTTCTGCTTCTCATTATACTTGAGTACTCGACCATCCACGCAAAAGTTACATGATAATCAGTTGGCACATCAGAGAGCAAACTTTATCCTTTCGTGGTTTGTACCAATGTGAACTTTACATACACGAAATGCACATAGTATTTGGCTTTTGAAACATTTTTAGTGCTAAAAATTAAAAAAAAAACAAAAATAAAAAATGGCTAGCCCTAGTTTATTTTTTACTATAATTTTTTTTTCGTGGTGGTTATGTGGGAAAACCTTTGGGGAAAAAAACTGCAAAAAAAGAAACGGTGGTACAACGACTTTGCAAGAGTTGGGCTTGTAAGTTATATTATTTTTAAAATATTTATGATTAACATATGATTCGATGTTCTGTTTTTCTTGTTTACAGCAAGTAAAGTTATTTCAAGAGGAATTAGGGTACGTCTCATTTTTGCATGCATCTCACGAAATCAAACGCAGAAAGGAGAGAGATGTCCCACACAGGCGCTATCTCCACAAAAGAGGAAGCAATGTTCACAGTGGAGTAAGGGCTGAAATTGCTCGAGCCCTTGCACATCACATCGAAGGTATGGAACCTAACTTTAAGTCAGCGTCATTCCAGCAACTCTGGAGTGAACTGAAAGCGCCACTTACTGTTGTAATGAGACCAAGGAAAGTAGAGGAACTTTTAACAGACCTAGAGAAATGTCACTTGGGGAACACCCTGCATGGTTATGAAATTCCATCAGATTTGGATGGTATTAAAAGAGACTTGGTTATTTGCAAAATCTACGAAACACTGGAGAAGAATGCTGAAACCTCTTCTGGTGAAAAGTCCAACGACAACAAGCGTGAATACGCCCATATTCGGAATCTCCTCAAGCAGCCGCTAACCAGTTGTTTTAAGGTCGCAGAGCTGTCGTCGTTGATGAATGAGTTGGCGCAGTGTTTACCGCGGTTTGAGTTGGCTGGAATAAATTACCAGGTCCCAAGCAAGATGTCTGAGGTGAAGAGAGATGTGGTCATTTGTAAAGTTGATGAAGTATTTAATAAAACCGATGACAATGATTCTTCAGGAAGTGGAAGAGAGGTTTAATTCAATCCCGCCCCGAAGAATAAATGATATGCAATTTCACGCCCTAAAACATCGAATAATACTTTATGGACGTTTAAGTTATACCAATGCACTAAAGAGTTATCCTCACAGCTGCAAGTCGTAACCATGAATTACTAAAAAACCAGCAATGAAACTAATTTAAACCCATTGATAGGAAAAAAAACCAACGCGGAAAGTGCTATGCCTTTTATATTATGAAATGTTCCTTTCGAAAATTTAATTTCTCTTACTAACTACTGAAAAGATAAATCTATCTAAAGGAAAGAAGTTGCTCAGTAATAGACTCTTCGGAAAGATTGCTGTAAAGTTCACAGATTACGAATTATCCTATCGACTAAATGATTCATCCATCTAACCATCCATCCACCCAGGAATACATGATAAAATCCTTCTCATCATGCATACTCACGTCAACTGATTCATTTATGCATGCATGCATGCGTGCATTAGTGGCATGTCTGCCTGCATTCAAAACCAGGGACTCAGTTTTCGATTATTGAAACTGTCACAGCAGTAAACGTTTGAAAATGAGTGTGAGATAGTGATTTTCTTAAACTATCTCTCCCGTGATTGAAATGCATGACTCCTTTATTTCATTTCAATGTCGAGAAATGACGAAAGTGCTATAAACGTGTAATGTAATATTTGATTATAAAATAAGGAAGTCGAAGAGATAAGTGAATTAGAAAAAATTACTCATGCCGAAAAAAATTTTAAAAAACTAAATGTAAGAACAGCTGCATTTTAGCATAAGGAAATAAAAATTTGTTTTGTAATTGAAATTTTCCAATAAAATTACAAGAAGGAGGAATTTCTTTGTTTGCTATTTCCTTGACGTTTTTTGCGTCAACACCACCCCACTGTCGCTGAGAAGTCAGTACTCTGTTGACGCATTCGAACTGAGCTTTTCATACATTTCTTAAATCACTCGTTTTCGAGTGATTTACCAAAGAAAACCTGACTCTTGTATTTTCTTTTTATATCGAGTAATATCCTATGAGGCTATTGGATATAACCTTAGGTCATGCACTCTTTCAAAAGAGAACTTTGTAGTATCTTGACGTCTACACGAACGTTTAAACATCGTTTTCTGATAACCAGTATGTTTTGGACTTATACTGAGCGTTATATCTCGATATCCAAACTGATGCAGTGTTTACGGGATGCCGCTCCCTTACTTGAAAGTTGTAAGTCGACTTATATCACATTCTTCGTTGTTGCCTCCGAAATCAAACGGGGAGTACCATCTCGATTTGAGTACAGATTGTACCTCAACAAACGTTCCTTTGTATCCATCTTTGAATCCAAATAACTGAAGAACAGGGTTTATGTTAAAGGGCTTTCGAAGTTGTAAAACATTACTATTTGTTTGTAACTCTTGATTTTGTAAAATCTCGCCAAGGCACACTAGATGTTAGCCTGGCGAAGTCAAGCGAAACAAGAAATACCGCTGAAGCGAACAAGATTAACTCAGGGAAAAGCGTGACAATGTATTGAGGTGTAGCGAGTGACTCTAGCCTATGCATGCTATACGGACCTATGAGCCTTAAATTATAACGAATGTAGGCAAAGGAACTTCATTTCCATGCAAATAAAAGAAAAAAAAACAAAACCTAAATTGGCGAAAGTTGTGCTGTGAAAGTATTGATTTCAGTTTAGATTGAATAAGTTGAACCCAACCCAGAAGAAAACTGACGCCTTTCTGAGGAACGAACGCAGAAACTGAACCTACACGGCGTTTCATTTTCCTTATTTGGTTTGAGGCAATGCCTCACAAAAAATTGTCCTGGTTAGATTCGAACTGTCCCGTCAACCAACACTCTAGACGGGAACTCATAGATAATGACAATCAAAACTATAACGCTAAACAAATATCATGTGATGAACATGTTGGATTTTGTGCTATAAAGTTTACATAAAAATTTTTTTTTTAACACAGAAAATTGCGAAACCGAAGTGCTGTTAAATAAGAATAGCAATTCCGTCGAGAAATAAAAAAAGTTGTTATTTTTATTTGCTGATCTGATCAATTTTCATTTCAGTTTAGAGCCTCCGTGAACTTTGCTATCCCTTCGGCTGCCGGTTTATAAGTGCAGACACCCACTCATTCTGTTCATCGCCAGCAGTCAAAATACTCGTCATATATAGGCCAACCACACTAAACAGAGTTGTACTTCAGTTTTAAGGAACATTGATTAATTTGCTATGATCTCTTGTAACAAGTCACTGACTTCAAGATGGGGATTTTATCTTCAAATTGACGAGCAGGGAAATGTGCATGGAGTGCGAGAAAAAGACGATTACTGTGGTAAGACAACTGAAAAGTCTTTGCAATTTACCAAGTTGTTACCGGTGAACCAATATGTAGACATGCGTTTTGATTAGATGATTAGATTCTTTCATCTTTCAGGAACAAAAGAACCCTCTAATCGGAAATGAATATTTTTTTTTCCTTCTTAGTTTTTGAAATGAAAACGACAGATTTCGCCAAAGTCACCATTCGCGGACTGCAATCCAATGCTTACTTCGCGATGAATGACCGAGGGAATTTATACACAACGGTGAGCTCTCGGCTACAGAAATAGTCAGTTCAATTTTTTTTTTCAAAAAATCATTTAAAAAAGTGCTTCGCGGTTTACATGGATTAAATAGTCCTGTACATCCAAATTCTATCTTTGGGAAGCGCAATTAATCCAAATGAAAGAATCACATGAAAGCGCTTTGGGTGACCTTCCAGACATTTTATCAAAAACTTCGTAATATTTAAGCATATGTCAGTAATACTCTTAGAGTTGTTACAATATCGGCACGACTAGTTAAATATACTAATGAATAAATCCGTCTCGATGAAATCAGACCTCCTGGAGAAACACTCCACGAAACGCAATACGTCGTCAACAATTCACTTTGCGTGACTTATTAAGATTGACATCACCAAAATGATTTCCTTTTGTATAAACAAAGGACAAAAAAGACCAGATTATACGACCATTTTAAATAGTTAAAAATATCTCAGTAGTCTAAACGGCACAAGATGTTATTATTATCACTTTGTCAGGAATTGAGGCGTATTTTGCGAGCTAAAGTGGAGATTTTAGCGGGCTGAAATGTATTTTTGCACGCCTGCTCGCGTGATTGTTCAAACTGACATGTAATCTTTTTTTTTCAGGTTTTATTTTCTTCATGCCTTCCAAAGTGATAATACTACATAAAAATAATGATTATGTTCGCTTCTCAGAGTCATTTTAATCCTCGCCGAACGGCTCGGCTTAAAGTGACTCTTACTTGGGCCTAAAACATTTTTAGGCCCGCGAAATGTTTTAGGCCTGCGAACATAAACTCTGTTGCAGATGAAAATATGAAGGCCACGTTTTATATTCTGCTTTAATTACTAGGATATTTAGAAATGGACTGAAGACCTACACTGTTAATTTCATTCAACGCTAAGTCATATTCATGCGTTTTTATGTCAGCTTAATGTACATTCGTTTTGAATCTGTCACTCCTTTTTTTTCTTGTAAATTGCTTTTTTGGTTGGAAAAATTGTTTTTAACACCCGATTATCTGGTTATCTTTTCAGGAATTCAGTCGGTGTTTCCATGAGTTCAGTTTGTTACAATTTGCATTTCGTTAACAAGGAATAATGTTATGTTATGTTACATTATTTTGAAGGACACTCAGAACCCATCCTGTATTTGGAAGGAAATTCATCACACTGATGGATACAACTACTACGAGTCCGATCAACACAATGGATTTTTTCTGGCGCTTAAACGGAGGGGTGATCCAAAAAATGGCCGAGAGACTGCCTTGGGACAAGTATCCTGCGCTTTTCTTGTAACTACGATAACGCACAATGCAACATGAGCTTCTTGTGACAAAGAAAGAGGTTCAATTTAGCTTGGTTTAATGGTACACTTCTAAGCCACTGGCGTCTGCTAGGTGGATAGTGATGAAACTAAAAGGAAACATAATCCACATTATCATGTGAAATTAATGGTTGTTCTTAAAATAAATGAGCGCGGAAGCAGGATGTACAGCACATTTTCTTGGCTAAGTTTTTCTTTTTCATTTTCAGTGTGAAAAAGTACACCACAACCAACAAATTTCGAAACTAAAGGGCAATCCAGACACATTTACTGCCTCTTTTAAACCCGATCAGTAGATAACTCTTGAAGACCGAGGGAGACATAAACATCCCAATTTTCAGACAAGGGTGCTCTGAAGCATCTCTTCAAAGAACGCCCTGCGCCGACAAAGTAGTTTGTTTTTCTTCGTGACGCCAAAAGAATCAAGATTTCGTTTGAGGGCATGTGTGCATCAAGGCGACATTTTATTTAATTAGTCGGTTTTTAAAGAGGGAAAATGCTAGAGCACCCGTGAAAAAGTAAACGGAACAAGGCCGAAAACCAGCGAAAAATTCAACTAACACGTGACACTAGGTTCGATAATCGAACCGAGCCACCGTACTGGAACACAAACGCTCATGCCACTGCGCCATCGGCGCGGAGAGCATTTGACTGGCGCGTCGCACCGGCGCTTATTCTCTTGACATGCAGCCACTTACACCTTTCCTAATGACAGACGGGAGGACTGGTGAATATAGCGGCATCACGTTCGTGTTTGCCCACGAGAAAATTAACCACGCAACATCCCACTAACGCAACACAACCGAAATATTTCATATAAATTTCTTAACCCAGTTTTCAAAGCGTTTCCTTTAGTGTGGTTGATCACGGACTCATTTGAACATCAATAAATCAAATAGTTATCATCACTAGACAATTAAACCTAGTAACAACTTTGTTTTCACATATTGATTTCCAATCAAATACTAACTTAATGAAATTTAGTAATCTTTCCACTTCAGTTCCTATCTTTCTCTTAAAAAGTCAGAACAGCAGAAACTACTATCTCTACTGTATAAAATTGCGCAAATTCTAGCTGGTCTCATACTAACGTACTGTGTGCGCTCTAACTCTTGAAAATAAAATAATCTCAAATTTCAAATATTATATTATTTTCAGTCTCAGCTCTTTGTGGAACAAAATACCAAAAGTTTGTATTCCATTGATCTTCAGCCTTTCGAATGTAATACGACGAGTTTTGAAGGCCGCTTGTGGCCGCCATTCGTGACGAATAAATATCTGTTGTTTATATCTCTAATTTTGGGTTCTAGCTCCGTGAAATTTATGTTCTTTGTAGTTATCGTGACCTGCTCATGGCTCTGGGTAGAAAATTATGTTCCTCTTTTATACATTAACATCTGTCGACCAACATCTTAACAAGGACTGAATACCAAGCGTATATACCCAAGCGTTAGCCCATGCCACTGTAGGCTGAGACTGCTTAAACCATAAATCGAAGTTTCAATTCAGGACAGAAATCTACAGAAGTTGTGTCGTTAAAAAAATCCAGCCATTTTATGCGCTACGACCTCAGATGGATGGTAACAAAGTTTTTTTTTTTTCATAATCCAGTGGCCAGCCCTGTTATACATTGTAAAGGAGGTTTGGTTTCTTGTCGAATGGTTCCACCCAGTGAAAATACTCCAACCAATTTTTGAGACATCCTCTATCAAAAGGGTTCAAAAAGATTCCAGACGGTCCCCTCAGATATGCGTATCGCTTCTTGTTGATTCTTTCGTTTGTAGTGAGGTTGGTTGAAATTTGGCTCATCTGTTTTGAAGAAGAAAAGGACAAGAAAAAAACTTTATATCAGTACAAATACCACAAGATGCTACTCGTAACTTGCGTGAAAAGAGCGAATTGTAATATAATAAGTATACGCTTGATGGTGAGGTCAGATGACGTCCATAGAGACAATGATTATGCATGCCCGCTCTTAAATTCGTTTTTTTGAAACCCACATGGCGAAAAGTTATTGCTGGAAACGAATGGAAACTGCCCTACGCTTCTACCATGCCGTTTACTTAAAACATTTTTTAGTTAAAGAAGAGACATATCTATATGGTCCAACTAAACCAAAGGTATCAGTGAAAAGGTAACGTCTGCATTCGAGCCACGTGACCCATCCGGCCGGAGCTCACCCCAGTTTCCTTGTAGCATGAAATGACTAGCAGAATTACTACTCTCCCCTGGAAGGGATGCCAGTCCATCACTAGGTAACCCCTCCTCCTCCCACCCCCCCAGCATTTCATCAGGCCTCCCTGACAATTCGCCGGTACCCAATTTTTCTCCTCAGTGGAAAAATTTTCCACGATGAGGAGGCTCTGAAGGCATGTACATTGAACGCGTTAGTAAAATAACTGCATGGCAGAAAAATCGCTTTAGCAGTATTGCTGCTTTTGTTTTGGCATGAATAACCGTTTTGACTGGAACTGATACCGTGAAGTTCAGAGAGCCGCATTCACTTTAATTTGATTCGAACAGGTAAGTTGTCCACTAGCCAATCAGGATAAAGTTCAATAAACGAGCAACCAAACCACCAATGAACCGGCTACAAGTATTGTTTGCGGTTTAGTTTTCTGACGTCTGATTGGTCCACTTTTCTTTGATACGCCAAACAGTCCACGAACATTACTATAATTCTTATTTTACACTGTGAAACAGTGTAAAATAAGAATAGAAAGAAACCCACGCATTTAGAATTCGTAGGACAACGCATAAGGCTCTTATCACACAATGAATCTGTGTTACATTTTATGAAGCACCTGCAATTTGCTCAGTGCAGTGAAAGAAAGCTTTCCGTAAAAACCAACTACTTTTATCAAAATGATCCACTCTACTAATGTAAACCCTTAAACAAGACATAAAAATGATATGTTGACGTTATTTTTCCACTGTAAATGACTACTGTTTAGTAGCGGCAAAAGACAATAAGCCCTGATAACATTATTGACATGGCATGCTAAGGATGTTATCAGTGTTAAGAATGTTATCAGGACTTGGCGTGTTTTGCCGCCACAAACCAGTTAAACACTGGAAATCTCTCACAACTGACATCTTTCCCTCGACTACTCTGACGCTAGTTAAACAGACATGAAATCCTGTTGAGAGTGAGGTATCAGATGCAATCTCCTTGCCTTGTGTCAGTATACTTTTCAAGTATAGTACGACCATCCAGACTGCCGTACAGTGAATGGGTTGTTTGAGTCCCTCCGGACAAGTTATTTTCTCTGCCGATGCGCTGGCGTGAAATAGATAATTCACAGGACATCGACAGACTTGCGGTCTTGGATCCTTCGAACTCGAGGGGTTCAACTCCCCCTCTGTTGAAGAGGTGGCATTTTCTTTGAGCGCATAAAGCTACAGTTACTGTCAACATTAAAACAGGAGTAAATGACAAAATGTTGAGTGTTTTTGTGAAAAACCATTTGTCTTCCTGAGCAGCCGCATCACAGTTATCAAACGGAATACTGAAGACGGAAATAAAACAAAGAGCGGTCAGGAGCGACACGTCCAAAATATTCATACAACTGTAACTGTTCCCCGTTTCTTCCTTGTCACAGGCCTCCCTGTAAGGCCTTAGGAACGCGAATATCAAGAGATTCAAGATGCACACGATCGCCAGCAGTAGCTTTTTGACTGGACCCATGGGTACAAAAGTGTATATCAAAAGGATGCCCAACCGAGAAATGAAGTAAAAACCTGCACACCAACGATACCGATCTTTAAAACACCTTTGAAGAGTATCAAAGTATGGATTCCATTGGCTAAGATTCAGCACAGGGCGAAGATATTTGGTCAGGTAAGGTCGAAATATAAGGATCAAAGGGAACGGAATGACGAATACTGTGATGAACGCTAAGGCGGTGATTCCATAAAAGATATGTTTGCCATGGAAACACTCAATGTCACCATTATGAAAGACCACTGTCCTCGATTCAAATTTGGCAAAACGGAGGATTTTAAGGGAAATATTGGTAGTGTCCGTATAACAAAATACAAGGATGGTGCAGACACCGCGAAAAGGGGCTGTCACAAGTCTGCTGAGGCAACAGTTTGGAAACCTTCTGACGAATTTGGAAAGTAAAATGATCATCAGCATACAGAAGAGTGGAACGGTATACATCAACATCAACTTATCTACTTCGTCCAAACGTTCAGCGACACACAGATTGCCCCCAAATTCAACTTTCGCACTACTTAAAGAAATCAGGAATTCCGTGAAAGGATTAAACTCAAAGTTTTCCGGTGTTAACAGCTTCATAACATGGTATGAAAACAACCAAGCATTCAAGCAGCCAGTAAATGCGTCCAAATCGACGATTAGGATGAGCATCACAACTACGAGGAAAAAAATTCCAAACGGAATCAAAAGAAGCAAGTGCCAGTTTGTGCAACCCAATTTACAGCTGTCACCTCCCAGAGAGCTGCTGTAATTTTCCTTGCATTGTCCACACAAAATGCTCTCCTGATCGCGTCCTTCCCCGCACATGTGATTTTTAAGGTACCGGTACTCCTTGAGCTTTATAACGTCTGAATTACAATGTCCAGTCGGACAAACATAAGTCACGAATTTTCCATCCACCACTCCAGCCCAATATCCTTGCTTCACCCACACGGTTTTGCCGTCAGAATCACAACGTGAAATGCCTCTGGTCTCAGCTGTGGGCTTCATGCAGACACATGTTGATGTTTCAGGAGAAAAATGAAAGCCTGGATAGCAGGTTCTGAAAGCACCTTTGATTTCCACTTCTTGCTTTCCGCCAAAACAGCTGAGTACCACAGAGTAGTTGCTGCCTTGTTCTCCAACTAAACGGATGCCGCTAAGACTTGCATTGGTTATTTGAAACAAAGATGAGCGATCAAGACGTTTTCCCGATGGCGTAACTGACGTGATTACCACATCACAAGTGCCTTGAAGATGATTGTGAACTTCGTCAAGTACGCGAACAGTTGGGTTAAATACCTCCCCAGGGGCAACCACCCAGTCTGTCTGATTGTATTGGATGTCCACTGGGTCCGTTGCAATTTCAGCCAAATTGAGTTTAGTCTTATTAGCCATCTCTAGAATGGATTTGCCATCGAGGACGCAAACGTTTCTTAGCGTAGAAACAAAGATAGAATTTCCTCTGACGGCTTTGTTGTCTTTAAATATGACTGAAATATTCACGTTATCAACAAATCGAAAGACGCAAGGAGAAGGCAATGGTTTTGAATTCATTATGCACAATGCGCCGCCTTCGTTTTCACAAGTGTTTCCTACGAAAGTGATGTTAGCATTTGGATAGGCAACGATTTCCGAAGATCCATATATTTTCAGTGCACCTCCATTGTATCCCAAGTTGTTGGCGAATTCTACATGGCCATACCCCAGCAAAGTTGATCCATCTAAAACTACCGCGGTCTTTTCATTTCGGCGAAAGTTAGTAGTGTCTTTGAAGATAAGAGGGACTCGTTCACTGTAAAGAGCCCCACTTTGCTTTGCATTGTTTGATTCAAACCGTGTGTCACCATCAATTTGAACACTAAATAGAACTCTCGATTCGAAATGGTCTTCAATCACGTGGTTTGAGAACAAATACATGGCTGCTCCCCAGTTCCCTGTGTTACTGTACCAAGTGCATCGATGAAAGAAAAAGTGAATGGCAGAAGATTGTAAGTAATGCAATTGAATTAAAGTTCCATGCAGCGATACACCACCTCCCTCATCTGCCACGTTGTCTATAAACGAGCAGTTTGTAATGTTAAATACGATTAAAGTATTGTCATGGCTTTGCAAGTTCGCAATGTAAGCTCCGCCGCCATTCAACATTACCTTGTTACTCAAAAATATTGTGTCCACAATTATGAATGAATGCTTTTCAGTATGGACATCCAGCTCCACGCGAAGACCTCCTCCGATTGACGCGCGATTATCTACAAACCTACATGCTGTGATATTTATAGTGGCATTTCTGCTATACTCTTTTAAGTACACTGACAAGCCGCTACCAAACTCCAATCTTCGATGTTGTAGTAGAGATTCTTGAGTCTTCACGTAGTTTGACACACGTATTCCGTTCCTGGAAAAGGAGCAGTTATAAATCAAGTAATGGGTCTTGCCTTTATAAGATGCGTGCTCAACTGGCGTTACATTCACTGCTGTATCCGAGTCCTCTTGGTTTAAAATCACTTTAACACCGCCTCCCAACCACAGTTTCCTCACTAAAGAGTCATGCTCAGTTGTTGCATTGGAATAGCTTTCCTTTGAACCCCTGTTGTCTGCAAACACACTGTTTATCAAACTAACGAAGGCTTCAACGTTAAACAAAGTAACCGCGTAATCTACAGAAAAAGAAATTTCTACTTCGGAGATCCGGAGATTCGTGCATTTTTTCGCAAATAAGGCTGCCTTAAATTCACCAGAAAAAGGAGAACGGTGTGAAATATTGTGCAATCGGCCACACTTTTGTAACGTCACTCTCTCGAAATTAACCTTTTCGCACTGAATAAAGGATAAGCCAGTGTTTACATTACATGTTATTTGAACATCGTGTCGAGTGGAACCACTTCCTACCAGGCTGAAGTATGCTTTTCTGGTCAAAGTAAAGTTTCTCTTCAAGGTGTAATTTCCACTTCCCAAGTTTATTTTCGATGAAGTAAACGATAAAGATAATGATAAGCCCTTGTCAATTGTCTTGCACGGGTTATTTTCATCGCAGTCGCCGGTATCATTTCCGCCAGGCCAAACATAAATTTCCTTTACAGCAACGTTCACCTCCCAAAGCAAAAGTATTAGGATGCTTCCCAAACAAAATGGATGATAGAGCATTCTCTCAAAATGATTATCAGTTTGGAGAAACAATTATCCTTTTCAACAGCTTAAAAGACCAGTCGATGCCGACTAAGAAAAAGGTTTCAACCAAAATGGTGTGAGAATCATGTGAGTTAACGTGATATGTTGAGGGGTTATGTGTATGCACTTTGTATACGAGTCAGGTAGTTTTGTATAAATTAAGCGTCAATGAAAACACGATCATTTTCATTAAAAGAAACATATATTTCCTCGCTAAAGAAGAGTGCACTCTGAAGTACAAGTACAGAACCTGTAAGAAATAGCCGCAAAAGCATCTTTTCTGGAGTGTTTTCTAAATCAGAACTGTCAGTTCTTTTTTGAAAATTAATCACGCTGTTTCTGAGAATTCTGACTTGTTTCTCTGTATCATATCATGTTATCGCATGTTTATATTTAGCTTTAGAAATAATCGAGATAGTACGCGCGCTCTCACTGGTCGATAGGCGTGTTCACGGGGAAGTATGCCAATAAACACAACTAAAAAATCATTCGGGTAAAAATTTGTTGAACTTGAAGTAGAAAAAAATTGTTAATAACTAAAAAATTCGATGTTGCTCAACGAAAGCAGAACATCCTCAACATAATGCGTGGATATTTAATGGCATATCTCACTTATTCCCAAACATTGATGCTTCACAGATAAACACATACTGTTAAGCACGACCTGCAAGTCTTGAAATCATGCGATTTTCTCGTGAGCGCCATTCCTGTCACGTGAAGTTAGGCTTTTCTTCAAAAGTTTACAGAATAAAAATAAATCATTTACAACCGTCCCTTTCAAAAGTGTGTGCAGATCGCGAGCACTAACCACGAAAAATATCTTTCCATTAGAGTTAAGAGAAAGGAGTCATAGAAATTTGTTATGTTAAACTTTGCAGATCAGAGAAGAAATCAAGGTTACGAATTACACTGTGGTAGTAAAAGCATTGAATGTTTTTTTTTTTTACATAATCCTAAACAATAATATTTGTATAATTGGAAAAATATTTAATTTCAAAGGTTCTTCCGTATCAGAGCAATAGATTGTATGCAAAACTCAAGACTTTTCCAATACTCTAATACCATGAGGGTCATTTAATAAGCATTAAATTGTCTAAACCCATAATATTAAGAAATATGCCCAAAATGCACTGCAAACTCACGGTTACTGCAATGCAATACATGAATTTAAAGAAAGCGACAAAAATTTTAAGTCTGTAATACATGTTTCGACAGAAACTTCTCTCATCTTCAGTTACTTAATGTACAAAGCGTTGGAAGTTGAATTATACAGTAAGTAGAACAATGCTAATTATAATAAATGGTGACAACAAGAAAAGAGGTATAGCATGAGAGTGTGAGAATTAAAAGGTTAATTTTAGATTTACATGGTATAATTGTTGCTTCAAGGATGGTTGTTCTCTTTGAATATGAATAGCCTCTTTTATCTTGAGTTGAAAACCGGTAGAGGCGTGATCCAAAACATGGAAGCTATCTGCTGAACACAAAGCGCGACAATGCGCAGAATCTTGCAGATACTTGAAAATGTGAGAGGCCCTGTCACTGACTAAGTGCTCTCTAACACGTGTGGAAAAATGTCGGCACGTTTCACCGACGTAACAAGCATTACAGCCAGCACATACAAACTTATAAACCTCACGTGAACGCCGAGCCCGACAGACAAACTTATAAATTACACGTGAACAGAGCCTGTCAATACATACAATCACTACCCAGGCCTGTTAATTACAGGATGATAAGGGTTCTAAAAATGCGGACATACATTTTACCTGCGGCAGTTCTCAGTTTAGACACAAATGCTTTGTACTTACCACAAATATAAACAGGGCTCCCATTAACACCGATACCACAATGAACTGCAGTAAACCAAGAAGGAATATCCAGCTGAATCCATACAAGTGAAGCATTACGATTGCAAAGTACACTGTGATGAAACTACACCAAGCCACACATGACACAAAGATGAAGAACGGACCCCTGAAAACAAACAACCACACCAAACTGCTGCAGGGTTCATATAATGCCACATTTACACGAGCAACAAATCCGATATATAGCAAAAGCGAAATAGTTATTGGTCCTATATGCTTGTGTCCGTTGTAAAATCCATTCAAAGGGCACCTCTATCCAGGGGACACAAAGGGAGGTTGTGAAAGTGCCTCTGAAATGATAATTCATTAATTTTGCCCTCACTGACCGATGGGAGGCAAGCTCTTCCTGCAGGACAAACAACATTATAGAATGCCAGTGGTTTCACAGGTAATTGTACACTTACACGTAAATTGTCTTGGGTTTCACTGAACCCTACCATGTTTTCTATTGCCAACCTGGGTCTCTTTTGGTTCACTTCTTCACTGTTTGTTTCTAGTTTCTGACCAAGAAACCCTTGCAAGGAAACTCTCATTGATACAAAGAACGACTCATAAGAAAACAAAATAAAGTGTGCTGAAGAGGCAATCAAAATGTTATTTACCTGTTATTGAGGCCAACACAGTTATTGATATAAGGACAGTGGTGATCAAAATGCTTGACACAGCGGTTACAAATCCTACAATGCTTTGCACGCAGTGGTCGCACCAGTCTACAAGAGTGACAGAGGTTTTCCAAAGGGTTTTGCCCTGTCCTGACCTGCCACTCTTCATAAAACGGCACCTAAAATGATCAAAACAAAATCAGTAGAGTGCTTAGTCCCTTAGAGGACGGCAAAGGAGGTTGCCATGTTAATTACACAAAACTCACATCCTACAGACCTGCCATGACATTCTCACCTGTTTTAGGGCCATGTCATAATCTGGACTATGGCAGGGGAGGAATCCTGGGTCACGAGAATTAGCATAATATAAAGCCCACCACATCGTAATGTTTAGGAAAATAAACAAATAATGAGCCCAAGGTAGGATATCCCATGAGACTGGAACAACCTGCAGACAAACAGAAAAATTAATGATAGACATGTGCCAAGTAGCTACTTTAGCCAGAGCTGATCCTAGTTTCAGTCTCATTAAGAAAGTAGCAACATCATAATATTACACTCCCCCATGTATAAGCTGCTGATCAACTGCAGGTAACCCTTCCCTTCTCTCACCCCCCCCCCCCCACCCAGAAATGTTGTGATGTTCCCTTCACTGTTCACCAGTACTTTTATGTCTATACATTTAATTCAGTCTAACACTACTATAATATTTATCAACTGTTGTTATTTCATGAGCATGTGACTATTTTGAGTACCTATTTTCTAACTTCTTGTGCATTTCTGTTCTCTTCTCTATCACTGTAATGATTTCATATATCAAAACTTTCTAGTAAGTGTCTTGTCATTTAATCCTTTAACTCTCAAAAGTGATGAACATGTAACTTCTCCCTGCAATATCCATACATCATCCAGCAAATAGGTAATGAGAATACTCAACCTTATCAGGTAGATGTTATCTTGATCTAACACTAGATTCTCATAAATAAGGAAATGTCTGCCAGACCTTGGGAGTTAAAGGGTTAAGACAACACAAGGAGGTTTCACTGGGACCACTCAGTCTCCAGTTCAGCTTACTAACTATTGAGGTTCTGTTACAATCCCTCCCACACACAGAAAAATGAGTATAAAACAATGTCCTTCTTTCATACCCTTTCACAATCTACTTACATAAAAGAAATAAACAGGATAGCCCCAGAGAAACAGATTTCCCAGATAAAATAGCAATGCTCCTCTAGATCTCCCAGGTGGGCCAAATACAATGTCCCTAAAAGAAAATCAAATTCATGTTAAAGTTACTAGAAGTTAATTTGCTTGGCACCAAACATAATGACAACATAATGACCAGCTCTCAGTCGGCTTGTTAGCTCAGTCGGTAGAGCACAGCACTAGTGTCATAGAGGTCATGGGTCTAACTCCCTTACAGGCCTGACTTTTTTCAGGCTTTATTTTCACTACTGCTTATTACGTAGTGTAAATCATTACTGTGAAGATCACTCTCATATTCAAACACAATAGAGCTGCTGTGTTTATGTGCCTGTGGAATACTGGAAATTCACTTTCAACCACAAATTGATAAAATGGCTCAAACATTTTGAATATTTTCTCCACACAGTAACAAACTCTAGATGGTTGATAAAAATCTAAGGAAACCCACTTAAGAGTGTCAGTATAAAACTGCAAGAAAACACACATACCTAATATGGCAGGAGACCAGACGATTAAGTTTACTTTGTAAGTAGTGAACAATTTCCTTGTGGTCTCGACCCATGGCCAGTCTTAATGGTGTCTTGTTATTACTATCTACAGCATCTAACACAACATCCTGGGGCAAAAAGAGAAAGCAAATACAACAAATTGGCATTTAATTGTAAAAAAGATCTCTAAAAATGGTGCCATTAGTGTTTCAGCATTTGCCATCCTGAGCTGCAAGAATTGTATGAGAAGATTTGCCAATATTAAAACCTAATCTTAATAGTAAGATTAATAATGATAATTGAACTGAGTGGAGTGCAATTCAGGCTTAAATCATACACATGATTTCAAAATTGATCGAGCATGCAGTGCGAGTTTGATTTGAAATCACAAGTATGATTTCTGACCAAAATTGCACAACACGAGGTATTTATTACATTCATTTTGAAATCGCCCAAATACAGGACTTGGTCATTTCAAATATTTTATTGATGCAGTACTGAGCTGGTTTGAAATTAAATTCATCTACTTTTTGGGGGGAAAAAGTAAGAGTTTTGGAAACAAAAGTAGCAAAATTTGCCATACAATACTCTTTGTCTCTCATTTTCCTGCAATTTGATTGGTTAATTTAAACAAGCCTTGAAATCTGATTGGTTATTTTGCTTTTAGTCTGGCCTGCTAATTGGCTGGGAAAAAGATGTGATTTAAAGCAAAAAATGGTGCAATTCGTGAATAAATTGCGCCAATTAGAGCCAATCAGATTACAGGGACCACCAGTGATTTCAAAATGGGTGTAATAAATCTTTTTAACATTTTAATCCTTTGACCCCTAAGAGTGACAAGCACCTAATTACTCCTAATAATATCAGACCTGAATCACTTTTTAAGGTCACAAGAATAAAGGAAAGGATCACCAACTAAAGAAGCTCAAGTTTGAGTTTTATAAAAAGTAATTCTCCTTGTCAGCGCTGTAGGAAATGTACAGGGAAAAGTGTGGAGAATATGAGTACTGATGTTAGGGTGTAAAAATTACAAATTTGCTATAAATATTCCTAATGAATTTTAACCGCACACAATAAAATCAGTACCTAAACAAAAATTTGTGATAGACAGTATGCCAGAATAACAAGCTATATTCATTTCTTTAGATCAAGATATATGACAGGTGGCAGACTTACAGTAACCAAACAAACTTTCATGTGTTTTTAAAATTTACTGCATTTTCTTCTGTTTCTTAGGAAGAAGAGGTAATAAACTGATACAATGAACATAGCATAACTACAGTATAAGTTATAGTGTCTTAAGCTTGGGACAGCAGGGTTCATCACATCTGGACCAACTTAAAATGAAAAATTTCTAGCTTTGGTAATTAGTTTTTGTTGTGAAGATTTGGCAGTTGATGATCCTGGCAAACATGTTTGAAAGAGCTCAGCATCATAACAACAAAAGAGTGATTACTTTGTTGTTATTTTATAAAGACTACTTCTTTCCAGATCATAACCAATTTCCTCAAATGTGATTGGTGCATTAGCTGCTTTAGTTTTCACTAATTATTCTTTAGAGTTGTAATTAGACAGCATAAGCAGACAGTTGGCTGTAATCAGACAACTTTAATTGCACTCTTCAGCAGCCAGTTGAACTAATTCTACTCAGCTAAAGCCACCAATCACAGAATTGACCAATTACCATAGCAAAAATCACTAACCCTACAAAATGGGGGAATTTCTTACCTTAGACAATGTCTTTACTGGAGATATATTCTCAAATGAATGTATTGTAATGTTATGATTAAATGGTAACAGGACTTTGTGTCGTCCAATTCTACCTGTAATCATACTTGTAACTAAAAATTGGACTCCTGCTGCAAAGTCATCCAATTTTCCAACTACTCACATGATTACAGACTGCATAGGACTCCACTTGATCCTTTTACCACTGAATAAACCAAAAAGAAACTCAGAGGCTATACATACAGTCATCAAATCAAGTTGGTGAAGCTTCATTAAATATTCAATGCCTACCATGTCGACAATGTGCTCAACTGTGAGTAGGTCTCCACTAAGACAAGCCAGATGAAGAGGGGTCTGAAATTGTACCAAAGATTTGAAAAAGTCAGCTTGATATAAATATCCACAGATATCTCCTAATCATAACTTAACTGTAAAATGTCAACAATAGAGAAGTTAGTATTATACTGGTTTCAAACTTTAATATCTATAAAAGAGAAAGCAAATGGAAAATTGGTTCTAAAATTGCAAGTTTTCCAAACCTCTTGCAAGTATTTCAAATTTGTCTCTCATTTATTCCAGCTCCAATTTTTTGCAAAATAAATCTCAGACCAAATAATTTTAATAGTCTAAAAAAGATCAACAGAGAGAAATATCTTATTTCAGAAGCCCAACAGATCATTTGAAGAAAAGCAAGTCTGAAATTAAAATAAAATGAATGTTGAATTCACTTTATATTTCAAAAGTGGTTAAACCAGCATATCAATTATGAAGAAAGGAATTCAATGAAAAAGGAAATAAATTTTCTGTCCCTGATCCTTCTATACACATGTTTTGTTTGTAAGTATCAGCTATGGAATGTTGTCACATCAATTGGCTATTAGTTTAAGCTTCTTTGGACTTTTTTACGGCAATCTGGCTTCTCAAGCACTTTGTGATACAGAATAAGATAACAAAAACAATATGAGAAACATTAATGTGGACATAATTTTCTTGATCAGATGTTCCAGAGGAAGTTGCCATTCATGTAACAGGTTAAGCCAATTATGTCATTCTAACTATTTAACTTATTATCACTATTTTGAATGTCTCTCTGATTTGTTAAAGCTTATGTCTCTACATGGCTAATATCAATCCAAATCACTGTAAGAGAGAATATAATTACTGTTATTTGCATGTAGGTGTCAAATAACCAACAAGTTTTGAAATTGTCTCTTCTTATCTAATCCTTTTAATATGTAAATAATGATTTACCATCTGTGATTGAAAAGATGCATTTTTCTAGCCCATTGCCTTACTTTCAAACCCAGACTTATTAATTTTTCATGAATTTAATGCTTTAATGAGAAATTTTAAGAAATAACAATTAAGATTTCTCTCTCTCAGCCTCTCAAAAAATGAGATAACACACAATGAAAAGGGTGGATAATGATTAAAGATACCCCATGGTGAGAACCTCAATGAGGTGCTTGTGAATAATTGATCAGAGTAAAGAGGGAGAGAAGGATGTAAAAGACCATTTAAGTTAAAAATTAAAGATTTGGAGACATCAGAATATTGGATTTTTTCAGAGACTTTCTGATGAATTTTCATTGCATTTCTCAAGGTCGATTCTCTCACAGCAGTGATGTGTTCCATCAATGCACTTGATAGAAACAGTGAATACCTCTCAGCTCTATCACTCATTGTAAACCAAGTTCAACAGCATAGAAAAAATTACAGTGTATGAACTGAAGGGAGATTGTACTCCAAATTGTCACATCGGCATACAAAATCCAGCCAGGGTCATTGTGTTGTGTAGCATTTTCCAATGTCTCTTTCCACCAACTGAATACCAGTAATTGTTCAGGGAATTTTTTAAAATACTTGACAGTTACCTGGGAACCTGGGATACCAAGAAGCACTTACTCCAACAGAATTGTAATTGTTTTTAGTATCTTTGTGTTAAATCTTTTAGAATTGAATGTTCAACAAATATAACCTAGTGGTTTCTCTTTCAGTCTATACAGGAAAGAATCCATGACTACTTTTTAGTGGGAAAGTACTTGCTAAAAGAGTTAACTTAAAGTTTGTGTTTTGATACATGTATATGTAAAGTTTACCAAACATACCTGGCTAAACCTGTCTTTCTGTTTGGGATCAAACCCAGAATACAGAAGCAACTGGACTACCTCGCTGTGACCTGTGAATTTTACATACATGAAAACAAACAATGCACTTGGTATATTTTCAATTGTAAATTTTCTCAAACAGATTTACTGTCAAACACAGAAAACCATGAATACCTGAAGTACTTTGAAACATTTATCTTGTTATGACACATAAGAAAACTATAAAACCATTAAATCAAGGTGTTTACAGCTTACAATTTTGTTTTCTCTTTTTATTCACCTGCAAGCATTTGATGACAAAATGTAATCATCAGCAAAAAACACAGTCATTCAGCATGCTTTATATTCTTATTGTGCATGCTGAGGAACTATGTATAAAACGGAAGCACAAGGAGTGACATCTAATAAAAATGCCTGATAGAAATGTTACAAAAAAATTGGCTTATGCACCACTATACAATAAAAAAGATGTGAGGCACTTGCCAAGTTTGAAGAGCACTAAGATCCTAGAGTAGTTAGTTTTGCTCTAAACTTCCAGCCTTCTTCAAAGCTTGGTGGACACACACTGATGCATGAACCAGTTGTTCATTATATTACAATTAATACAGAATAATTTGCTACCTTTAAAACAAGCCCAGTGCAAAGCATTGTCGCCCTCATGATCTGTCAGAAATATCTTTGCTCCTTTCCCCATAAGGTATCCAGCCAGCATTGCTTTTCCATACTGTGCTGTAATAATTAAAGGAGTACAACCTTTGTTGTCAGTACAGTCTATTGAGGCCCCATTTTGAAGAAGAAGATCCACACACAAAATATGACCATTGACACATGCCCAGTGAATTGGATAAGGTCCATAATCTGATCGACTCTGCTGATTTACTTCAACTCCACAATTTATAAAAAATTTTATAACTTCGCTGTAACCACCCAGGGCTGCCCAATGCAATGGCGTGTGTCCATGACTGTCATGTGTGCTCAGGATTTTCACGCCATGCTGTGCAACAAGTTCCCTACACATTCTGGAATCTCTAGAAACAAAAACAAAAATTTTATATCAATGTCTAGTTTGTGAAATTTAAATGCAGAGGACAATACTAATTGTGATAACTGATTGAATTAGATTAGGCTAGTAGTGATGAAATTAATACCACCTGTCTAGTGTTTGATTTATAACCACATTGAAGACCTCTTGAGGGAAAGGGGTAACCAAAAAGAGAGGCACACCAGAATCAAAAATGATTCTGATATGATGCATCATACTGAATAATGACCCAATAACAATTCACAATGGGATAGGCAGAGAACTGATCTAAGCTTTTTGACAGAGTTAAAAACATTACAACACTGGATTGGGAAACATGCATTGAATTTAGGTCATTAATTTAAATTTGACTCAAAGTTTTACCTATCCTCAACAATCTTATTTAAGCCACATTGTCAATGAAATGGTCATAAAAAGAGTTTAATTTGATAAAAAAGAGAATGCTCTATAGACTCCATACTGTTAGGTTGATAAAAAAAGGCTGTGAAATTATTCTGTGCACAGCACTACTTTGGAAAAAAAAACATCAAATTAGGTAGCTAAAAAATTCACTGCTACCTTTTGAAAACAGGTGTTAGTATAATATTTTTCCGTTCCTTTTTTACACTGATACGTTTGCAAGTGTTGCTTAGTCTCTTTTTTGTATAATTCCAAGTGTTAATTTACCTCGTATTTTATTTAACATGGCCTTTAACCCACTGACAAAGTCCATCCGTCTCTCAGAGTGAGAGCATGTCTGAACGCCACAGCTGATTACCGCTAAACCAACAAACTACTTAATTGTTTTCTTCTTCCACTTACCAGCTCGTATATCATATCTGCTACGTCTGATCTGTGTTAATTTACCACATTTCCAACCAGAGGTATCAAAAATTAAGATAAGCTATCGAGAACCGGAATTGAATTAAAACATTTTGAGAGACTTAATTGTGTTAAAAGGCGATAAAAAGAGACTTTTGTATTAAAAAGGAATACACGATATAATTTGTGGAAAGTCCTTCCTGAGTTACATTTTGGAGGTTGGAAAAGAGGCATATAGTTGAACAACGGCTACTCCTCTACTCACCCGCATTGTGCAGCTTCAAAGATATCAATCGGTTTACAATTCTCGTGGTTTTCACACTCCTTTGATTCTTTCTCATCGCCCGCCATGTTGGTAGTCAACCGACTCCACGACGACAACCGACGGAAGCCGTGAAATATTCGGGTATCTTCGGAAGACTTATTTTAACTTTCCGAAGATCAAGCATGGAAATTACCCTGTCACCCGAGAGTCATGTGAGAAAAACACTGACACTTGCGTATGCGTATGATTCGAATGGAAGGTGAAAGTATGGCGGATCAACGAGATTTGGTGCATCTCAACCGTTTGAAATGCTTCAACGATGCTGTTTTTGCCATAGTATCGACCATTTTGATTCTTCCCATCCGCAAAATTCCAGAAAACTCCTCTATAGACCTTGAAACTGAGCTGGGTAAACGATGGAATCAGCTTGTAGTGTATTTCATATCGTTTCTCGTTATTTGCTCTGTCTGGGAATCCCATGTGCACCGTTTTAAGATTCTTGCCCATGTAGACGATGTGTTAGTTTGGTTGAACCTAACTTCTCTCATGTTTACCTCGTTTTTACCGTTTTCGTGTGCACTGGAGGGAAAGTATCCGACAAAATACCTTCCTTTAATGCTGATTTGTGCTGACATGTTACTTGTAGAACTTCTCGAAGTGGCTATGATTTTCTATTCCTTTCACCATGACTACTTACTGATAGACGAACTAAAAGACCTCTCTAAGGAACAACAGAAGGAAAGAAGAAACTATATGTTGGCGAAAAAACTTCTTAATCCAATACTGTATATTTTGGCTGGATCTCTGAGTCTCGTCAATTCTCTTACTTCCTGGGTTGTGATTTCTATCGTCATCATCACGCCCTGCATCCATCGTCTAATTGGCTTCATCTTTCGAAAATGCCAGTTTGCTCGTGTGGCTGGAGCAGATTTTGATCTTATGTTCGGTAACTACATCGACACAGAGAGGGTAGAATGTTTTAGTGACGGAGTATTCTCGATTGTTTCAACTCTGCTGGTATTGGACATCACAACTGAGAATTTGCCATCTGAAAACTGTGTCGCGCAAATTGGAATCGACAGAGCTGTACTGAACATGTGGCCGAAGTTCATGATATATGCAGCAAATTTCATTGTGATTGCTCTATTGTGGTTTATCCATCACTCTCTCTTCCACTGCATCAAAAAAATGAATCAATTCATGTTGGTTTGCAACAACGTTTCTTTGGCTTTCGTTGGTTTCTTTCCCTTTATTGTTGCCATTTTGAACAAGTTTGCTGACAAGCCTAAGACACCCGATGACAGCACAAAGCTTGCTGTGCAGTGTGGCTCAGTGGTCATATTTATGGCAAGTATGTCTCAAGCTGTTGTATTTGTTGCTGCACTGTGGAAAGGTCCATCCCATCTGGAACCAAAGGTGAACCCAGCTGTTTCCAAAACGAGTCACTACTACTTGACTTTGAAACTTACCATTTTACCTGTTATTAGTCTTGCAGCATACAGCATTGCAATTACAGCAAGTGCTTTAATAATCTATATTGCTTTCCATGCTGGTGCATTTGTAACTCCATTCTTGTTCTTAGCACTGAAATTCTGCTGGGGCCATAGGGAAGTGGGTGTTTTGAGACACGATGTTGCCATGGATCCTGACTTGGAGACCTGGGTACCTCCCCCTCACAGAAGTAGGTTGCGTGTTCAAAAGAATTTCATAGGTGACACTACTTTATCACAGTCATTAGCATGCTAAGAAAATCTAAATAATTTCAGACTTATGGTGGCCCAAAATATTTTTGCTGTTTTTTGATGCAAATTCTTTGTTGAATGTTTTCTACCCTATGTTTAAGTTGACAAAAATTATACTGGCTCTAAACTGAATGTTCTGAATTGTTTGAACTTTGCACAAAGGTGCATCTTGAAATGTTGACTATATTTCAGTAAACAACAACTGGTGTCACATTCATCATTTTTTGATAGTTTTAGGGGTTTTTGTTAAAGTCAAATCTAATTATGGTGTTTCTACAGGCTCAAGCATTGATACTACAACCTTACAAATAATAAAACTGGTCCAAATTTGTTTTTAAATAATTAGATAATTTAGTATTATCAACTGAGTTAATAATACTAAATTACCCTGTTAAACTCACCCACCAATGCAGCACCTCAGTTTCTTTAGAAACTTAACCCCCTTTATTTAAATAATTTATTTTATATCACTCCAAAGGAAACAAAAGAAAAAGTGTTGATGCCACAATCCATTAAAGAATTGGTGTTCAAAAAAGTGGCACAACCATTTTGAGCAACCTTTAAATGACCTAAACTGGTCCTAAAGATTCAGATGCATGGAAAGGATGGTGTCTGAATCAAGGAGAAATACAGGAATATCACCTGTCAGATATTCGTAATAGTTCTCATTTACTATTTTCTTTGTGAGATAATAATATTTTATGTTCAAGTTCATTACAGAGCTCTTGCAAAATACCCGGACATCTTGATCTGGAGTTTAGGTTAGCAATGAACAGGCTTGGACCTCTCCATGCTGTTATTTATACCAATTCCTATTTAATTTTAGGAGGTAAGACTCCTGTGAGGTTTCATTTACAATTATGTTTTGCAAGCAAATTGTGTTGTTAAGGTTATAAGATGTTTTGTAAGGGTAATGATGGTATACATAAATAAAGCATGTTTGTTTTGCAAACATTTTCCTCTCTCCAAAAGCAATTTTAAATTGCAGCTATGTTAATTATGGAAATAGTATCTTCCCAATATTTTGTGATGTTGTGTCATCTCTAAGATCAAGAAAACTAGTGTAAACTTTTGGAGCAACGTGGTTTCCAAAGAGAAGTCAATTAAAATCTCACCCTTTTGTGAGTCCAATTCCATTCAACAATCTTTAACTAAATAGACTGTAGCTTCTGTAGATACTTTATCTGACAGATTACTTTGCCTACTAATTTTAAGTATTGAGTTAACAAAATTTTTCGAAAGGTATTGTTAGTACCTGAATTAGAGAAATTATAAGTTTGCAAAATTTATTTTGCAAAGAAAGATAATGTATATTGCATGAGAGAAAAAGGAAAAATCATATTTTGTAATAAAACACAGTTTAAACTAATACAAGTCAATTGATACATAATGTTTAGAACCTAAGGCAGTTGAGATAGCTGTTTGCTTGAAAGGCAATAATAAATGCGTTTTCAAAAATCAACGTGAGTAGATTTTTACTTTACACTGAACAGTTTTAAAGGCCAATATCCTCTGGATGTTGGCCGTCACGCGATCTCCCCATCAACAACTATTGGAAGGGGAACGTTGCGTGACGCTAAACGCCGGAGGACTTTACCTTAATGCCCTTTTTTTTTTTTTTTTTTTTCCGCTGTCTAATATCCACTCAGGGATCGTCTGAGTGGAATCTGCATGACAAAATAGTCAATTTATAGCTGACTATTCTTTGGGAAGTGTGGCCACGCTCTAAAGAGCAGCAGAAGTCGAGCGTTTCCGACCACGAGTTCGATTCTGCGACGAATGGGACTCAAAAGATGCGGAGAGCGGTATTCTCCCACCATGTGATCTGCACGAAACATCTGGAAGAACCACAAACGATTTTAATTTCGCTTTGTGAGCTAACAGGAACTTAGAGATCATTTTAACAACGCGGAATTTATGTGGAATTGAGGGACATTAACCCTTTCACTTTCTGAACATATCCGCATTTGACAACGAAACTAATTGAAGCGATATGACAGAGGAATTGGATCTTCTCCATCTCAAGCGTTTGCAATGCTTCAACGATGCAGTATTTGCCATTGTGGCGACCATTTTAGTTCTACCTATCAGAAAACTCGAGGAGAATGCGACAGAAAGCTCCAGCCTTGCCGATCAACTTAGCGACAAATGGCCGCAGTTATTGATCTACCTTGTAGGGTTCCTCGTAATTTGTGCCGTATGGGAATCGCATGTTGTGCGCTTCCGTATCTTGTCACGGCTCGATGATGTGCTAGTCTGGTTAAACCTTGGATCGTTGCTATTCACTTCGTTTCTCCCTTTCACGTGCGCTTTAGAGGGAATGTTTACCTACAAGTACCTTCCCATGATGTTGATCTGCGGAAACTTGCTCATTCTCGAAATCCTGGAGGTGATCATGATCGTGTACGCCTTTCATCATCCACGGCTGCTGGACCCCGAGTTTGAGAACCTCTCCCATCATGAAATCCAACAAAGGATGAAGCTGATGCTGGTGAAGAAAGCTGTTAACCCCTTCCTGTATATTTTAGCTGGTGCAGTTAGCTTGGCCAAGATAGAATTGGCCCTTATTGTTGTGGCGATTGTTGTCTTCTCTCCCTGCATTAATCGCCTCGCGGGTGTTATCTATCGCAAATGGACTCGTGTGCATCTAACTGGATCGGAGTTCGATCGCATGTTTGGGAATTTCATCGACAAAGAGAGAGTGGAGTTTTTCAGTGATGGACTTTTCGCGATTGTTTCCACTCTGTTGATCCTAGATATCACTGCTGAAGATTTTCCAACGGAAGAGGAAGTCAACCGCCATGGCATCCAGAGCACACTCCTACACATGAAGTCGGAAATTTTCACGTATGGAGCGACGTTCGTGGTGGTCGCGCTTTTATGGTTCACGCACCACTCGCTATTTCACTACATTGAGAAACTGAATCAAGTCATGCTCGTTTGTAACAATATTTCCTTGGCCTTCGTGGGTCTTGCTCCTTTAATCAACGTAACGCTTAACCGTTATGCAGGGCATGGCAAACCCGATAGCCGTCTTGCAGTGCAAACCGGGGCGATAATTGTATTCATGGCCAGCACCAGTCAGGCTGTAGTGTTTGTGATCGCCTTATGCAAGGGTCCGAACTATCTAATGGCGCGCGCGAATCCTAGCGTGGGATCTCGTACGCACGCGTATCTCGCGTTGAAGATGGCCATACTTCCACTGATAACGCTCGTGGTATATTTAGTAGCCGCGCTGTGCCAGCATGCTTCGCTCTCTGATGACGTGTATCACATCGCTGCAGGGCTGACACCCATGATATTCATTCTCATGAAAATCGTGTTTTCCTGTTTCAAGGTTCACTGTAACTGCAGACAGCGGAGAAGGGGAACGGTGCGACAAGTCGATTCGGAATTTTACTTTTTTGCAGGTGACTAAAAATAAAATGAAGTGCATAAGGGAAGAGAACAATTCCGAGAAACTTCAGGAACCAGAAATGCAGGACTAGATTTGTATTTCAAAGTGTCTTATTTAACAGAGCGTAATCCATGATGATCGAGAATATTTTGTGCATGACGCTACTGAGCATGACGTATTTACAACTTCGTAGTTTTCAAGTGGAAGCCGTATTCGTGCACGATAGCAATCTAACCATTTACAGCCATATATCAATATGCATATTCTCCTTACTGTTCTCCGTACATTTCGTGAGGTGTTGACAAGAAGAACTTATTTAACAATCAAGAGCTTCTTTAGCAGATGATCATTAAGTTTATTCTTGTAACCTTAATGCTTAATTCAGGGATGATATTGTAGGGAGAAATTAGATGCTAATCACTCTCCAGGGTTAGGGGAGTTTCTCTCCTAGTAACATGTTAAGGTAATGATTCCAAACTAGTAAAAGATTAAGATCCTATATTCAAAATAATACTTTTTAATGTACTGCAAAATAAGGGAGGTACGTTTCTAAACAAACTGGTGCTACGTCGGTGGAGGAGTATAACAAGAACATTTGGTTTTATCAACTGAGTTGATGATGTAACTTGGCCACCGTAAAGAGTTTCTGAGATGTCGTTTCGAGCGTTAGCCCTTCGTCAGAGCTCTGACAGTGTTGCTATTTACATTATCAACTCATTCGATAAAACTAACATTATCTTATTGCAAAATAAGATTTCATTATGTCTTTATATCTGAGAACTCCGCTCAGAAAACAGAAGCACACCATTGGTAACGTTCAAACAATTCTTTATTGAAGACTTTTCATTTTAATAATAATATCTCAAATAAATCTTACTTTGACTTGCATCTAGAATTCTCGTAGAAGGTATGTCACTCTTGTGCAAACTCGACATCATAAATATCGAATTTCTTTTTAAAGGTCCTTTAAAAAAAGGATCTAAATATTTGATTTTGAAAATAATTCATTAAAAACCGTAGCTAATCTTCCTTTAACTATAAATATTGAAAAATACGTTTACAGTATGCAAAACGCTGCTGTACAATTGCACAGTATCTACACGAGTGATAGAATTTTATACAGTATGTATATTGTTTTACTTTACTTAAACACATAAAGGTATAAACGAGATACCAATAAAGAGGTAATTACAGCTTTCAGATTTTCCCTGACCTCCAAACGAGATATTTACAAGTTAATTTTACAACGTTAGAGTAGAGTTAAAGTTTTTTAAGTTAATCCAAGCGAAAAGTAACCAAACACAAGGAAGGAAATATTCAATAGTGGCTGTACAGGAACCCCTTTGAACTTCAGGCCACATTTGTTACAGCTGCTAAATGAACGTGTAAGCTTCCACTCCACCATTCTCAGATTCCTCATTTGCGTGTTTTTTGTTGTTTTTGTTGTTTTTTTTTTAATGAACAACGATCTAGTATTTTTCTGGTCTTTGGCAGATTCTCGGTCAGATGTAAAGATCAAATAATAAGATCGAAAATGGCGAAAAGTGGCGGTAGAGGGGAAACCTAAAGGAGGAAAAACCATCACCTCTCCCCCTAACACGTTTTTTCCCTGGTCCCCCCTGTCCACGAGCCTGGCACAAAATAGCAGTTTCTCGATGTTTTCAAGCTATTTGTCTAGCCAATAACTAGCCAATGAGGGCCTATTCAATATTTTTTCTGGCCAATCAGATGGACCATTGAATTACAGAATCGTGGGTTAGATGAAGACGTCTGGCGCAGTTCTAAAATTTTACTTCGAGGCCACCCAACAGACATCTGCCCAGTCGCTGCACTCAAATTGCATAAAAAGTTTGCACAAAACTAAATCATTATCATGTGAAAAAGTAGGAACTTTTACAAGAATAAATCTGTGAATTCTTGCGCTTTTACTTCAGCCCATCGTTCACAGAAGGAGCACCATTCTATTGCAGCGGTTGTCGAGGCGCGTTTAATTGGCAAATATGCTTAATCCGTCGTAGTGCAAACAATAATTAACAAGTCAAAACCAAGATAATTTAGTCAGTTAATCCACGTTTGGTTCTAGGTGCTACCTGTAATCGACGCGTGTGATCTAAGACAGCTTTCAGATCCGAAATGATCTTGAAACGTAAAATAACACTTCTGTATTCGTGGTTGAATCTGCGTAGGAAACGAATTTTTACGTTGTCCTTCTTAGATTTCTCCTCTAGAAAAGTGATGTCGCACAAAATTAGTTTCAATTGTATAAAGAACCGATACACAAAAGGCGAGTGAGAATCGTCGGTGACCTATCTTCACATTAAGAACCTTTTAAAATATCAAGAGAATATCAAGAAAATATCTATTGTTGCTGTGATAAAAATAACCCAGGGAGTGAACATAGATGATTTGTCCGCGGGCAACTCACCCACAATCCACGCACGCGTACCTTTCACTCCAAATCTTTTACGAGTACCACGCGAGCTTTTTTTTTGTTGTTAACTGCTTTTTTTTCTATTAAGAAACCTACCACTTTGTTTCTGTGATTAAATTAGGGGTGTGTTTACGACAGAGAAGCGGAGATTATTTCACCGAAAGCGCCTTCGAAGCACTGCTTCAGATCACGATATGAAACCACCAACACAGACTGTTCGTCTCGTGACATAAGGCAAACTTTCTCGTTTGTCCCTGCTTCTAGCTGGAAAATGAAACAATGAAATTAAGTATTAGAATGTAATGACAAGAGGGATTAGATTCGATAATATCAGCTAAAACTGAAAAATCAGTCTAACTTAATTTTCAAAAGATAGAAAGACAAACACTGTAAGAATTACAAAATCCAAACCGAAGTAATAACAAAAGCCCATCAGCCAATGAGAACGCAAAGTCAGGGATTAGGAAGGCCGTGCGCCATGCGCGTATGGCGCATAAAGCTACGAAATGGCCTATTATAAAAATACTTACCGGGCCTGTTATGCGCCCTGACCGCACAAAGCTAGTGAAATACAAACTATTTTGTGAAAAGGATTGTAATTTGTAAAAGTTTCACTTTGGTGAGACATAAACAAGCGAAAAACTACGGTGCCTTCGCTCGTTTAAACACGCTCGCTTTATTCTTGTTCCCAGGTTCTGAACTCGGACTTTGCATGCAAACGAGGCTATTGCTCGGAGTTCCATGTGCTTTCGTTTTCGAGCAGAGTTCGAGCGTTTTCGTCGCTTTGAATGTATTTGCATCGATTAGCCTCATACCTCCGAAAAAAATCTTGAGATTGGACAGCTCGCAGAGAACGTTGTCTACATTTTTCAACACAACAGCGGAACAGAATCGTGATACTGTGAGCGAAAACGACCGTGAAACGGACGAAACAGATATAGGTATAGACTGTAATACACAAGCAATAAACCTTTGTTAAAATTTTTACTGACCCATTTATTTACCCTAATGGCCCAAACGTTTTATAAATGGCCCATAACTTTCCAATGATAGGGGCCATAGGCTCATTTGCCTGTTAAACCTTCCTAATCCCTGAAAGTAAAAACTATCAAATTAATTGGAGCGCGGTGATAAAACTTTTTAAGTTACCAAAAACACCATCATCGTTTCCAAAAGAACTAACCTTGTTTAGACAGGCAACTATATGAGCCAAGTCTACCCATGGTGCACCATTTTCAGTGACTTGGTGGAACAAGTAGTCTCTAAACAGCTTCAAAAGATATCGGTCACCAGTCTCCGACCAACTTGGATCCATAGTGAATCTGTAAAGTAATGGGCACGAGTCAGAGGGAAATCAAACGGGATCCATTGCCTAACATTACATTTCCGGGTTTTTTTTTTTAATTTTCGTGGATTTTGCGAATACACATCGATCCTGAAGAAACATAGATGTCATATGACGAAAATGACGTATGAGAAATCAATCAGTCTGAAGGTGTTTACAGTGCAAGCAGAAACAATCAATACGAAGGCACAAAACATACTCTGGTCGTTCATTAATAATTCCAATCTTGCAGAGGATTCTGAAAAGGCGCCCGTTCTCCATTTCCTGATAAAAAGAAAAAAATTATGTCGTTTAGCTTTGGCCATATGCGTTGAACATACAAATACCTAAAGACTAATAAAAATGTTAAATGTAAGGTTTAGATTGATTTAAGTTCGTCTATAACGATTTTGAACTCATGGTTGTGTGTCTTGAAAAATTCTGCAAAAATTTTTTCCAAATGTTCAAACGAAGATTCCCGAACATTTATATGCTGGTAATGAATTTTTATAATATTACCTTAGCCAGCTCGCCCTCTAAAACATCGCACTTGACTTGCGCAGCGTCTAATTGTGTGTAAAATCTGGCTCCGATCATCGGCATAATGTCATTCACGCTCTTCATGTGAGCTGCGATAGGACTGCCCAGAAGATAGCTGTCGGAGAGGGAAAAGTTTAGATTGAACAAAGACTTTCCAAAGCCGAGTAACAAAACAACATAAAGGTCTACTTCTGTAGTTTCTTCTGAGAGCTTAAGATAAATAAAAATTAGCCTACATCTTAACAGTATATCCCAGTTTCTAAAGAAAGAAGTAACCAGGAACACTGCTACTCCTCCATAGTGTGCAAGCCCACCGAAAGCAGCCCCACTCCATTTTGTCAATTTTCTAAACAGTTTACACTCATGGGAGGATCGGAACACGTAGAGTGAAATGTCTAACCCGTGAACATAGCACAATAACATAGTCACCGGTCGTACCCAAACCTCTCGATTCGAAATCAAGCGCACTAACCATTAAGCTCCATGTCTCTCGCGGTAATGTACCAGAACAAATACGTATAAAATGATCTTGTGTACATTACATTTCCCTTCCACAAGTGTTGCTTTAAAAGGAACGACGACTGAACACTTACATAATAAGGTTTTTAAGATCTGAGGAGTAGTTCATGGCCATGTACTCCAACGACTGTTGAATATGTTCACGTTGCACAGCTTGAAGAGAGTAACACGCCAAGGCAAGGACTAGTTTACCAAGGGAAGTAAGATCCTCTTGCTGCGAGAGAAAATGAAGTATAAAGGAAAACGAGTAAGCTACAAAATTAATGTCCAAAGGTGAGAAATTTTGATGCTGCTATGCCATAAGACACAATGAAACAGGAACAAACGGACGCGATGCGATGGCGTGACACAGACACACAATCTGTTGTCAACCGAGCAAGTAATTGTTACCAAGCGCATAAAGATCTCGGGAAATGCTGAACAGGGTTTTTCATTTGCTTCTTTAAGGTTATAAGAAAAATAAGGTTAACTCATGTTGGCTTGAACATATCACAGGAGTTAGGAAAAGGAGAACTTGCGAGCAAACTTTGATTTCAATTTAAGATTTGTGACGCAACATGAATTACTCCAAAATAACAAGTTTACCACGGATTTACACTTGTCACGGTACTTCCTTGCACTACGGGAGAATCAGGAACTCTTGCAAAACCTCTAGCACAAGCATTAGATTCAACCACATTACTGACGTACCTGGAAATGTGGAATCATAGCATTCGGGCTGTTACTTGCATCAAAACTGAGAACATCGAATATCCCACAACCATTTATTCTTAATCTGCAAAGAAAACAAAATGAACGTTAACATTTTAATTAAGTTCAAAAAGAGAAAGTCGAAAAGAACAGAACGCAACGCAAAACAAACAGTTGTACACTCACCTTGAATTTCCGATTAATAAAATCTTGGAGGGATCAATGACTCTACAAGCCAGTCCAGATGCATGAACAGATCTCAGTGCAGACGACAACTGAATAATGTAACTCCAAATCAACCGTTCAGGCATGGGACTGCGGTGACCTGGCCGGTGTCTGTTTAACATTCCGCCGGCACGAGGATGTGAGGGAAATACTAATGTACCATCGGGGTTCACGGGGAGATTGGAGTCTGGACCCGAAAAATGCCTCATAAGGAGTGTTTCGGCTCCAGGATGATAGTCGTACACGAAGACGAGAGCTGTGTGACGAATGAAGGTGGTTAATACGAGTCCTCGAAGCCGGAAAGCATTGATTCATTTCACAAGCGCAAAGGTATAACTTCTCAATCAGTTCCTATTACATATCTTAAATATTATTTCAGTATAGATTCATGCCTGTTGAATGTTCGATTAAAAGCGAGTACGTACTTTTAGATTGCCAGAATAGAGTCAGCTATGGTCATTTACAGGTGGAAAACACTTAACCTGTTTTCAAACTAGGAATGATAAATAGAGACTTTCCAAGTCACTTCAAGTAGAAAAGGTCAGTTTCACCACTGAAGACAACAAGTCTGTTTCAGGGACTTCACAGGAGAATTAAATTGTTCAATGACATCGTTCCCTAAGATTGATAAAATACGTTATTTTCTCCTCTACACTTACAATTATCTCCAAAAGACTTTGTTGTAAACACTTCTCTGAGACTGACGAGATTTGAGTGGCTGACTTTCTTCCACTGATCCACAAGAGCCATGGACTTGGTATTTACAAGTCGAAAAGCTAAACCACAAGAAACACTCTATGTAAGAACAAACATGAGGAAACAAGGAAACTGAATGACCCTATCACTGATGTACTGTCTGTCTGGCTGACTGACCGACAGACTAACCGACTAATTGTCTGTCTAGTTGACTCACTGACTTACAGAAAAAGTAAGTCTCAAAGGCTGAATAACTGACTCACTGACTAGTTGACTGACTGACATACTAAAAAAATTTGGTTTCATCAACTGAGTTGATAATGTAAATTAGCCGCCGTAAAGAGTTTCAAAGCTGACGTTTTGAGCGTTAGCCCTTCGTCAGAGCGAGATATTTCGTCAAATAAATCAAATCATCTTGTTCTACTCCCCCACCAACCCAGCGCTACAGTTTGTTTAGAAACTTTAACCCCCTCATTCATTTGACTGACATACTGTATAACGGAGTCTCCAAGTGACTGTCCGACTGGCTAAAGGACTGACTGGTTACCAGACTTCCTGACCCACAGACTGACTAGCTGACCAACTAACTAATGACTGTCAAACTGACTAACTGATTGACTGACTGTCTGTCTTACTGCCTCGGTTCATTATCAAACGTTTCAATAATCAGTCCACTTACAATGTATTCTTCTAAGTATGTAAATAAGTCCATCTTTAGAATTTGCGGCTTTGTAGCAGGTAGTCATATAACCAAACGTCCTTTGCGCCTTCAGGGAAAAAAATTAAAACACATAGTACATTAGCTAAAATATAACTGTCAGCTAAACACATTGTTATAAGACTTGCAAACACAATAAAAGTGGAAAAATGAAATCTTATTCATCTTCTAACATCCATGAACACCTTTTTTTTTTTTACATCACTAAACATCTGCCAAGCACCAGAGCCTGCTGCAGATCTTGTTCCTCGTTAAACCCCCACCCCACCCCACCCCACCCATATCCCACTGAAAATAATTTAAACAAAGTAAAAGTTGGCCCAGCACACCCACTGAAAAAACCATTTTGGGAATCAACAAATTAATCACAACATGTCAATTTAACTCTTCTTAATGCCATGATGTTTTCCATTTTATCTGCCTTCTTTGTAACTAATTTTGGTAACCTCAGTTAATTTATAAGTTTTCTTTTTTTTTAAAGTCAAGTTTACTGAATTTACCTGCTCAGTTGGGGTATCCAAGGGTTCTATTGGACACAGGGTGTGGTAACTGTCAACCTCCTGTGGCACAGCTAACAATGATATGGTACAAGTACATTCATCAGCAAAAGAAATAATTCTTTTCAGAAAGTAAGTTATATATTTGACAAACATTCCATGGGCCATGGACATGAGATGGAGGATACCCAACATGATGAGTAGCCTCACAGACAATATGTGGGAGGCAGAGAAATATCATACTAACAACAACCAGAAAATACTTATGATGAAGAGCTAAGTTCTGGCCTGGCATAGTATAGTTGCTCAAGTTCATGGTAGCTGCTCTAATCAAAACCTAGAATTGTACCATATCCACACATCCATATTGAAATTAATGATATCATTTCTGCATGCCAGTCCCTCCAAACCTGCTCTTTTTTTAATATTTCTACCACTAACATAACATTACAAGGCTGCTTCTTACTGTTATCATCTGGGTCAAGCTGTGCCATACTTAGTGTATGTTGGTGAATGAGTTCCTGAAAAATGAGAAGGGAAACATTCAGATTTTCAGACAAAACCACTTGATTTGAAAAAATGATTTTCTTAAGCCTGATGTTCACTAAAAATGCATTCAGAGTTAGCTTTGAATCCTAAGAATGCTTACAGCCTGAAGAAAAGCTGAAAGTTTAAAACTCAAAGTCATAACTTAGATGAAATTTGAGTCACAAAAAAAAAAAGAACATTTCCTTTTTCTCTATAATGTCTGAGGCCCAAGATAATGCTGGTTTTCAGAACCTCCTTGTGCTCAAAGTGCAACAATCTAAAAGTTTTCTCTAGGTCAAAAGCAGCAGAGTTATATGCAGAATCAGTATTCTGCTTAGGGTTTCCTGGTTTCATTTTCATTTGACAGTATCCCTCTGCATGTGAAAACCAGCACAACACAGAGCTTGAACCACTCAAACCAAAGGCTACCACATACTCACTAATGGTTACTAACCTGTCGAATTTGAGTTGACATGGAGAAAGAATTGTTCCGTGTTTGAGTGCTATGAAGATGTGCAAGGTGAGAAGGCTCTGACACATATGCCTGGTACGATGGGAAAAGCTAAAATAGACAAAATACATGTATTTCAGAAGGAAAAAACTATCTGCCACTTTTTCTTTAAGCATACAAGTACAAGTTTACTATCTCATATTAGTGATAAAGAGCATTCATGTTAGTAATCACAAAAGACATTACAATCTACATTTAAAACATGTTTTCCTGACAAGGACAACCAAATATTAAACAATATTTTTTCCATCAATTTAACAAGAGGTTTTTTTTCAGTAAAAGTATAATTCTTACCACAGCAGGCTGCTGTTGTCCTTGTTGAGTGTAAAAGTAGGTTGTTCCACCAATTGATTCCATTTGTTGTGGAGCTGGAACATGTGCCTGGTTGTGTATTTGTGGCTGGGGGAGATTTTGGTTCTAAAGAAAACATAGAGGTTTAAAGAACTTTATTATTGTTGTTGTAAGAGCAAAGATCAACTCCAAACCTCTTTAGATGTGTGGGCTACAAGACTATTGCCCTTGGAAATTGTTCTTGTGGCCATTCTAGGAACATGCAGGAACTGTAGGTAAAATGTTATTGCTGATAGGGTTTGCACTGAAACTATCCTCAAATTACATATAAAATTGCCAAAACGTAGCAAAACATAAGAAACAAATGCATTCAAAATAAAACACTCACTGCAGCAGATGGTAAAAATTCAAATGCTTGTGACGTGATTGGATTGTGATGTGCCTTTGGTGATCCAAGTGGTGGCTTGCTAGGAGAATGCAGTGGTGACACAGGACCTCCAGGTGCCAGGGATGAGGTAAATGCCTTCTTTGATGGGGAAAGAGGAGAGAGGTGCCCACCAAGGGAACCTGCAGGCATCTGAATAATGTAAAAAACAAGTTTAGTTACATGACCATGTTTGAACAAGTTATCACACCTCAAAAGAAGCTCAGCTAGCCAGTACTATATACATGGTAATTTAGTGTTAACAACTGAGTTGAAAACATAAATTAGTCACTGTAAAGGGTAAAAAAGCTGGCATTTCATCATTAGCCCTTCGTCGTCCATCACTCAGTTACATGATCATTTTTGAACAAGTTATCACACCTCAAAAGAAGTTCAGCTAGCCACTACTATATACATGGTAATTTAGTGTTAAAAACTGAGTTGAAAATGTAAATTAGCCACCATAAAGGGTAAAAAAGCTGATGTTTTGTCGTTAGCCCTTCGTCGTCCATCACTCTGACGAAGGGCTGACGCTGCTATACTCTCCCACCAACGCAGCACCACAGTTTCTTTAGAAACTTACCCCTTTACTACCATATACATGTCTGATTTCATGCTTGTATTTATAAAATATAAATCATACAAAATCAGAAATTAAAGTTGCAAAAAAATTAAACAATTATTATCATATATAAATACAAGCACAGTCAGAATTTTATGTGCATGTGTAAATAGCAGATATTTTAAAACATGAAAGTGCTGAAATGAAAATGACCAATAAGATCACATGACTGGTGAAAAGTAATCCAAATTTGATGGATTATTTAAAAGACTGAAAGAGGTGACATTTTCAGATGTTTTCCAACTAACAGCAGCAATACATTACCTTGTTTGTTGAAATCGACAACTGTGCCATGTTGCCAACAAAGTTGTCATGCAGACCAGCTGTGTTGCTTTTGAACCCTCCACTTCTGAGCCCCTTGGGAACAACAGGTCCGTTATTCATCATTGGACCATTATTTATAACATGTCCATTATTGGCAGGCCCTGATTGGAAGAGAAGAATAAGGAACTTCAGTCATGAAATTCCAATCATGAAATGTGGAAAGACAGATGATGTCACGAATAGTCAGATTGCAGTTGTAGCACATTCAATGAGAGCAACTCATGCTTTTCTCACAACTCTTATTTAACTACAATAATTTTATCAATTTTAACAGTTTCAGCCATTTCTAAATTTCTTCAATTTCAGTTCTATGTAAAGTGCATTACATTATATCCGTATAATTTTTTGCATTTTTGAAGTACAATAAAGTTATTATTATTATTATCATTATTGTTGTTATTCTTGCTACACTTTCAAGTAGAAGGGTAATAAAAAGAAAGAAAATATCACTGAAGAAATTATTTGATTTAACAAAAACTTCTCAGATCTAAAACTTTTGTAAAGGTATTGCAGAAAATAAGGAAAATTGATTAAAAAAAACAAAAGAAATAGTACATAAGTGAGCACAATGAAAAAAATTCACACAAGCCCCCTATGATCTTCAGGTTTGTGTAACAGGTGCCTTTGAATGTGATGAGCCTTTTTAATAATTGTAAAATGGCTAATACAGACAAATATTATGAACAAAAATATAGTTGTCAAGTCACATATGTCCTACTCAAAGTTCAGTTATCAACTGTAGTCTTCAATTTTAAGATCTCACACCACTTCAGTGAATAAATTGTTTCTCGTGAGAGTACTCACTCAAAACTTTTTTACAAACTCAAAATAATAATTATAATAATAACAGTAACAATAAAACTGGCACAGCCAGCTGTGAAAATATGTTCTTAAAACTGTCCGATAGTAACTACAAAATTATTGACAAAACATATAAGCTATCTGTGACATTTTGGTTTAACCACACACGTTCATTGTTTTGAAAACGCAGACTGACGTAGATATAGACGTAAATGCACTTAGCTACTATGGTTCCATGACATAAAAAAGTTGTAAATCATTCACCACAACAATTCTATGAAGTTATGATCGAGTTTCTTCCTGTTCTTGAAACACAGTTCATTGCCTTGGGACATCTGCTTCTTCATTTAGACAGACCTCATTGCAGTACAACGCTACATAGTAATAGCGAAATTACTGAAAAATTGTGACATCTCTATTTACCTATCGCACTGATTTAGAATTCGTGTTTTTTTCCCTAAGCTTTCCTATACCCAAAGTTTTATTAGTTAAAATTTGAATTTTTTTAATAGACTTTGGTAGTCAATTCCATTTTATTTTGAATCTTCTAAACAGACCTCAACATTGTTTGTTGTTCAGAATTGTGCCTGCAAAATTTGCCAAAGATACTTCACGATTCCATCTTCTAACCTTGCTAAATAACTAAAAATATATCTATCTACATTAAAATCACCTATAAAATATGCAAAGATCAAAAACGAATATCCCTCGACCGTTGTTTGTAAATTATACGTACCCATTCGACCTTCGTTGGAAGAAGGCCTCGCATGAACAAACTGGCACTGATCGCCGTAGAAACAATATCCATTTGTATTGTAATAACGACATAACGTGGGCCTTGAGGATCTGTAACCAGTTGTTGAGTTTGAATGATTCATCACTTCACGATGATCGCGTTTTCAGATGATAATTCGCTGCTGAGACATTGTAAATAACCGACTTTCAGATTACCGCCGCCATTTTTGATCGGTTCGTCTTGCGTTACTTTCATAAACGTGTGCGCACGCATGTTGACTAGGTTCAAGTCTACCTCTCTCAAGAGTTCAAGTGCACAAGAACTCGGCATATCCGGACAGGTGTACTGTTGGAAAACAAACGCGAATATTACATGTAATTCTCATGTCATTTCTTCAATAAATATCTAGAACGTATATGAGCGCTTAAGTAATTTACAGGCTTCAATCTGTCTCAACATTTTAATTTGGTTGGATCTGAATTTCACTCTCTACGTCTTAAGGATAAATTTCAACTGTACTGTACAGTTTTAATTTAGAGAAACCGGACCAAACCTGAGTCTTGAAATAACTAAGGAGACATTTGCTGTCTTCGCTATGACTTTTGCAAATGGTTAGACATTCTAGCCCTCTCGGATGAGGAGGATAAACCGCAGGCCCCGTCTCCTGCATCTTCTGGTTAGCGGGGGACCTAAAAGAACCCACGCACTTCCAGCAAAGAGCAAGGTACGTTCGTCCCAACCTTTCCAAATATAGCATACATGAAATACGAAACAGTAGTTACTGGTGCACCAAAAGTGCTTTAGAGGCTTGGGTTAACTGAGGTAATGCTGAGCATGGAAATCTAAAAAAAGGGTGTGGCTCTGTTACACTCAGTAAACTGAAACAAGCTGGTCTTGCTGTACTTGGGAATGCCAAGCACCTCACAACACTTTATATATGGCAGGTAAAGACAATTCAAAAACCAAAGTTATTAACATTTATTTATATTTTGTAAAATACTATTATTGACCCCTACAACAATTAGAACCATTTATCACTTTATCGTCTTAATCAGATACTTACTTTCAGCTCAATTTCCATTTTTTTTTCTTTTTTAAAAAATAATCTCAAAAACTACATACAATAACTGATTTTAGCAACAAACTTCAAGGCAGATTGGAACCAATAGTGGAATGAAATGACCACCGTTCAACATCTAAATGCATTATTACAAAAATATGTCTACACAAAATTTTAACTTACATTTGTTCGACAATAATTGATCAAATTATCTTTTAGCTAGACTACCCTATTTCTGGATTATATATGTTCCCAAATTTCTATTTTTTTTTCTAGTTCGTTATGATCAATTTTAGAGTGAGAATCTAATGGTAACTAATACGTTGCGACCATAAATTTAATCTACGAGGACAAATCCCCATTCACACAAAAATCAGAACCCCCTGTAAAGCAGCCAGTACAAAAAGGAAAAAAATTGAAAAACGATCGACGCTGACAACAAAAAATGTTTCACCACCACTCAAAGGTCCATAGTGTCAATGAAAAAAGAAGACCTGTTAGTTTTCATTACATATAGAGACTATCAAAGTAAAATGACCTAATATCTTAACTTATTTAAATTACTATTCATATTGTTATTATAAAACTCTTTATTAATTCGTAGACGATGTTGTTGTCATAGGAGAACTAAGCGTCGTCTGAAATGAAGGACATTTTCGTCAGTTCTGCGGGGTTTCGAGAATTTTTACGAGATGTTCGTCTGAATTTCTTGTTGGAAAAGCCGCCTTCTGGTTGGATGTCTAACGAGTCATTAGGAGCCGTGTTCAGCATGGTGTAACCAGACGAGAAAGGATTCCTTGAACCTATTACACCTTCTTCAGCCTCAGGTTTCTTGTATCTGAAAAGAGAGTAGATCATTCGATCAGTGAACATCAAGGTTTCCACAAATTCCGTATCACTCGCGCGTTCATTCCGCATCATGGAAGCCGAAACTACTATAGAGGTTTGTTTCATATTATTTACACGTGACTATACATGACAACAGCCACCATTCAAGAAACGAGCCCAAGCTCCTTCCTGGTCCTCTCTCTCGGAATGATCGAAGACCAGACCCGAGAAAACAGCGGAAATCGAGCTTAACAACGGAACTAATCCACACAAAGGCGCGCGTAGTTTGTACCACATTTAGCACAAAGGTAAGGCCTCATTCCAAGGAAGGTTCAAAATATGTAATATAAATGAGGATTACTGACTTATCTTCCATGATCGGACACTTTGTACATAACTGAAACAGAACTAGGGCAAAAGCTTGGCGTGGTTTCTCGTCCCGTTCAAACTGGGCGTTTGCCAGAACAGGGCCTCGGACCAAAGCTCCCAATCGTAAATATACGTTTGTGTAAATGAGTTTTCTTTAAAATTTTCAATGAAAGAAACCTTAGTAATCCCCGAACACGAGACTCTAAACAATATCAAACCAAACTATAAAACTTACAATCTGAGCATCAAAGATGACCCAACAACAGATACAGAAGACGCTGCCATTGCAATACTTGCCATCCAAGGCTTCATAACGACGCCTAGAGGTTCAAACGCTCCAGCAGCTAACGGGATTCCAATCATGTTGTAGATGAGCGCGAAGCAGAAGTTGATGTAGATTCTTCGGACTGTAACCCGTGAGAGGTCGATAGCGACGGCTACATCCATGAGATCACTCTAAATAAACAATAACGACAGCAACGGATGAGGTAAGCAATTGAAAAGAACTCGAGAGACGTCTGAATATTGCTCAATGATAGTTATCTCCAGGATAATATATATGCCTATAATTGCCTATCGCGTACAGAAGTATTGGAGTAACCCCTTTCGTATGATTTAATTCTAAATCTTTGGACCAGAATGTAAAACTTGCCTCTTGCTGCTGTTAACTTTCCAAAGAAATCATATGAAAGAATTTGGTTTGGTAGCAACATAACTCTTCCAAACTGATACTTTCTCTTTCTTGGGTAATGTCTCGATATTGAGACGCAAAAAAAAAATTAATCGCGGATTAAAGTGGAAAGGGGTACAGTGAGAGTCGAGACAGCACACAGCCCAGTGACCCGGCCGGGGTATATTCTGATATTAAGTGATGTTTTGATTTTAAATGTAAGGCTCTTTCGGACATTGCATCTACCACGAAGTAATTCCATTTAAGAAATAGTTAAAAAATACTTTCCATAGCAATTACATGGAATGGAGAATAGAGACGCTGATCAAACAGTTACCTTAATTAAGACAACATCAGCTGCCTCCACAGCGACATCTGTACCAGTGCCGATAGCGATTCCAACATGAGCCTGTGCGAGGGCTGGTGAATCATTGACTCCGTCACCCACCATAGCTACAATAAAACCTTTGTCTTGAAGCGAACGAATTTTTTCCACTTTGTGTGAAGGAAGAACCTCTGCAAATACCTGCTGTATCCCAACCTGTGGTGAAACAAGGAAAATTTTAACCATGCAGCACTTCCAACTTACGTATGATGATGAATAAAACCGGATGTGCAGAGCGGCAAACGTAATATATCAGCTACTAATATTACAGAGCTGGAGACAGTTGTTTATTTGTCTCGTCACGAGTATGAGTTCCCATGAGGAATCGAACCTCAGGCCCTAGGAGTCCACGCTCTGACGCTCTACCACGTAGTCAAAGAGACTCTGAAGTGAGCTGCGTCATTAAGAGGTTTACATGTGACCCACGTCTTGCATACTGCTAGGATCAGTAATTTCGAAACCGTCATGTGAAAGTGTGTAGATAGAATAAGAACGATAATGATTTTAAAGCTTGGTAAAGAAACAAAAACAGATGTTTATTCGTCTTATCACGAGCGAGGGACAAAGCGTTGTCTTATCTTATAAGTATGATGAATAGCAGTTTTTGAGTATGATGGTAGGAGTTTTCCTGAAAGGGTCGCTCACGATCAGCGTCAACGACCCAAAACGACAAAGAAACAGAAATCAGGAAGTGTACAGCTCAACTACACTCCTGGGCGAAAATGAATGTTTCAGGTTGCTTTGGACATACGAAAGCGAGACAAATCATCTTGCAACTGACCTGCTTAGCGATGGCGAACGCCGTCTTCTTGTTGTCTCCAGTTAACAGCACTACTCTTATTCCCATTCTTTTCAGTGTCGCCACTGTTGCCTGAGCCTCCTGTTTCACTGTGTCAGCGACCGCCATCATTGCTACAAGAACACCTGAGGGAAAAAATTCCGGCGAATCAGGATTGAAACTATGCGAAGTCGGAGGGTAAAATGTCAGCCCGGAGACTTATCTCGAGAGCGCTAGTGCACCCAGCGAGCTCGTGACTCTCAGAAATTTGCAAGAACGGTGCACTCGACGAACTTTCTGTTCTGCCGAACAATCAGAAATTTGCACGACTGGAGCACCCGACGAGCTTTCTGTTCTGCCGAACGATCAGAAATTTGCACGACTGGTGTACTCGACGAGCTACTGATTCCTTATAACTACTCAAAAATTTGCTCGAAAATCAACACGAGCGAAATTTTTCCACCACTTAAGAGGTCACTGCGCAGTCGGAGAGAGTGTGCACTTCCGCCAACTAATCGGGCGACCTTTTCCTTTTCTCGAGTTCTTACCATCAATGCTGATGAGTACAGCGGTATGTCCTTTTTCTTCATGCTCTTGCATGGCATCTTCCATCTCATCAGTAACCTCTAAGCCGTTCTGTTGCATCCATTCTCTGTTACCAATAAGCACTTTGTATTTAGTGGGTTCTTTGGCAGCGTTACTTCCTTCCTCTGCTTGGCTCTCTGCTGTAGAAGGGGAACAGTTTTCAAATCATGATATGTTCACGAAAAAGATTATTACGCAATGCTTCAGAAACGACACGTATCCAAGCGGGTAAAGAATTGGTGAGCGAAGAAAAAGTAAAAATAAGAACAAACGGTTACAAGGCGACAATGTATTTGATGCCCTTCACTCCAGCTGTAATCCTTATTAACAAAGGTGAAGTTGAATAAAAAGGCTAAAACATAATGTACTCTTGCAGTAGGACTGAAATGCCAAGAGACTGTCACCGTGAAATAAAATTTGTTTTAGTGCGACGAAATACTGCAAACGGAAGTTCTCCTTCACTTGGGAATGTTTTGTATTGAGAATGATGCTTCTTTCACTGCCATTGCAATTTAGAAGGGAAAAAAATTGGAATTAAGTTTTGGCGGAAAGAAGTGGCCCTTACACAGCCAATAAAGACTGACATACAGGCTCCCTAGCAGCTGATTGCACAAGACCACTCGCTACCTCTGCTACAGTACTCTTTCACCACAAACTATTTCATGATATGACTACTTAATTAACTGATCAAAGGCCACCACTACATCTTACTGGCAATTGGCCTTGAGCTGCGTAGGCTAGCCTTTTGTGTTTTTTCTTTGCGGCCACTTCTTTCTGCGTTTGATGTAGGAGTTACTGCAACCTTACCATTATCACTGCCACTGATGACTGATGTTGGATCAGCATCTGCACTCTCGTCAATCACAACTCCGCTAATCTTGACGGTCAGGTTTTTCCGGTTCTTGTCCGTAACAGTCTTGGGCTTAATGATGTCTTCGACACCGCTGACCGCACAGGTCAGACCGTACCCTGGCACTGCCTTGAACTCCGTACACTGACCCAAAGTTTCTGTCTGCAGCTCCTGTTGATAACATTATGGTCAGCAGTGGTACTAGTAGTGCTCTGATCCGAACTCTAGGCCAGCAGAGACACTCCATAGAGGGGTCATTCAAAACATCAAAGTCGTCCCGCCCCCACTTTTTCGAATCAGCAAATAAACATGCACAAATAACGGAACCAAGTCAATTGGTTACCTCAAGCAGAGGGCGCCTCTAACATATCCGTAAATATCTAACCCTCCAGTTTTGTAAATATGACTGAAGAAGATTTCGCACAAGCTGTCGACACTGTCACCGACAAAATATTTTTTTCAAAACTACCCTTGTGCGAACAGTTTAACTCCATGACCGGCTCCAAACCATTTGATGTACTCCGTAAACAATAAATAAAGCTTAGTTAACAGTGCACTTCGGTCCAACATTGCTATTCCTGTGAGTTTCCCCTAGCGCCTATTTTTTTCCTTTGACATACTCAAATTGTAGTTCTTGCTTCAGTTTTTACCCTTACCTGTTTGGCGTAATTAGTAATGGCTACGCCGATAGGATGTTCACTGTGATTTTCAGCAGTGCCTGTTAGCGCCAATAGCATTTCCACGCTGCACTGGGCTGGTTTGACAAAAAGCGCTGTCTTCACCACTTCAGGGGAGCCGTGTGTCAAGGTGCCTGTCTTGTCAAACACTACAGCATTCACCTGCAAACAAAACGTTTTTCGACTGGGTTTCTCCAAACAAAAGCCAAATTGATCCCAACGGCCAATCTTCAAAGAGGTTTATATCGCCAATGAGAACTAAATGTAGAGATAAGCGTACTCCCTAAAGCGCGAGAAAACACCTGCGCACAACTTGTCTGTTCTTACCTTGTGTGCGGTCTCTAGTGGTTCGCCTCCCTTAATCAGTATTCCATTCTGAGCTCCAATACCTGTACCCACCATAACAGCAGTAGGGGTGGCTAGACCAAGAGCGCAGGGACACGCAATGGCCAGCACAGTAATGCCAATCTGGAAGGCGAAAGCGAACACAAACTCTGTCTTATTATCCTGGTCCGGCTGTGGAAAAACAAGAACGGTGATAAGACACTTCTTTCAGAAAGACTCTCCTTCACACAGCATAGACCCACGTTTCTTTAAACAGTTGTAATACTCAAGAAAAAAAAAGGACTTCTTTAAGCAGTACTTACGTTGAAAGTCTTTCTGAGCACTGTAATGTCAACAAATCCAATAATGAGCCAGATAACCCAGGTCACAATTGAGATCGTAACCACAGTGGGAACAAAATACGCTGATAACTTGTCGGCAAACTTCTGGATTGGAGCCTATAAATAAAAGAGAAATGAACCAAAGAGGTTAGATAATGTGACGAGGAAAAAGACAAAAAATAGGACATTGCAGGGAAGTAGAACCAATGACTACCCTTCTTCTTAACCAAAGAAGCTCCTAGGGCGTTTTTGGTGAGCTCGGTCATTTAGCAGGTCTCAATATGACAAGCTAACAAAAGGCCAGAAAAAACTCTCATTCACTTTATTCCGTCCTATACATAAAGACAACGAAAATTGAACTAACATAGACTTTGGAATAAATTTAGTTTTCATACTTCTACGGCAGCTTCGCACGAAAATTACTTGCCTTCAAATCATTACAAAATTGTAAAATTTCCACCGTACCTTAGAGGTTTGTGCCTCCTCTACTAATTTCACAATCTGTGCAAGCGTAGTGTCCTGACCCACGTGGGTTGCCTCCACCAATAAGGAGCCGTTTTGGTTTATAGTTCCACCAATCACGGAGTCACCTGGTTTCTTGATGACAGGCATGGATTCACCCGTGATCAGAGATTCGTCAGCGGTGGATGTACCCTGAAGAACTTTGCAATCAACTGGTATTTTAGCTCCTGGAACAACCTGAAAATATGAGAACGAGCTTTATTTTCATATAGCATTAATTTATCGATCACATAAAGAGGAGTTGAAAATCGCACCAAACATCGGCAGTGAATTGATTTTTTTTCCAAGGACGTCCAGAAATAATTACAAACAAGCATTACTATCAAGGTTTTATATAACTTTGGGAAACTGAGGTTTACTGAAACAACAACAAACCAGTTGCACTCAAGTCTGGTTAGTATTCAACTAGTCATCGATTAGGTGAAAGAATGACGGCCGGCGATAGGACAAGGACAGAGAACCTCGCACAAGGTTTTCAATGAATTTATTACCATCCACCTCTCTAGTAGAATTCTATTATGCAACAGTACAAATGTCTCTTAAGTAAAGGTTCTGATTACTTCTAGGGAAGACAAATTTCCTTACACTAAGCTGAAAATCTGCCTTCAAAATGCAACAAGAGAAATGAGAAGTGTTAGAGCCTGTGTACCTTTAGTACATCTCCACGCTGGACCAGGTCAACATGAATGACTTTCTCACTGACTACGTTCATTGTTCCGGGTGCCAGCTGGACCAGCAGTGCATCCGAGGGTTGTAAAGACAACAGTTTGGCCAGAGCCTCTGATGTCTTTCCTTTGGCGACATGCTCCATCCAGCGACCAAGTGAGATGAACACCAACAACATAGGTGGGGTGTCAAAGAACGTCATTGGACTGTGATTACTCTGTTCGGACATCGCCACGGTAACGACAATAATCTAGGAGAGAAATAATACACAGAATGACAAAGAGAAGGAAAGTTTCGAAGATATTTTTTTAATTCGACATTTTGATAAACTGTACCATTAAGTTTGTGAACATCACTAATCTTATAGCAGTTTTCTGGGAGATCTAAATTAAACTAATTCACATGTAATCAGATTAAAATTAAGTTTACTTTACGGAAGATCAGTACTTACAGAATAAACATAAGCTATTGATGTGGCCAACATAATCAGTACGTCCATGTTTGTGGTCCTGTGTTTAAGAGCCTTATAAGCTGTAACATAGAAGTGCTGTCCACCAAAGATCTGCAAAGGTAGAACGTGGGTAATGTGAGACATGTTACGGATGTGCTGGTTCAGTTTTCCCTGCATGTCCTGAGCTAGCCTTTCTTAAGGACAAAGTGAAACACTGTGGGTTATGCGTGACATAAACTAGTAAACTTTGAAATGGATTGATCAACTGACTGAGAAATACTCGTTGATTTCCCGCTTAGGGTAGTCAAAGCGGCATTTTAATTTTTTTTTTCCTTCTGGCTTCCGTATTTTCAGTGATATAAATTATTGGATAGAAAGTCTTAAAACAATCCATTAGTAGTTTATCATTGGTTATGGTGACAAGAGGATAAAGGGGTGACTTTTAACCCTTTTACTCCCGTGAGTGACCAAGACAGAATTTCTCCTTACAATATCAATACAATTTTAAGCAAACAAGTGATGAGAATAAAGAAAATATTTGTTATAAATTGATCCAATACCAAATTCTCCAAACTAACATCACAAGAACTGTATGGCAGACAGTAAAGAGAATTACTAATGTGATCTTTGGGGTGGATGAAAGGGTTAATGATCTTTGGATGAAAGGGTTAAAACAGACTGTGATGCTGCATCAGTGGGGGTATAGGAAGAAAATTTGGTGTTATCAACTACGTCGATAACGAAAAGAATCTCTAAGGCTGACGATTCGAGCATTGGCACTTCGTCAGAGTAAAGCCTTAGGGTAAAAGGTTACGCTTTGACGAATGGCCAACGGACAAAATGTCGGCTTTAGAAACTATTGACGGTGGCCAATTTACATTAACAAATCAGTTGATCATACCGAATTATAGGGCGGCGATAAGTGATGGTTACACTGCGCTCACCTGAACTGGAGTACACAAGATAAACATTAACAAATTCTCCAAGGACAGTCCAGGTAGCACCATTTGGTTTGGTCTCTTCTCAAACTCATCCAGAATCACATATGTAATAAATATAATGAATGTTGGTACTCCAAAGATCAGGGAAAACAAAAATGAGCGTCTCCATCTAAAAGCAAGAAAAAATAAGTGTGTAAAATGTAAACAATGAATACAAAATGTCTCACTTGACCTTGGAAATTAACAATAATAGTATGGCGAGACAAAAAAACTCACCAACAATAGACAGAGGAAACCAAAAAAGACAAGGGATTACGTTAAAGATGAAAAAGATCGAAAAGGATTCCAGACGATAGGCTTAAAAACGTTTGCGCTACATGCAGCTCAAAGGTAAGGGAACCAAAAGATGAGTAGGCGATAAGGACTTGACGCAGACTAATCTTGACAGACGAGCAGACGCATCTCTTCTCAGATGCGTCTGCTCGTAATGAGCGTGTAAGAGCTAGTCGATTGTTTTCTGTATAATAGAATGGTCATTGTTTATTTCAGTGGACATTGTGTTTTTGGGTAAAAACTGGTGGTTGAACTGCACCGAATGTCTGTCGATCGTCTGAAGTGTCTCTCGGCTGTATTTGTTTGTTCACCGCTATGGCCCTGTCAACTTAAAACAGTGTTTGCTCACCAGAAAATTTCATCAAGGTTCGCTGGCCACAAACAACGCAGTACCGATGGGCGTATCATAATTAAAAGAAAGAAGAATGTCTTTTAAAACTGATTGTTATGCGCCTAATAACATTCATGATATCATTTTCTCGGTGTTTGCTGTGACGCTACATTCAAACTCATTTCACTGTGGCCTCTCGCCAGCGCCCTGTGCTAAAAGAAAAAAAATTTAAAAATAAAAAGGTTTTCTTGATTGAAGATATGAACTTTTCATCGAATGCTTAATGGAGCAGAGAAAAAATATTTTTTTTAGTGCATGCCGTGACAATTTTCAATAGATGCTTCAAATCTAAGCCTTACTTGCTTATTTCCTTTGAGTGATCTATCCTATCCTTTTTCTTGTCATCGTTGTCCATTGATGCACTAAAACCTAGAGACTCGATAGATTCAATAATGTCCCGTGGACCTGTTGTTTCTGTGTCGTACACAAATCGGCCACTGCTCGTTGCTAATGCAACTGATGCCTTCAGTATTCCTTTCCTTTTGGTGAGGTTTGATTCTATTAAATGAACACACGAGGAGCAAGTCATGCCTGTTATCTGCAACAAGAAGAGAAACAGGATATTATATCCCTCATATCACTGAACTAATATACAAGTTGTCAGAAGATAAATACAAATTAACACGGGTCTTTAAATGCACGCGCGCACGATGCAAAACTTGTCCTTTCATTCATAACGTCGAGAAAATATCGGGATCCAAGCGATCCATTAAGATCACTGATGACTTCACCTGTATCTCCACCAATGTCATTTAACTTGCTTTTATTGCAAAAAGTTGTATATCGACGAGACAGGAAGTCGAATGACGACGATTCTGAGAACACCTTCACGACGTAGAAAAGGAATGACAAAGACGCATCCAAACCAATTACTAGACACTTAGATCTCCCAAATAATTCTACGCAATACAAGGCAGTCTGATGCCCTTCCTTACATCTAGGTAATTCGAAAAGCTGCAAAACTCCACAACAAAAATTCATCACTCAAAACAGCACTCTTAATCCCCAAGGAATCAACGAACGCTATTTAGTCAACCATGTCCCCACCAATAGCATAGCTCCATGTTTCTGGACATAAACCATACACAACCCACAATTCCTCTACTCGCTCTGGCAAAGGGCTTGAAATTCTTTACGGTGCCCAATTTACTTTATCAACTTAGTTGATCAAACCAAACTATCTTGTTATACTCGTCCCCCATCGACACAGCACAAAGGTTTCTTTAGACTGTACTTGTAAGTGAATATAGACAACAGCTTAAGTGAACAAATTATGTGTATCTAATAAAAGCACAGTAATCAATGCATGTTCCTTTTGGATCCTTTCTGATACATGGCTGACCTGTGATTTAATCAAACATAGTTAAAAAGCTGATATATTGAACATTGCAAATACAATCACAATACACTTACATTTATATCAACTGTACCCTCTCCCTGACCACCTTGATCCAAAAGTTCACAACCGTACCCCAAGCCCTTCACATAGTAGATTATTTCTTCTGGTGTGATCCTTTTCTTGTCAAATTTAACTTCTGCTTTCTGTGCTAACAGGCCAACAAGTACAGACTTTATTCCTGTGAAAAAGTTAAAATGTTTGTAAACAAAATCTTTATTTCAAAACAATCAAACAACATCATACAAAGTCTTCTTCATTTAAAAACCCCACAATTTTACCAGAAATAGTGGCCTTTCAAAGCAGTTATTAGCATCTCAATTCTCCTCACAGTATTACTACCAAATCAAACATAAAGGTTAGGAGAAGAAAGGAAATAATCATCCTCTAAAGAAGCTAATGATTATTCAACCAATTCTCCTTGTTAAACCTTTGAAATGCATATAGAGCAGTATGGAGAGTATGCATCCTGATGTTAGGGAGTTAGGGGTCAAAATAATATCATTGGAGTTGGCTCACCTTTCTTCTTCATAAGTCCTTTCTCGATGCTTCCCACACAAGATGCACATGTCATGCCTGTAATGAGCAGATAAATCTTCTCTACATCTTCTTCACCCAGTGATTCTCTGCTTCTCACAGTTTCCATGTTACTAAATGTCACCTCCCAATCACCAGCCAAATCATGATTGACAGCATTAGCACCCTCTTCATTCTTTGATCTCTCACCATCTGACAACAAACCAAAAACCAAAAAATTAAGCTGTTATAACTTACATGTAGCTGGCAATTTCAGTTGACCTAAAGTTTTGAGTATCAAGAGCTAGCTTAGAGAAGGGGGCAGGGGGCAGTACATCTTTGAGAAGGGCCGGGTATAGCTCCAGGGTGGGGGAACATTACATATTTGAGGAGGGCTTGGTAGAGCTCTGGAGCAAGAATCCCCTTGATTCTCATCTCAGGGTGTAAAAAAATTATTGTTCTTGTTGTTTTCCTTTACTAGTTGTTGTTGTTAATGTTATATTTTTGTTGGTTGATTAGTGAGATTTACCAGTCCAATCTTCAAGTCTGAAGCCCAATGCAATATCTACCTTACTTATAATTTTTACCATCATCATTACATGAAAGAAATATATGAAGTTCACTGAAATTTTGTTAATCTTCTATAAAATGCACAGGAGAGCTTGCTAAGGATCCCAGCCATTGTGTAATTGTATCTCATGTAACATCTATCATGTCATTCAAAAGTGATGTTAAAAATACAAATAACTATAATGAATAAACAATGTAAGATAGGTTTGTTTGAGAGAATTAGCAATTAGAACATATGGCTAGTTGGGAGAATAAAGTATTTGAACAAACATGTTGACCAGACCACAAAGTTAATCCTTTAAGTCCCACTAGTGACCAAGACAGAATTTCTCCTTACACTATCAGTACAATATCAAGCAGACAGGTAATGAGAATAAAGAAAATATCAATTAGGGGATTATTTGTTGATCCAATAGCAAATTCTCCAAACTAGAATCATGTAAATTTCATAGCAAACAGTAAGGAGAATTACTAATGAGATCTTGGGAGTTAAAGGGTTAACCACTTACTTTGCTATGAAAGGCATCCTTCATAAAAGTTCAATGTTGAAATCAATCTCAGGCACAATGGAAATAACAAAATACCCTTTGACCTTGCCAAAAAAGAAACATTTCCATTCTTTAGGGGTCCATTTCACCACAGATTATTTTCTTTATGATTCAGTTCAGTGAAAAAAACTTTTCCTGTGTCAACTAGTGTATCATAAATATTCATCTTGAACTCAAGCTTGTATTTTTTATAAGATATGACACTTAAATCTTTTTCAAGCCACTTGATTTTGACAGGTACCATGATGATAAATTCTATTATTCTAAGATCCTTACTAAAATGAGAGGATTTGTCTTGACTGGAAACTTGATCATTTTCAAGAATGAAGGATCAAGTTTCAAAGATTGGGTTTCAAGTTTGATGTTTTAAAAAAATAATTGAAATTTTATTCCCAGGACATTGACAAAAGATTTCAAGAAACCAGGTCACTTCTTGCACAGCAATGGTTAACCACATACAAGAAGAAGGATAACATCTAGTGTAAGATCAAATACTTGTGAAGAAACTAATTTGCATTTGGCTGAGAAGAGAAACTTTGAATGTCACTAAGGTGTAGTTTTGTAGGAATAAGGGGGTGCTGTGTTAGTGGAGGTTATTACAAGATATTTTGGTTTCATCAATTGAGTTTACAAAGTAAATTGGCCCTCATAAAGAGTTTCTAAAGCTTTCAAAATAGAGGAATTGTGGGGGTATGTATGGTTTCTATAAAGAAGTATGGAGCTATTCTTTAAAAGGCAATCTCCTTACATCTTAACCTTTAAAAAATACATGTAACAACATGCCATAACCAATAACTTTACCATTGATCTTTTTAAACTCCTGATTGATTGACAAGAGCAAAGCCAAGTTAAGTGACCCAATACTGAAAGATCTGATAGTCTGAAATTAGAGAACCACTCCCCCACAATTGATAAACACTTTCGTGAAATGATTTTGCACCTATTCGTTTATTCATGGCCAAATGGTAAGAGTGTTATATGAACTAGTAAGGCAGTTTATAAATGGTGAAGTGATTTGCCTCCCACCAATTTCATTGCTTCAATTGAATTAGTTGCTTCACTGATTTCAGTTTTGTTGTCACTCTTACCTTCAGAAAGTGTAGCATCAAATCCCATGTCTTCAATCCCTGCACGTAAATCTTCTGGTGTTGTCACTGCCTCATCGTACTCAATAGCAGCTTGTTTGTCAGTAAGAGAGACTTTGATATTCTGTACTCCTGGCTTTGTAGACATGGTTCCCTCAATTGTTTTCACACAAGACATGCATGTCATTCCTTCAACACTAATCATCGCCATTCGCACATCCTTATCAACATTGCAGACACCATCCCCAATCAAACTTGCATCAAATCCCATGTCCTCTATAGCTTCTCTCACTTGCTCCCCTGTGACTTTTCCAGGTGAGTAATGAACTTGGGCTGTCTTTGCTGCTAGGGACACTGAAATGAACTGAATGCCATCAAGCTGGGAAATGTTTTTCTCGATTGTCTGTACACATGAATTACAAGTCATACCATCAATGTTTATCATGACTGTCTGGACATCATTTGTTAGGGGAGGGGTGGGTGAAGGTGAAGACAAAGCTGCCTCAAAGCCCATGTCATCAATGGCCTCTCTTAGGTTCCCAGGGTCAGTCATGGATGCATCATAAGTAATGGTCGCTTCTTCATTCTTGAGTGAAACATTTACAACTTGTACACCAGGTTGCTTAGACATTCCTTGTTCAATGGTCTTCACGCAAGAGTGGCATGTCATTCCTTTCACAGAGATCTTTACCTCACTATAACTCTTACTGCAGGAATTTTCCAGGCTTTCAATCTCCTTATTGTCCATTTTTCCATCCTCAGACAGAGCTATTTCATGTTGTGTCAAAACATCCACAATGCGCTTCAAAGATGTTTCAAATCCCATTTCCTCAATGGCATTTGTTAATGCCTTGCCACTGGTTTGCTTTGGTGAGTACATAATTTTTCCTTCTTTTTCCTCAAGAGACACTTCAATTTGCTTGACACCACTTAAATCAGAAATGTTTCCTTCAATGTTTTTAACACAAGAATTGCAATGCATGCCTTCTATGCCAATGTATGCAACTCTTAGTTCATCATCACTAAGTTTTGAAATGTCTTCCCCCTCCTCTGGAAAAGATATCCTTCCTTCTTTATCTTTGATGGCAACCTGTTCAGAAGAAAGAATAAATTATCCCTTGTCAACCATTTAATACCACCTTATTGTGCCAATACTTTCTGCAAATGTATTGAGCACATTTCATCAGACATTATTTTCTTGATTTAGAAGGACAATTAAGCAGAAATTAATTAAATTTGTGAAAGTGGAGAACCCAAGTAAGCATAGTAACAGCCAGTTCAACTGTATGGACACTTTTAAAGTCACAGAACAACTACTCAGATCAAAATATTCCCATGATTATCTTTCACCCACTTAAGGTTGTGTCATACATAACTGACCATCCTATAATTGCACAAGTAACTGAGCATTAAAAAAATATTTATACAGCATTTGAATGGTAACAGTACAATACTTTTGATCATAATACATGCCTTTGGCAAATATACATGGACACTATGATTCATGCTAGGATATTAAATTCTTCTGGCTAATTTTTGTGGTAATGTATTTTTGTGGGACTTATAGTTTATAATTTTCAATCAAATTGCAAAAATTGCAAAACTGAAGACCCACCAAAGTAGTAACAATAAGGTATGTTTAAGGACAACAAATAATCAGTTTTCCTCTTAACTCAATAGATGATCCATATTAACTAGTTCTAAGTCCTTTCATACTTCAAGATAGAGTCCAAGAAATCATTTCCTGTCTCAAGAAAAGGCATCTAGGGTGTTTAAGTTAAATATGGCTCTCTCAGTACAATGAGGTTCTTACCCCTTAGCCTAGTAAGAGCAAATGTACTTTAGAACAGGTACATGTAATATCAACAGAAATTTAACTCCCAGATAACACTCAACCTAGACCTGTGACAAAGCCTGGAGACTGATATACACGAAAACAACAAAATCAGAGATAGATCTGGCATATCTATTTTTAAAGCAATTTTTTCTCCTGTTCTCTCAACTATACAACTGTACCTACCATACAGGAAGATATTGCAATTGTAAAGTTAAAAAAAAGAGCCCCACATTTATAGGCCAGTAAATTTTAAAACTTAGAGCCATCAAGTTCTCTTGGACAACAAAAAGTACAAAAAGACTGGCAATAAATGTCATAAGATTTGACACTTGTTATGAGAGGTCACAAAAGGATCCCACAAATTATACTTCTGCTTGCTAGGATAGACAAAATTTAGATCAACAGGTACAAAAACATTGGTACAGGTACTTTTACTAAAGAAAATATGCCTTCTTGAAATTCTGAGAACACAAAATGCTGTTGAAAAAGGTTTCCTCAGGTCTGCTGTACTCATTACCAAGGGCTTTTACATCTGACAATAACATCAGCAAAAACACTCAAGAACAAAACCACACTGAAATGGTATGAATTTCCTCTCTTTTTCTTAAATAAAGTTGCCCTAGAAACAGAATTAAAACAAAGAAAACCAAATACACAAAAGAAAACTTAAAATCTTAGTTGATATGAAAAGCTGTCAAATTATTACAGAGGGCAACACTTAAAGATAACTTAAAAGCAAACTTGTAATGTGTAAAATATGGTTTAAAACCCTCGTGTTAGAATTTGAATATCTTGAAAGGATAAAGAAATCCATATTTACACTGATAACATCCAAGTTTTCTGAGTTCATGAAAATTGCCACAAAAACATGAAACACCACAAATCATGAAAACTAGAAGAGTGAAAATCAAAGTTTCCCACAAACTTAAAAAAGTAACTTCCAAAACCAAATATTTAACAATGTGGTAGCTGGTTTCCAGTCAAAAACCTTTTAAATTCACATTATCACAAGGTTATACACCAGGGGGTGCAGGAAATAAAAATCCAAATAGCAATTCCATCTTCAAAATACAGAGAACATCAGAAGAGAAATACATGAATTGGAAAAAAAAAATCATCAAAAAGGGAATAGGGCCAAACTAGTAGGAAATAGCGTCTAACCACAAAATCTCAGTTGCCTTAAACTACCAAAAATTATTTCTTATACTTTACAATTCATTTATCCTCATATACCCCCCAAAAAAACAGCAACATTTCTAAAAATTTCTGAAATAATCATGCTAAGTGTACTCAGTTTGAACCACACTTACAAACTACATGTATCTACCACAGAAAAAGGAACATCTGGCTCTTTAAAATCAAACTATATCCTCCTCTAGTGTACTGAAGATAGATTTAACTTGCACATTTAAATAAAGAAGCAATATTAGACAACAAAAGATAGACAATTCTCACCAGAAAATTGAAAAAATTCAGAAGACTACCTCTTCAGCATAAAGCAAAAAAATAGAAAAGATTCCTATTATCCTTTGGCTCCCTGAATCAAACTTGAAATGGCTAACAAAAAGGACAGTATGTTGTCTTGTGGTGAAGGAAAACCTGACAACAGGCTAAATATTGGCTTTTAATTTTGACAAATATCCCACCATTGAATAAGGGGCAATTACACATGAAACATGAATATTTAACTTTGTGGTGAGATACAACCATCTGTGTTGATTTAAGCAAGAAAGAAAAACAACAAAGTTGTGAATTCTTTTCAGAGACATTTGTCACTAAGCCTTTCTGGTTACAGTTCAAAGACATCATCCAAGAAATACAGCATCCTTAATTGTTGCTTGTATTCTGAGATAGACGTAAAGGAAGGAATACTAACAATCAGAATAATTAGGAATGATAAATTGCCTGTTAATCAGATCATTCTTGAGAGACACTTAAATGAAAAATGAATAATAATGAGAATTCTCACCAAGCTATGACAGAGATGAAAAGATTACTACAATTGCTAGCAGAATTAATTGCCAAAAAACTAAAATCCTGGTTTGAAGGCATCACTAAAGTTTAATGTTTTAATCTAATCGTTATGTGTAATGTAAAAAAGTTGTAAGCAGGTCACGACTCTTCAATGAGTTGATAAGGTAAAAGGCAGTTTCTATCTTAAAAAAAGTGACCAAAGAATCAACAGTAAAAAAAATTCAGATGTGTTATAAAACTATCAGCCAGTCAAAACAGTTAAGAAATCCAGGTGTTTAAGGTCTGTTCAATTGCATTCAAATGTCCCCTCAATTTTTTGTAAAAAGCAAAATAAGCAATGGTGACTTTCTACACATTGACTAAGACCTTTCCTTCTGAGCCTCTTGCTCACAAAATGAACTGGTTTCTCCAACACCTCTATATTTAAGGATATAACACTTGTATTCTGCTGGACTTGACACTTCAGGTTCAAATTCCCAACCCCACCAGGGCAAGGCTAAAAGTATCCCTCCCCTTAGCACAGACAACGGTCAAATGCCCAAGGGTTGACAGGGGGAGGGGAGATGTTCAAGCTTCAAATTGATCAACGCATAAATTAGGCAACCTCTTTACCACACTGTATAATGGCTTTCTAGGAGATCTACAAAAATATCATTAAAGTCAAAATAAACAAATGTACTGTTAGGTGTTCTTGAAAAAGGAGAGAATTTGTTAAATGATATACAAAAGGAAATCACTTAAGTAAAATGCATGTTTAAAGAACAAAAAATCTTCCTATTGTTCTACTCTGACTTACTCTTTCCACACTTTTCCACTTCATGAACTATATGCTATCTCGTTTTCTCTCATTGTGATGTTTTTATTTTTCGTTCATCCTGGATTCTTCATAATTAGCTTTATATAAACTTGTCCATATAGACTAATATTGGCTACCCACAGGCCATGTCAATTGTCTTCAGAAAATTTGCATTTATAAAGTTTTGTTGTTGACCATGCAGACCAAGCCACTAATTAGATGAGCAAAGGGTTTACAAATGGAATCTTAGTGAACAGAACTAAAGATTTATCACATGTGATATATCTTTATCAACAAAACTACAAGTTTCAACTGAGGAGAAACAAACTGAAAAACAGACTTCTCTTATGAAGTTCATGGTAAACAGAAGGATAATAATAGGGACTAGTAACAAACTGCAGCTGTTTTGAAACTTCCTAAATGTTAAAAGTGACAAAAAAATTATTCCATTTGCTCTGGTTCACTAGCCTATTAATTGTTCATCTGTTATGCTTTTCATCATTACCAGCTCTACATCTCAGAAATCTGATGAATCTTTTTAGGGATGTAAAATAAACATCCAAGATCACCAAATTCTTTGGTTGCTGCACTGCATAAATGTCCAACCGAGTCATTTTCTTTTTATTCACACGTCGAATATGTTCTCCTGTAAAGAAAAATCAATTTCCCCCATCTGTATTTCTTAAAAAAAAACAAAAAAAACCTGATTTATATGATCAAGCATCCATCTTAACCACTAGTATGCCCAAGAACTGCACTCACAAGTGATAATTTATTTCTTGCTATATGCGAACCATTATCCCAAATGGCTTAAATTTCTCTCAATGGGTTTTCACAGACATCTGAACTTCCAAAACTGTTGTTTTGTTCAATTCTAATATGTTACAGTGATTTCATAAATGTTGAAATGCTGCATGCTTGATCGATCTGTATATTTAAATTACTCAATTAATTGATCCATTTTTACTAACTTCAAGATCATCCCCTTGTGTGTTGGAATTACGCATGCCTTTCGATCAAATGTTTCAGTATCTGAAAATATCTTAGAGCATTTATAATACTGTCTATATGCACCAGAATTAATCATGCGAAACAAGAATCTTCATTCTCCTGAAATAAATTGAGCTTACGAGTGTGTTATGCTCATACACCATGAAACTTGGTTGATTGCCATTATTTATCTAAAAACAGTTAAGGTACATGAGCTAAATTCGAGGTACACTTTGACAGTTATCAAATAAAAAACACATTTGATGCAGCCATAATCTCTACCAAGTTGAACTTGTGCCCACTTAGTTCATTAATAATTGTAGGAAACGCACGTACAACTATTTGCATCACGATCAGTAAATCAAACGTAGCGCAAAAATGACTTTCAAAATCCATCCAAACCTCCATTTAGACTTAACTTAGCCCTCACCTGAGGATCCATTGCGCAGAGAAACCTTGGTCGCAGGATTTGGATTCAAAATTACCGGACCAATTAGGGAACTTCAGTAAGCTTCAGCTTATTTCCCTCAACAAAAATTATCGCCGTGCCCTAGGAAATAAGTGTCTTGATATTCGGGGATTGGGTTATTCGCTCTTATGTGTGATGGATTGTACTAATACTCCACAAAATAACAGAACAATTAACATTGGATTTTTCACGTCGTAACGATGGAGGAAATGTTTTCGTCACGAAAAGAAAGACATAATTCCTTCCCCTTCGGCTGAATCCGCCATCTTGGTTCGTGCTTTTACAACCGGTCACGTGATATGAGATTTTTTAGTTCTCATGGATTACTTATAACTTATCAAACCTGAAATCTTTATTTACTTGTCGAAATTACCCAAAAAACACTTACCCTGCTTCATTATGCCCTCATCTTTAACATGTGAAATAGAACTTCGAAGAGCGAAGTACTTATTAAGTCTCTATTTTCATGTAATGAGATGCAAATAAGTGGAAGTCTGAATACTTCATGCTCACAGTCTACCCCTTCCCCCCAATTAAAGAAAAGAATTTGAAAATAAATACTCACGTCCCAATATAGCAAACGAAATAAGCCGCCTCGAAATACGCTAACACTGACAAAAAAACTTTCCGAAAGACAGTGTTGAGAACAAAAGCCCTCCAGAAGCCGTTAAGGGTCATGTCATATCTATCCGATATTTTTAATTTTCATAATGTTCAGTAGTACAGGGTTTCAGAAACCTTCTAAATCAACATCAAAACTTTTAGTTCATTTGAAAGAGCCGAAAATGAACGTAGATAAAGAGTTCTTTCGAGAATAGGGCGCGGTCATCCGCTCGAACAGGGTAATCGTTTTAAAAATTCATAGTTGTTGTTTGTGTTCCACTGAATGCTTTTGTGCACTTTAACAAAAAAATAATTTGCTTCTTATAAGTTACATATCAAACTTAGAGAACAAAGCTGGAGGTCACATGTCAAGGCTAGTATCAACCCTTGTGAGCATTTAGTTCAAAGTCTGCGACAGCCATTCAAATTTCATCAGAAAGTGAATGATCTAATTCCATCATTGCTTGACGTACTGCAAATTTATTTTAATGATAAATGATTCGCCTCGTGAACATGATTTCAACCCTTTTTCGTTACGATTGATCGACGCTATTCAAAATAAATCGTAATTGCGTGACATAGAAAATTAATGACATGAAGGTTTTATTTTGCAAGCACAAAACGCTGTCATCCAGTCAACGCAAATATTTCCGCCACCTAACCATTTACGAGTCATGCTTCAAGTCCAGATATTAAGGGTTATCAACAATATCGATCAGTTGGCAGAAAACTGCTGTGAAAATCAAATTTCAAAAAGCATCCAATAAGGAAAGCAGAGTGGGTGTCTGAAATCATGACTACTGGGAAACCTTTTGTATATTCATGCTTGTGTAATCCATGCCCGTTTTATATTAAGACAAGCGTAATTAAAAATCATAAGTCACCCAAATGTAAGAATTATATTATCCAACTAAACCCATTTTATGATTCACTAACATTTTGCGCAACGCTACATTTGAATTTAACTTCTAAAGTCAGTGTGATTAATTTCTGTATCTCTCACCTTGTTATCTAAATATCGCTCAGAAGACATCTCATCGAGTTTCACCAGCGAATGTGTCTCGTTTCCCGCTTGAAAATACTTATTCCTCACCGAATATCGAAAAGTAAACGAGAGAAGCGCTCATCAGTTTTCTACAGGGAAGTTCTGTGAAGTAATAGGATGAGAGGTAAAATTATATTGACGAAGATCCAAGGAGCAAAGGCGCACAAACCTATGGAACACAACTACGGGTGTTGTATTTGTGAGTGCTTGTCTACGTGGCACGTTTTGTTATTTCTCTCTCACGGCCCGTCCTAATTTGGACCCTTAACGTAATGCTGACTCATCGTCACATGACATACCACAGACGCACCTCTCATATTTCTAGTGGAACCGGGTACTTCTCTCATCTGGGGCCTGGATGCAGATAAGGTCCTCCTTGTTCTCGAAAGAGAGACCAGGAGACTAATTTCCCGTACAGCAGTTGTTTTATCGAATATTGATCAGAGTCACCTCTCTCGTTTTTGATGAGTCTAGTCTTTCTTAAATTGACAGTGTGTATGATAGACAAGCGGGACCTCGGCGAAAAAAATTATTCTGTCGTCTTTTCATCAGGACTTCTTTGGACTCATGCCACGAATTACGTCGGGGAAAAATACGCCACATACTAAGAACATTAAAGAAAATGTAGCACGCTCAATGAACTACGGGCCTTCTTCCCTAGCCTGCGAAGGGTGGAGATAGAAACCCGCACGGAGCCCACACGGCACAAAAGTTTCCTATCTCCAGTTTTCCCGACCGAGCTCAGGTGACGTATACCATCATCCTTTATTTACAAACACCTTCCATTAATGACAAGGCAGAAAACTTGCTGACAAACGTATTCGAACGTTTTTCGAGCACATAGGATTGCCTTATAAAACTCACAGTGACACGTGGTTTTCATTTTATTCCTGTGCAAGTGATCGATCAGTTTGTATCGGTAATTCTCACTGTATTCTAGTGGAACACAAGAAAAGAGATGGCCCTCTCGGTGAAGGCGTATTTGAACCCAGAAACCAATCAGCAAGAAATTCGTCGTTTTGCTATCGACGAAGGTGCCTCGGCCAATTTTGCCTATTTGAGGCAGAAGATCGAGCAGGTCTTTCCATCCGTCAGGGGCAAGGTGTTCAAATTGTTTTGGAAAGGTAAGATAATTGGTTTTCTGTTAATTCGCTTTGCACGCTCGATCTCTTGTGACTGGAAATGTCGAGTTCTCTGTGTTTTGTACCAGTACAAGTTTCACTTAAAAGCTGTTTTCTTAAACAGGGACAGATACAAAGTTTGGAAGAACAAATTTCCTAAAGATTTTAACCAACAGACTAAAGGATAGAAGGGCCGATGCCAATTCTTATATCTGTTTTTTATTCCAATGTTTTGTTATGTAACTGAATATACTCCATATTTTTCTCTTCGTAGATGCCGACAACGAGATGATAACATTTTCGAGCGATGAAGAGTTGGTGGAAGCATTGGGAAGTATCAGTGGCGATGTGTTTCGTGTGTTTGTGAAAGGTGGTGAACCGGACGCCAGTAATGTTGGTAAGATGTTATACTTTTTCCATCTGTTTGTTTTCCAACTGACCGATTGAAAAAACTAAGCCTCGAGCTTACTGTCGGATACAATTATTTTTTCTTGCACATTAATCAAGAATGTTTTGCAGACAGTAGGTGACGTGGCAGGTCCAACTAAGTAGGTGTGAAAGGGAAATCTTTTTGCCTGATCATCATGAGCCAGCAGTTACACTGAATCCCGTTTACTTCCAGTTAAATTTTTCTTTTCGTTTTTACTTTTTTCTTGTGACTGTTGACATATTTTTATAAGGATGAACACCAACATTATTAAATTTGCATTGATTTTGTTGACTTTTATATTTTTCAGAGGACTCAGCTGAACAACAGGACTCTGACACAGCTCACCCTGGTGTGGTGTGCGATGGTTGTGAGAAGCACATCTTTGGGATCCGGTTCAAGTGTGTGGTTTGCCCAGACTTTGACCTTTGCATGACCTGCGAGACTAAAGGAATGCATAAGGAACATGAGATGCTACGTATTGCAACACCAAGAACTCCTGGAGACAACTGGTTCCATGGCTTCAACCCATTTGGATTTGGTCATCCACCTCACCACCCCCCACGTGGTCACTCACCTCACCACCCCCCTCATGGTCATCCACCACACCACCCCCCTCATGGTCCTCCTCCTCCTCATGGAATTCCTCCCTATCAATTTGACTTTGGACGTGGATTTGGCCCATGGGGACGTGGATTTGGCCGCAGAGGGGGCCGTGGTCGTTGTGGCAAAGCCAGAGGACGTTGCAACAGCGGAGGAAAGAAATGTGATCGCCATACAGAGGCCAACACTGGAGAGGTTCCTGTTGGACCACCCTTTCTTCATGCCGTTGGAGAGACGATTGCGTCATTTCTTGGGCCTCTGGGTGTAGAGGTGCACACATATGCAAGTACTGAGGAAGGTATGCATTTACAGAAGCCTTGCACATCAACTGGATTGCTTGACTTCATTAGTATAGAACATGTTTTGATTTTGGCTAGAGGTTGTTATAATTCCTAAATCAGTGAACCAATAAAAAGTTAAGAGTGTTATGAATTAAATTTTGGAAACTTCCTGTGGGATAAATAGCCTTAACTTTAGGATTGGAAAAGATGATTTTGTTCATAGCTTTGGGTACTAAGGAATAACACTCACATTCTTGCATCACAGATTTCTGGGAAATGTTTAAAGAAACAATTAATTGTGAATGGGGAGGAAATGCTGTGTTTCTTTAATGTCATGATTCTGATTATGAATGCAGATTGTTGTCAAGGCAGATGTCAGGAAAGTGACCAACAACCTACTGCAGATACTGGTCCTGCTGAAGAATTCACAGAACCAACAGTTAATGATGGCATGAATGAAAGTGCTCCAGGAAATGTCACACAAACAAATGAAAAAGAAACTTCTGCAATGGTGAGGAAATCACTTTGGGACAATTTATCACAATCTAACATATTTTCTCGATATGAAAAATGGATTAAGTTCACCCCTATAAGTGGTGGAGCATGCTGAATACTAGACTTGGGAGATGCCAAACCCTGTGTTAGTAAATTTTCTTAATCATTACAGCGGTACAACTTCTCTTCATTGTAACTGCATGACTTGGGTTATGGTTGGAATCTATAAATGACAGGAAAATATGTTACATTCAAGTTGCAATGATCTGTCAAGCATGCGTTTTTGGGTTATGTGGGTTTCCACATCCCAGTGTTCTTAAATAACAGCAACCGTGCATAATTTGAGGATGGAAAAAAAAGCATGACCCTCCACTTTTCAAAGTACTTTCTGCCACCCCTTAGATCCGACAAGGCACTTACCCATCCATGGATGGGGGTATGTGCTGACATATTTGTACCTCATGGAACTGCCAGCAGTAATTACTTGAGTATAAATAACCTAAGTGTGTTTTTTTTAGGATGTCCAGCCTCCAGAGGAGTTTGTTTTGGTTGATGAGAATGCTGAGACACAAGAAGGAGCCTCTGGAACAGTTGATGAAGAAGTCCCATCTGACCCTCTGGAGGTAGCCATAGCAAAGATGCGTGCAATGGGATTTGAAGATGACAGTGGCTGGCTGCGACAATTGATAACTACCAAGGGTTATGATCTCAACAAAGTCCTTGATGCTATGCAGTTTGAGGGGAAGAATTGATGGACATCACACAGTGCATCCTGCTTAATATGTAGCCAATTGTTGTTGTTTTTTGTGTGGTCATTTTTCAGTTTAATTTAGCATTTACTAAGTTTGTGGGAATTGCTAATCATTGGAATCATGCATATGAAATGTCAACTGCATAGAACTGTTTCAAAAAAATTAGACAGATCTGGTATCTGGGAGCCTTCTGGAAACTAAATGATTGTATAGCCAAGTGTATTAAGTTTTAATTTTTAAGTGATAATTACAGAAATTTAGAAAAAATTTTCTGGTGCCTTTTGGAATAGAGGCCTTTTCCTCTCAGGATTTGTAATTTCTTCTGCTGTAGTAACATTGAGAGAAACATGAATGGGAGGAGAAATACCTTCAAGACCAGTTAAGTGTTTGTGCCATTCAAGAGGTTCAATTTTTTTTTTAGTGAAAATTATCTTTTTTTCTAGTTCCCTCATAAGATTACCAAATAGTGTTTGTTACAGTTAATTGCCAAGGGAGGAGGCAACTTCTTGCTGCTTTGTCTAAATTTGAAGTTGACATTTCATTAATGGCCTTTCATGTGTTCAAAAGGTGTTTTGGATTTTGGATTTTGATGAGTACAATTCCATTGTACAAAAGTTCCTTTTTTTTTTTTTTTTGGAGGGGAATCAAATTTTGAAGAGTGAAAAAAAAACCCATTGTAGAAGGGTTCAAACTATTTGAGTGAAGATTTTGGTTGTGGTTAATATTTATTCAATGTGCTTGATGGTTGTGTCATGTAACTGAGCAGTAATAGCATTGTAATGAGCAGTGATGTGAAAATAAACTTCTTAAATGATGAGTAATGTTGAGTGGTCTTGTCTACAAGTAGCATGGTTGCATCTGAATATCGATAAAAGCCCAACGTCAAACAATTTTTTTATGGGGCACCAATCCAGTCAATATTCCCTCAGTCTGTATTTTGTGACCTTGTTCACTTTTTATACATTCAACTTTTTACCTTTCATATGGTCAACTAGAGTTTTTATGCAGTCAACCTTTTACTTTTAATAAGATCACTTTTTACTTTTTTTCACCTTGACTTCACCTACTATGAAGGTAGGCATGATCTTGGAATTGGTGCTCTGTATCAGAAGCTTCAAGACATTCAACACTTTGCTCTTGCGCTTCACAATCAGGTCAAGACCACAGTCATAAACAGTAGATGCTTTTAGTCTGCATTTTACCCTCAGTCTGCACTTTATTAGTCTAAAGTCTGAAGTCTACATTTTACACTGACCAATATAAAAAGTATAAAGTTGACCATAAAAAAGTAAAAATTTGACCATATGAAAGAAGTTGACCATGTAAAAAAGTCAACTTTACCATGTAAAAAGTAAAAAGTTGACCATATGAAAAGTAAAAATTGATCTTATTAAAAGTAAAAAGTTGACCACATAAAAACTCTAGTTGACCATATAAAAAGTAAAAAGTTGAATTGACCATGTAAAAAGTAGACTAGGTCACAGAAATACAGACTGAGGGAATATTGACTGGTTTGGCACCCCATAATTTTTTATTACTGCAAGAAGTTTTTATGATTTGATACTAGAAGTAAAAGCACAACTACTACCACCACACACAAAGGGAGATTTAATTTACATTTTTACAATGATACTCATATGTACAATGTAGAAATAGTCGATTGTGTAGTGCATGCCAAGCACATTATGTAAAATGTAAACTTTCTGTATCTTAATACCTAAAAAAAAAAAAAAACAGTCACTGGTAACAAACCCTTCAATTTAACAGAGGAATGGTGAATTGTGACGAGAAATAAATAAGCAGCCTGCCATTCTCATAACACTCTGTTTAAAGATTAGATGGTCTGGCAAATTAGTCACATCAAAAGGGAATCTTTGTTCATTTGTAAGAAAATAGGATCACTTTGCCAAAGGTTACTGACTGGAGTACACTGACCCATTCTTCAGCAAAATCTGGTGTGACTCCCAGTGGACCCTTGTTCTGCTCACACTCAGTTTGAATGAATTATATCTCACAAGTCATGTATACATTTATCTTTTTTTGTTTCAATGTTCTTTTGCAAATACTTTACTCTGTTGGTTGACTTTCAAGATGGTCATCTTTCCCATTCTCTCCTTCACTTGTCACCCCTGAATCTGATCCACCATTCATTTGCACATCCTTGGTTTCTCCTTCGGCAGTAGGGTCAGTAGTTCTAGTTTCCTTGTCACCCTCCCCCTCAACTGAGTCCTCACTTTCTCCTGTACCCACAACACTGCTTGGCTGACTTCCTTCATTCTCTTCACCCTCTTCATCACCAAGAGTTGCTTCTTCTGAGAAAGTGTCCCATCTTGAGCTCTTAAAGTCAAGCAGTCTTTGTATATTACTCTTGCTAACCTGATCCATACATTGAGAGTAGCCTGCAAGAAGAGTGTGTGCCAAAGCAACTCCATATTCCACTCTTGTTGTTTCAGTGGTTACAACTGCAGCCAGATCCTGAGCTATCTCAAAGCCTCTCCTGTACATGCGCACAGCATCTTCATACTTTCCCTGAATAAAGGAAATAAAGAGAGCTTTTGTCAGAAAATCATGATGCTATATCTGTGGCTGCTGAATATTGGCTGGTTTCCTTCCAATCACACCTCACAAATAGCAATAGATGGATAAGGCTAGCTAGCAGCTCAGTTCATGTATAAGGCTCAAAAAAACTATTTGTTCAACTTTGGAATAGCTAAAGAAAATAAAGGATATTGAATGAATAATAAAGTTCAAATGTGCCATGCACAGGTCTCTTGTCTTACCAGGGAGTTATAAATAGAACCAAGACTTGTACAAGCTCTCTGTTGTTCTGGTAATTGCTGAGATCGATCAGCCAACTCAACAAACATCTCGAGATACTTCATAGCACTTTCCACATCTCCTTGCCTGTGAAAGGAATCAATTATACCCTTGCTTACACACACCCAAAAACTTAACTTAAACAAATAAAAAATTCAGGTTGAAACTTTTTTAAGTGATGGTTTATTTAATAGCAAACATTTGCCAAATTGTATATCTGCTACCTTGCTAGTACATGTTTTGGAAAATTATTAGACAAAATAAAAGAACTTACAACTCATAAGCTCTTGCTAAGGCCTGACAAGCTCTCCCCATTCCAACATCATCTGTGTTCTGCTGGCATTTCTCCAAGTACCCATTATGATACTAAAAAATGTATCAAGCATGATAATCAGCTATCTGTAAACTGAGTTGCCAGTTACACCATTAAAGTTGGCTTTAACAAAAAGAAATAAACAAGACAAAATTTCTTACTGATGAAACCTCTCTTATTTCTTACCAGAATGGCTGTTTCAGCATCTCCAATCTCCTCATAAGCACTTCCCAAGCGATAGCCAGCCAAACCTTCTTGTTGACTATCACCACCTATCACAAAGCCAGAATCATAGAAGTTTGTTTGTTTGATTTTACAGATGGAAATGGAAATTGCAAGATCATTTATCTGCCTAAAAAAAATATTATTATGGGCATCAAAATATATCATTAAATGGGCATTAAAATATATAGAATGCTCCTGGAATTTTCAGACTTACTTTCTTTTGCCATTCCATATGCTTTCAGGAGATATTCTATTGACTTCATCAAGTCAACCTCTTTAACCTATGAAAATTGAAAGAAAAATCACAGATTGGAAATAAATAGAACACGTTACATAGTAGATCTATATTCACTTCTGGTTTAATATCAGAGATCCAAGTCAAATTTTCCAGCCTATGATATTCTTTGCACTTTACCTCATCTGCCATGGTTGTATACACTCTCCTAAGGTGTCCACAAGAGAGTGAATGTAGATTTTCTCCATCATCTGTCTGCCACAGTCGCCCTTTAGTCAAGTTGTAAAATGATTCTAAATACTCTGCTGCTTTGAACAAGTCCCCTGTAAATAAAAAATCATGAATAAGTTACCACTAACAGCATTATTGTACAAAATCTAGCTTGTCTTTGTTTGCAAAACTTAATATATTTTTATAATTTTAATATATTTTTTGAAATAACATATTTCGTATGCTTTAAGACAGGGAAACCATAAAAAGAATTGATTGAACCATCAGATGTTGTTGGACCCTGTCTTTTGATCAACAATTTTACCTCTTTTCTCAGAGGCCAATCCCATGTTGCAGTTAGCCTCTGATTCCTTCCTTCTTCCATCTCCTCTAATCTTCAGACTTGTCTTCAAACAAGAGCCATAAAAGTGATCTGAAAGCCAAAAGTCACCAGTCTCTTCAAAGAATCTCGCCAGGGCCAGCAAGCTGTGATAAACTTGGTCCATCTTGCCTAAAAATTAAAGGGAGAAAAACAAACAATAGTTAATTTCATATCCTCATGATATCTATACCAATGGTGGATATCGGCACATCACATATTTGTAACTCACCCCTTCTCTTTGCTGCCTCTGCTGTTGTTAGATGATATTTCAGTTGGTCGAGTTTCTCTGGTTGATCTTCTAACAAAGGTTGATCGGACAGACCAGAGTCTGCTCCTAAACTTTTTATATCTTGTTTCTGTTTCTCCATCAAATTAAACAGCTCTTGAAATGACTGATGGAAACCTTCTTTCAACATGTCAAGGCAAAGATTGTGCTCATAGGTATTCCGATACCTGCCACAACAAAGATTTATGATTAATACAGTCAACAGAAGCATATATCAGTCTCTCAGCAAGTTACTACTCTTGTGTTCTAAATCAATACAAATATCTCTCATGACTGGTAACTCCCACACATGTATTTACATACCTCGAAGTGTCAATCTTTTCATAACTAGCTGTTTTCTTCAGATCAGAAGGAGGACTCCTTACAAAGGAGCCTTCTGGTCTTTGTATTCCTCTGCTACTTCGTAATGGACTTCCTAAAGAGGAACCTTTGGCTGGTGGAGATGGGACATGTCGAATGACCTGCTGAGTGACCTGGCCACCAACTTTGATAGGAGGAAGCGCAGTAGCCAGTGAGGTCATCTTGAGTTCTGAAGAGGTCTTCTAAACGTTAATACTATAAAATGAAAAGGCCTGCTTTACTCCACTTAAAACACAGAGACATATGCTGACATATATGTTTTGATGCTTGGACTTACAGCTAGGACCAGGAAAATGAGGCTACAAAGAGGTATTTAACCCTTCACACCCTAACATCAGTATGCATATTCTCCATACTGTTCTCTACACTTTTTTTAACTAGCTGTCAAGGAGAACTTGTTTAACAATCAAGAGCATCTTTAGTTGGAGTTAGGAATTGGATGCAAGTCACTCTTAGGGGTATAGGGGTTTAAGAAAACCTCGACAGTGGTGATGTATTGAACACAAATATGAGTAAATATTTAGCATTGGTCAGGTACCAAATACAATTATCACTAAACTGATCATCAAGTACGCAAGAGAACTAATGTAATGTAAAATTTTAAAGCATAGAGTAGCTCTCTTTTTGCTTAGAGGACCAATTTAGGTCGAGATGATTTTGAACTTAAATGGCAAGTGTAACCCCACAATAACTTTGAATTTGTGGTTGAGTGTACCGATTTAATTACATTCACCCAGTCTATTTCATAGTTTGAAACATGAATAAAACACAGTGGTTCAAGAGCCTCTACACAAGAGACTTCGAAAGTAACTTTCGTCGACGGCCTCAGGTAGTGAGGTGTCAAGACTGACAAATGCCTAAGACTTTAAACACCCGCACAAAATAGTCAACAATCTGTCCCCAAACACTTGCCTTCTGGTGGATCAAATTAAAGAAAAAGACTAAAATGTACCTGTTTCCACCGCAAATCGATCACTTCATCAAAGATAACACTTCTCCCGTCCAAACGAAAGTACCATTCCCAATTTTCGCCATGTTTTCTGATCACGAAGCACCATTGCCTGTGACGTCATTACCATGGCAACCCTTCAAAACAGTCCCACGACACTCCACGAAACAACTCCCAAAGATCGCAAGTATATGTGGGATACTATCCAAAAAAAAAAATGACGCAAAATCGTTCGAAGATCACCCGATCCTAGCCGCGCTGTGATTGGTAGAAAAAAATAGCTTGATGATGAAGCCAAAATGGCGGACCCTCCGGACGATGGATGGCAGTCACTTTTGAGTGAAACGATACCTGAGTTAGGAACGAATTTTAACGATAATAGAGCCATGAATGATCCTATGATAGGCGATTTTGACGGTAAGTTTATTCATCTTTTCATATCTTTACCTAGTGTCCGTATTACTCGCTAAATTCCTGTCCAAGATCACCGTAACTTGGTCGTTGTTTTTGCGTTAAGTTACAAGGATGTTTCGTTCATATCAGAGAAAAGGTGGTAAATTACCATAATTAAGTTCGCCAGATGATTCGAAATGAATGAAAAGATCTTGCAAAAGTTTTCTTTTTCACTTGTGATGTTTAGTGTCGTCAAAGTTGCGTGCGAATGTACACACGCGCAGCAGATATAAATGTGACTCTAAGCGGATTGTTAATTTATGTTCTGTTTCACTTCCTTAAGCGTAAGGCAGCCCATGCGCTTGATTAAAATTATGCTTATAGTCACTCGTATATTGTATTTTCCTAAAGCCTCAACAACCAACTTTCTTTTCTGACACCGATAAATAAGCTTTGGGCATGCACTCTCGTGACAAGATTAGCATGTTACAAAGTTTATTTTCAGTTTTGCATATGTGCATGTGACATTTGTTGTTGATTAAGTGAACCACGGACCGTGCATGCGTTGGTTATGTCTCGTGATTGGCTTGTTGCATAAAAAGGTTTGATCAGGGCATGTCAGGGGTGGATACTTGTGTGCTGTTAAATAACTGAGCTTAGCAAGGTCGTATTTCTTTTCACGTCTGAAGCGAAATCGTCCACATAGGGTGTATTTACCTTCAGATTGTAAATAAATTTACAAGGAGTAAAATTCATCAAAATACTGGCTAAATGTAGTTTTGTTTCGCCAAACTTGGTCCATGAAATATTAAATGATTGTAAGTTTTGCCTAATTCATGGAAGCAAAGCTGCTTCCATTGTGGTTTACAAACAGTGCTTATCGCTACAAGTGTCAGTTAGTAGTTTAGGTTTGTGGTTAATCTTTAATGTATGGAATTCATTAGCCAAGCTGTCTAGTATGCAGTCTGTAAAACAGCATTTAGTCTGTGAATTGTTCTCTTTTACTGAAACCTCTTTTAGAAGGCAAATGTAGATCACACAGTTAGACAAATGAGACAATTTGTGCAAGGTCATGTAGATCAACTTCATATTACGTATGGGTGACATGTTAAGTGAAGAGGTTTGTAGACCTGCATTAATTAAAGATGTTCTTATCTTAGTTCTGCACTCTCTCTTAACATGTTGACTTGTTTATGTCTGATATTCCAAATAAAACTTTTTTGTGTTTGATAGATAAATAGGTGTTCAGCCTCCTCTATGAGTAAGCTTTTTTGCACATTCTCTCTTTCTGTGTCTTATGAGTTATTGATCCCATTATACAGTATATATAGTTACCGTGAAACCCTAGATAGTTCAACAGGATTTGGAGGATCAGTTAGGAAAAAATGATAACTGTCTATAACACAGATGTGCAATTGTAGGGTAACTGGTTAATTTTTTATTTTTTTATATTGCTTTATTTATGACATCTTCATCTTTGTATTTAGAGGGATTTTTGGATTTCCTTTGTGGAGCACCATCTGATGGTGATCAGGAACAAAACAGTACAGCACTTTCACCTGGGGTGAACCTTAAGACTGACCCTTCACAGCTTATTCTCTCACCTCCAATCACACCTCCAGAGTCAATGGATACAGATGATGATTCTTCATCCTCACTGAACTTTGCAGACTATCTCTCCAAACTTACAACACAACAACAAGACCAATCACCATTTCCTATGTTTCAACCCAAGGTAAAGGTGAAACAGGAGCCAGGAGTTTGTGATCCTGGTCAGCATGGCACTCCTACACAGAATCAGAACACCACCACCCAGTACCTGCTTAATTTACTTCAAGGACAGAATTCCAAACCAGCTCCCCCTGCAATGCACACCAAGAGCTTAGAACAGCTTCTTCAGGAGCCTTCAATCCTTGCACCAACCTCACAGTCTTGTGCTGTTACAGTCCAACAGCCAACAGTTGTTACACAACAGGTACCACAGATGTCTCAGACAACCCCTCAACTCCTGCAGCTGCTGCTTCAACAACAGCAACAGCAGCAACAGCAGCAGCAGCAACAACATCAACAACAACAGCAGCAGCAGCAACAACAACAGCAGCAGCAGCAACAACAGCAGCAACAACAACAGCAGCAGCAGCAGCAACTGCCGCAATTACAACCCAAGCTTCAGCTGCCAACTGTCCAGCCACAGTGTTCAACAAGCCAGCCTTCATCAAGTCAGAACACTCTGCTACAACAGCTTTTGCAGCAACTGGGTGTGTTACCCAAACAGAGCACAACTGTAGTGCCACAGCAGCAAGTGGTAGTTCCTGAAGAACAGTTATCTCCTCAACAACAGGTTCCCTCTCCAGCCTCTATCTCTTCACTGTCATCAGCACCAGGATCCCCTGTCCATCCAACTTCTCCAGTGTTGCCTGTTCATTCAAATTCACAAGTCACAAGTCCACAAACTCAGCAGGTGAGTGATTCTTTTAATGAAGTGTAGTCTGGTTGAAATCTCTCACTGACTTTCGGGGGGATTTATCACTTGTTTCACCTTGATTGTGGCTAGATGTGTGTGAATTTTTTTAGCTGGCCCAAATTAAAGAAAAGTAACATAATGGGCCCATGATAGCATTCACAATTGCACCAATAGCAGCTAAACATCATGCTTCTTCTTGTGATACATTACAATTCAAACACATCATCTGTTGGAAACATGCAATTTACTAGTGAAAACATTGAAGTCTATTATGTAGAGTGATAGTGATTTTGTGTCTCAAGACAAACAATTGAACCATCATTTACATGTATCTACTGTAGAAACCATGATCATACTCACAAGTACACCTTTCATATGAAATTTCAGTTATTATAGAAATTCCCTAAAAAGACTGAATTTCCCTCGTAAAGATTATTATGCTCAAATTTTTTCTTGAACTCTTTTTATGTAAGAATAGTGCTGTGTGCTTAAATTGTTTGTAACTCTGTATCTTCCAGAAACTTGTTCAACCACAGATCATAAAGCCAGATTCTGCTTCCACTGTCATTGGAACTATTGAACTTAGCCAATCACAGATTCAGCCCACACTGTCCCAAGGTCCTAATGGGGTCCTAACAGCTACCATTCCCATTGTCTTGGATCCAAACAAAATTCCAATTAGTCGCCTGACAAATGGTAAGGGCCAAGGAGGAGTCAAAACAGAAAAGCGATCAGCTCACAATTTGATTGAGAAGCGATACCGCACAAGTATCAATGACAAGATTGTGGAGTTGAAAGACCTTGTGTGTGGGCCAGATGCAAAGGTGAGGCTATCATTTTGAAACAATCATTGTTTCTTATTATTATCTAAAACTATAAAAATAAAATTTTTACCATTTTTTGTAGAAGTATTGCAGTTTGCTGAAAGAAAGAAAACAGGAACTTTGCCAAGGGTGTGTGTGATTTTAATGTTGTTGTCACTTTTTTTTAAGATGAACAAGGCTGGTGTGTTGCGGAAGGCCATAGAGGTAATAATGAAGCTCCAAAATGAAAATGCACGCCTCAAACAAGAAAACATGAGTTTGAAAATGGCACAGCAAAAAAGAGGTAAAGACTATTGATACTGTTTTTGTAAGACAAGGAATAAAATGCACATATTACACAAAGTACTGTCTACATGTATTTCAGAAGTCTAGTTAATGTGTTCTGGGGACTGTAACAGGCACATGTCACAAGGTACTTCCTTGGTTTGAAGTACTCTTGCTGGTATGCCTGATAAAATGCAGGCTGGTTCATTAACATTCTGTGGGTTAAAACAAACTTTTGAGCACTTTTGTATTGTTTGTGCTTACTTAGGATAAAATACTGCTTTATATTGATCTTGAAAAAAATGGATTAATTCCCTTCAATCCTACTCAGAAACCATCACAGAGCTTGTTCGAAAGCAAAAGGAACATCAGGTAAAGAAAGAGGTAATAGAAGACTGCACTATGATGGAGGCTGAAGCTGTAAAGAGTGAAGAATCCAACAAGATAGAAGAAGTTGCTAAAGCTAGTAGTGTTATAACAAGCCCTCTTACACCTCCTACACCAGATCCACAGAGCAAAGACAAGACTCACATCAAAGTAGAAGCCCTGCCTGTCAATAGCTGTGGAATGATGGATCGCACCCGCGTGGCATTGTTTGCTTTCATGTTTACCTTTTTGTTTATCAACCCTTTGAGTTACATTGTGCCTCAGCTTGATAAAGGTGAAGTCAATAGCCTTGGTGTCTTTTTAACTGCTGTTATCTACCTGAATTTCACAATGTCGCTTCTTTTGAAAGACAGTCATTACAAATAGTACACAGAGCAGCCTAAATTTCATGTTTTTATGAAAGTTTCAACATCACTTGTTCATTGTTGCATAAGTTCATGAGTCTTTTTTCATTGATGTAATTCCCATAAGTAAAACAAACTAGTAAATTCACTACTGAAATTTTTCTCTAGTATAAACAAAATCAGTTGCAGAAGAAGTAACTTTGAGCACAGAAATGCTGTAATCACAAAATCTTTTTGAAATGTTTGGTTGTGACTTTTGAACTACCTATACTATTCTAACTTTTAGGTTTTATTATTTACATGTGGAAATTTATGGTGGTAACAAAAGTGTTTTTGCTCAAACTGTCTTTGTAAAATGCACTTTGTTCAAACAGGTATGTTTTTCTCTAACCCTGTGGAAAGTGAAAGACCCCGTGCTGCTGGAAGGACATTGCATTCTTATAGGGATAATGTCACCATACAGCAGGAAAATGGGCTTTGGAATACTGCCCTGATTGCCCTTAACTGGTCTCTGCATGCTTTTGTAGCCTTGGCAGTGTTGGTGCGTATCTTTGTATTTGGGGAGCCTGTGACAAGACCACACTCTGATAATGCAGTCCTATTCTGGAGACACAGAAATCAAGCTGATGAAGACTTAATTAAGGTAAGGTTAAAAGGAGCACAATGGAGAGGTGAATACCAAGCTTAACTTTGTCAAGGTCAGGTTGTGACTACCTAAATTCTCAATATTGCCTGACAATCAGTTTTGGAGGTTCATACAACTTCTCAAAGCTTAATACTTAGGCAACTGAGTTTAAATAGCCAATTTTGCTGAAGAGAAAGCAACAGGACTTTAATATTATGATATTTAATGCAAGTGTTTATCTCAGTGTGAACCATTTCCATTAAAACAAAGTAATTTTTTTTTTCTGCTTTCCATTGTGAGGCAGCTTGGAGCACTGTCAAAGGAAGCCTAGACATGAATATCACAGCCTTTAGATGAGTCTCGTTATGTTGAAATTAAATTGCTTTGTCTTTGTTGTTTACAGTTGTGGTTGAAAGTATGTCACATGACCACAGTTGTATTAAATTCAAAGTGTAATGGCCTTTGAGACTTTGTATGCATTAATTAAGAGTTGTCAATTTCTTTTTCAGGGTGATACTATCTCAGCAGCACGTCACCTAGAAATTTGCCTCAGGGCACTAAAACGTCCCCTTCCTGTTTCAAAGCTTGACGTGGCTTGTGGCCTTGTTTGGCAGTTGATGCGTCATGTTCTTCAGAGGCTATGGATTGGAACTTGGCTTGCATCTGCTGCTGGAGGAATAAATTTATGGGGACGAAGTACTGATACAAAGGATTATGCTAAAATATCAGCCAAAGATGCAGCTTTAGTCTACCATAAGTTGCATCAATTGAGCCTTACAGGTAATGTTCTTTGAAGGTCCTACATGCTGCTTAAGTGTTTGTAAGCTTTACCTTTTATTTTTCAGCTAAATTTTAGGAGAAAATACTATTCCAATTATTCATGCTAGATCAAACTTTCTGTATGTTTTGAGAGAGTATCATTGGAAAGGTGCAACTTTCTCATAGTACAAGTGTATGTATATTTTTGTAGGTCATGTCTCTGTGAATGGCTGGCGTTCTTCCTTTCTTGGCTTGGCAGCTGTAAACCTTGCAGAGTCTGCGGACAAACTGATGAGCATTGACATCTTAGCAGAAATCTACGTATCAGCTGCAATACAGATAAGGACTTCATTCCCAGATGGACTTCACTTTATTGCTGTAAGTTGAATATTCAAAGAGAGTACAGTATGCTCTTTCAGTGACTAGACTTTTTCAGTTTTGACATATTCCAGTGTCATCAGTCTGTGTATCATTTCATTTTGTCCATCCTAAGTCTGCAGACTTTTCATTTGTTGTTAGACATAGGTATTAGAATGGTTACGCATGACACCATATGTTTTGTTCAGAGGTACTTCCTTGGCCGGGCACAAACATCTTACGCATCTCGTGGAACAACAGTCCCAGCCTCACTGCAGTGGCTCTTCCGTCCAAAGGGACACCGCTTCTTTGTCAGCAGTCGGTGGACTTGCCAGGGAGGTGATAGCATGTGGGCCAGTATCAGTGACAAAAGTGAGTGTAATTTTTTGAAAAAAAGAACCTTTCCACTCCTTTTGTTTGCTGCATGGAATAGGGCAGGTGAAGCACAAGGGGTATCCATAAATTCTGCAGCAGTGAGCAAATAACAGTCCTTTTGATCCTTCATGGATAGGGCAGTGGTTCAGTGTAGATTACCATCTTTCGGCTCCCCACCCCTCCTCTCCCACAGTATTTTTGTCAGATGGAATCTCCTGAAAGTTGGCTGCTACCTTTATTTGTACTCCTGAATGGAGAAAGACGTTTTGTTATTTAAGTTTCTTACCTAGTGAGTTTGGCCATGGCTATAACTTTCACTTCTGGATTAGCATAAGGCTTGCACATCAGGTCTGGAGAAATAGTAAAAATGGAAACAAATTTCAAAGTATCATTGCAAAAATTTTGTGCTAAAGATGGTCGGAATTTGGTGGAACATGTTACTTTTATTTTGCCTTATTTTTACATATGTATGAAGATAAATTATGTGTGAGAAGTTACTACTAGACTGAAATTATTTGATGCAATTTACCATTTAGCCAACCCAGTGGCTCATGTGAGTCAAGCATTCCGGGAGTACCTCCTCCGCTATGCTCTCTCGTCTATTGTATTACCAAGTGCAACAGATGAAGATACCACTGGTGATAAGAGTGTGCGAGATGCCCTCAGGTATCTTCACATGCTGAACGAGTGTGCATCTACTAGTGAGAAGCCTGTCAACATGTCTTCAGCTGTTGGTGATGATGAGGTGGCCAAATGGTGGGTAGCAGTGGGAATGGTGGCAGTTCATTGGCTGCAAGGAGAAGACGAGACTGCTGAGAGGTTTTACAGTACAATTGAGAGTGTTCCCAAGAGCTTGTGGAATGCAGAGTAAGTTATATGTGTTATGGTGTGTAAGTGGACTGGACTTGCAAGCTACATAGACATTGTCAGTTTTGTAAACAAATATCTGAGCCACATTTTTATCCTGATATTTAACGATATGGTCACCCTTATCACAAGGGTATTTTGTTGTGGCAAACCACAAGGATTTTTCTCTGGTTTTCTTTGGTTCAGTTGAGGGAATGGTTTAATATTGACCATTACAAGTGAAAATTAAAAAGTATTTTAAACAAACGTCCAGGGAATTCTGCCCCTTAATTTCTCGATGGTTAGAGTGGTTTCATAATCATTCTCTTCTTTATTTTGACAGTGTTATGTTGAAAAAGAAATGGCTGACATAAGGTTAAATCAAAAAACAGATATGCTTCTGATGCTCTTTTGTCCCTTCCAGTTATTCTTCCTTGAGAACATCTGTAAAATTGTTTGCAATTTTTGCTGACCATGACAATTTGTTCTGCTTTAGAGATCCTGTGGCAAACTCAAGAGACCCATTAGCAAAAGCTATCCTTAGAGCGTACCTAGCTAAGAAACAGATTTTGGGTGGGGACACGCAACCCAGCTCACTTGAAGATTGTGCACAGCTGTGCAAGAAGTCGGGTCTTCATCTACAAGAGAGCATCAACCTGACATCGTCTCTGTACCAGTCCACCAGCAGCCGCCTACACCAGCTCGCACAGCTTTTGTGCTGTGATTGGCTGCTGGGTACTCGAAAGGATATCTGGGAATTTTCACAGAAACCTCACTTTACTGCGACTGTCCCAACTGATCCGGTTGAGTTGCGTTCGTTTCAGAATGATTTGGAGAGTTTGCAGAAACTCACCCACAACCTTCCAGCTGCTCTGCCAAGGGTAAACTTTCCTTTTTTTTTGTTAGCCATGATGTGGACAACTCCCATTTCCCTTGCCTCAGACATAAAGGAGGAAAATTTTCTCTGTGCGGGCCTTCTTCCCTTACATTTAAATGAAGACAATAAGCAAGATTCCCTCTGCTAATTCTATGTGAGCTGGAGGCTAATGTTGTGCCATTTTTTCCCTCAGCTCTATTTATACGAGGCTGTGGCTCGTCTAATGGCAGGCGCCAACCCCACCGAGACTCACCATCTGTTACAGAGGAGCACGTTGAGGCAGCGAGTGGTCACCTCTCGTCACCACAAAGGACAGCAGCCTGAAGACGAAGGTGATCTTTTGGTTATTTTTCTTGAATGTGTCAACCATTAGTTAGCAGGTGATTGACTGACTGATTGATTGGTTTTTTTTACTGTTTTCAGGAGACGAGGAAGAGACAACATGTGTAACAGGTGAGCGGGAGAAGGCTGCAGCCCTTATGATGGCCTGCCGACACCTCCCTCTGCCTTTCCTATCCGGTCCGTGTCAACGTAAGAAGATGCTGGTTGAGGCTGCCACTTCCCTGGAGAAAATCGGAGACAAGCGAACACTGCAGGAATGTCAGCAACTTCTGCTTCAGCTGAACTCGATTTCAGCCGTCGAATGACAGCAGATTTTAAATTGACATCGTTCCTGTTACGTATATTTCGCTATGTATGCTTCAAAATCTTTCGTAGGCCCCAGCATTCTTTCGAATATTTCCCTACCATTCATAGCGCTGACCGCAAATTCTAGTGTGAAATTCTTAGGACTACAAGAGAGTTAAGGCGTAATTGCATCGCTTGTCTTCCCGTCTTTTGGTTACTGAGGAAACGAGAGCCACAACAGAGGCGAAGCGACAGCATGTAGCTGTCTCCGGCACCCCACATCATGTCATAGCAGATCATATGTGTGCTTAATTTGCGTCACAATAATAACAGCTTTGTCATAAGTAACTGAGCATTAATGGTGAAAGTAAACGCAAAACCAAGATAGCTAAAGCGTCGAAAAACTCTTTAAAGTAAAGGAAAAAATAGAGAAGAGAGATGGTCTATTTAAAATAAGTATGTATGAGCATTAAATATTTTATTTTATACCTAAGGAAAGACTTACGTCACATATTTGTTATAGTTATAATTTGAAAAGAATCATGAACCAGTACTTACGTCTGAAGGTGATTTTATTCCAGTTATTTACCCCCAAGCCAGTTGTTGGATGCTTAAGATAAGTGACACCAATGATTGTGATTGAAATCAGTTGAGATAGTAGTTGAAAAAAAACTGTGTTGTTGCAGGAACATTATTGGAACATTGACTACTTTGGAAAAAGGAAAAAACCTGTAAGATAACACGGTATGGTAACTGTACACACGTACGTGTTAGTTTCTCAATATGCGTGTGAAATTAATGTATGTCTTATCTGAATGATAAATAGCGTTTTTCAATTTAGTGTAACCTAAATAAAATTATTGATGTACTGTTTCAAGAATGACCCCTTCTGCGGTCTAACGTTCAGAAATGTGTCCTAATTATTTTTGGGGCGCAACAAAAGTGCATTCATTCACTTGCGTTTGTAGCCGCATAAAATACTTAGCAGTCGAATTCTCATATTCTGATTTAACGGTTTTGTAATTGTGGGCTAGGATTTGATGAATTGTCCTCCTAAAAATATATTATGCAGTAAGCTCTGCTTCCAATCGTTCCACAATTTATGCCGAACTTTTACGACAAAGGACAGTCACTCTTTCATTGCTAGATCTGTCACGGGATATTCCGTCGAAATCGTTCAAAGAAAAAATAACATTCTAGCCCCACATGAACGTAACCTTGGTATCAAAACTGTTTGGCTACACCATCAGTTTCTGCCCACTCAGCTTGAGATAGTATATTCGTTGTAAGCCAGATTCGTTACTTCTGGAGCTAATACGGAGAGGGTTTAACTCCGGCTGCTTGGCCAGGTGTCATTCAAAACTCTCGAGGGCCAACCCAAGCATTTCTATGAGCTGTTAAAATGGAACCACGATGGAAGAGGAAAACTACAATTCAATCAATTCGAGCTAAGAAAAAAAAGGTGACTGGTTAATCTCCGTGTAAAATCTAAGAGCTCTAAATATTTAAAGTAATTTAACAATATTTGATCTGTGTAACTTTGTTTCTACACTGTTTGTCAGCGGGTAACGAAATTAGACCTTTCTAGGCATAGAAGGGTTAAAAAAAAATTATGCTTCGTACGTGACCACGGTGCTGGGTTTTTTTTTTTGGTGATTTCATCTTTCATCTAGTAACAACAATTAACAAAAAACTGATCTTCCTCTGTCGATTTACTAAATTGTCGTTATTTCTAAGGTAATCCGTACCGTTGATTAGACTAAATTGGTGATTCCTTTGGAACTACGTATGTCTTTAAAATTGAAAGAACGTCAAATCTTTTTCTCATGTCCGGATAATACAGACTAAAGGAAATACGATTCAAGGAAAATTCAGCCAAACATTCGTCAATGTGCGAACGTGATCAGTAGCAGACTAATTCCGAAATTGCATGAGAACTTTTTTAATTAAAAAAGAACTCAGACAACGTCAACAATAACCTGTTTACTAATAGAGTACAGGAAATACTATAAATTTTTAAGTAAAATGTCACCAACAGCTAATTTCGAAAGTGAAGTCGGTTTTCACCATCATGAAATGATTAGGTAACATAAATACAAATCTGGGACTTACCGATGTTAACAGCAGAATTGTTTTTATTATCTGTCAGGTGAAGCATACAGATAGAACTTTATCCTTTCGATTGCTGTTCATTGTATTCCTCGCAAACCAACAATGAAAAATGCCAAAGGTATTGTGGGTTCATGTCTAACTGGGAGACCAAAATCACCTTTGTGCTAATTAAATAAATAGAAGCATGTTCTTAAACAAACATGCTTTTCTCCAGCGTGAAATGCTCTGTCGCGGTTTGCGCTTAAATTTTTCTGCCAAAGAAGGAAATAATTTTAAAGATAAGCATGAAAGTTTTTGAAAATGAGCCGATGATAGCTAACATAGATTTGAAAACCATTTTTCACTGTTATCGATTTCAAATCGAACAATCAAAGCCTAATCAAAAACTCTCACGAACTCAATAATATCCGGAAAACTACATTTCCAATGTTTTCAGTTGTATATTTCTTTTCTGTAGATATTTGTCTTTTTTATGATTTGATAAGATATGGAAAGAAAAGAAATATTTACCCGCTTATTCTTCTCCTGGTTCATTTAAATTTCAAATTTACATCAAAATTAATTGTTATAAGTGGCTGACTTATCTCGAAGATTTCACTTCGTTTGTTCACTGCAAGGAGATCAGTTGATCCTGACTAGGGAGATATATTTGAAAGTGGTTTGGCTATCCCAATATTTTCCAAGAGGTATGGTATTGTTTAGGGTTAACTTTTACACCATGTTTTGAAAGTGCTGCACATTTTAAATATTTAGAAAAGGCTTCTTTAGTCTAATCCAGCTCCTTTTTTTCGCACTGAAAGCAATTCGCGATCGAAGCTGAACTCGATGGTTCCGCTTAAATAACTTACATTATAACAATACCATTGATGTAAATAGCTCAAGAAAGAAGGTAAATTTTTAGCTTAGTTGTCGATCACAAATAGATGCTCTTGGCTAATCTCACTCGCGTGGGAAAATGTTCATATTTTTTCTTTGATTCACTCGAGACAAAAATAAGAGCACGGTTTTCTTTATTCGTAAACCGCGCTTGAAATCTAGCATCCTTTTCAATCTATTGAAACCTACAAATACGACACTTTTGACATTGCAGGTAAGAGCTGCACGAAGGTAACTAACAGAGTATCGGAGCGCGAAATCTAACGTCTGCGTGACAAAATGAATCACATAATTGCACCATGTTTTAACGCATGGTTCTTTGAAACTAAAGGGAATAATCTTGCTAACTAGGAAGGGATTCCTTAAAACTGGACGCAAAATGTCAGCTTCTTGTTCTTACGAACCCATTGCTATTAAGATCCATACATTTCATAAACCAAATCGTTACCTTGAAATGTGCTACTGAGGTCGGTCGACACGCATATAGTCAGCCTGACGAAAACTCGACAAGTTTGAATGTACTTTTGTGTTTTGTTTTTCCATGACCATACTTTTCTTTACGATCGCAACGTTAATATTCGAATAAGTTTTCATATAGTTGAGAGTGAGGAAAGATAAAGGATGATTTCGAAGGTACTATTTCGTCAAAGTTTTGTTGGAAAAAAAAGTGTAAAGAGGAAGGATTTTAATTTCTGGATGCCATATCGTGTTAGTTTTTATCTCTTCCTGGCAGTGATGAGTTCATAGATGCTCTAAGGAACCATGACAAAATTCTTTTGGGCTCAATATAGATTATGCGTTTTAAAACATAAAAGTATCGGGAAAAAAGGTAGCTTCGATCACAAATCCCTTTTTAAGACGTACTCCTGGAACTATTCACCCCTCGGACATGATTTCAACTGACGCGATCACGATAAAAGAATTTGATTATTGTTCATTTTAAAAAGATACTGAGTGAAGAAAGCAAAAGGAAAAAGGAAATCAGGAACCAGAAAATTCTGGAACTTTAAACTATAAATTTAACGGGGCGAAGAATCTAAAATGTGAACTCAAAGTGCCTGACCACGGTGCCAATGAGAGACATCTCAAAAAACCTTGAGGAAGATGAGATCATGTTTTTCTGTAAAAACGTAATGACTGAATTTCCTCTCACTGATGAAGTTGAAGTTGACGAGATTATCATATAATTTCATGCGAACGTGTTGTCGTGATGGTATTTTGTAATTACACAAATTAGACCAATACGAGTAAGGAAATCTAAATAAAGGTTTCGCTGCATTCCGCAGGAAGGGATTTTTCGACGACTCTGTCGCTGTCTATCGTTCTTTCTAATAAGGTCTTGTCGTGGGGAGATTAGCGAAACCTTGAGCAGCTGATTACATGGAAATGGAATTTAAGGCCAAAGTCATGAATAACTACATGACCGATGTTTGATCAACGATCAGATTAAGCTCAGACAAGATTATTGCTCACAAATCATATATCAAAACAAGAGCGGGGTGTATACTTTTGTTTACAGAATGTCGGGATGTACAATTTTTCTGTGTACAAGCGTTGTAGCTGAAGCTATCATGGACTAAAAGATACTTTTTTAAAAAAGAGTAAATTCGTTGCTCAAGGCTCATTGAAGTATGTTCAAGTTCTTTCCTGTAGAAACTCTACCGCTGAGTAATCGGTTGAGTCCTTGATCTGCTGGATGAAATCTCGCTTTCGACTGGAGGTTTCTTAAATTACAATATTGGAATTAATTTTACCGGAGCCGAGCTTCAGGGAATGATATTCCAGGCTCAGCTTTACAATCTGTATAGCAAGGATATATCGTGTGCATAAATGATAAACCGTGTGATCGGAAGTCGGAAAGGTCAGCAAAGGAAGACTTGAAGAATTTTGAGAGCTTCAGTTGAAGCCTCGCTCCATGATTTGTTGGTTTTGAATAAAAGGAAACACTGGCAGCTGTCTTCGCTATTGTGTTCTAGCTTACCAGCTTTTTCGGCTGAGCTTTGAAACTTTAGAAACTTCCCCCCTTGTATTCGCGCTTCGAACAGCCAAGGTCAGTGTGGACTATTTTAGACTACTTTAGGGTTTGAGTGATAAATTTAAGTGTACATTACTGCTCAGTTCAATTCTGCACTTAAGGAACATCAAAACACGCCGTACAGAAAACTTTTACCGAAGCCTCCCCAAATTGCAAACAAACCGATTGCAAACTTGTCATGTGCAAGCATTTGCCTAAAGCTTCAGTTAATCTGTGAGACCTGATCCTTACTGAATATTAGCGATTATGGAGCCCCACATATTTGGATTATTTCGTCGCCCTTTGTCCAGAAACCAAGGCTATGACGATAAGCGTTTTATTTTGCGTCAATCTTGCTGTTTTTTTCTGCGTAGGAGGTCTTAGGTCAGCGCACATAGTTCAGATGCTTATTTGTGGGGGTGAACTGTGGCCATGGACATTTCCTGTTACACTAACCGGAAATTGCTATAAAAGTTAGCACGTGCTAATAATTATGTTGTTTCACACCGCAAATGGACGTGAAAAGTCGATCAACTTCGTTCACTTTCTCGTGATTTCCAGTCTTCGGGTGACGTGCGACTTTTGGACGCAGACCTGCTTTGTCACCAGCTCTGCGTCCCATCCCGTCTCCGGCCGGAGTGGGTGCGCGCTTTAAAATCTTACCTTATTTTCCTTTGGAATTGATATGAGACTTAGATGACTGCTAAAGAATTTGATAAAAGTACATTCTAGTTGGTTTACTGCAGCTGTTCCGCGTGCTCAAATTTTTTAAATCCGAAGAAAAATGAACTTTATACAAACGAGTAATTAGCCGAAGGAATTCAGAACTATCTGTCCCACCAATAATGCAAATTATCTGTTTTTTAACGTAAATATCAAATCTATTATCGATTTCATATCGTCTTACTTCTGTTGTCTGTACACGTAGAGAGGTTGTAAATATGTTGTGTGAGTTTGAAAAAGCCCCAGAGTCACTTTCCTTAACAAGCTGTGATCCAATTAGAGTGAAGTAAACTTTATGGTGTGCCATTTCCGTTGCGATTCCACTGTTCCCTGTGGGAGCGAGAACTTCATTTAACGTCAGTTTTAGAGGTCTCTGATGGCGGGGATGTAGCAAATTAATTCAGTCATCACACAAAATAAATTTGAAATTTTTTTTTGATAGTCATGGCACATATCTTCCTTAAAATTTCAGAGCTAAATTTATGAGAGTATTTGAGGTTTATAATCGGCTTTGTAACCTAACTCTTGAGTCTCATCCAAATAATGTTCTATCTTTCGAGGTGGGTGAAAAAAAAAAGGCGCGGCTCTATGATAATTCCCTCATTGGTGAAATATTGCCATGATGACATTTCCTGTCGTATTTGTTGGCAAGCCATTATAAAAAAGATTCACATTTCAACCTGACGGCAGAAAATCACCAGGAACCTTGAACGCAGAACAAGCGGATTGAAGCTAATTAGAGCTCCCAATAACTATCTTTCTTAGGAAAAGTGGCAGTTTTGATGTAAGTCACAATTTTGTATAATTCTTAAATCAAGCGCGTTTTCAGTTTGTGATATCGTTCTCTATGTGTGCATTATCAAGCTTCTAATATGCTTGTGGCGTATTTAAATTTGGGATATCAGCACGTTTTCATTCCCTTCGCTATGCATCTGAGCAAATTCGTCTGCTGATGTTACTTTTAGTGCGAGAGAACTGCCCAAGAGTAATACCTAGAGGAAGGCTCCGTCAGTGGAGAAGAGAGATTTCAGAGGTCACATAGATCACTCGTGTCTCAATGCTGCTTAAATAATACAATCCATCAGTCGATATTAAACATTACGGGTAATGGAAATGGCATTGCGATATAAGTAGTGCTAATAATTCCTTTTACCCGCTCGATTTTACTTTTCGTGCAAAATCACGTCAGTAATTTATTTATTTTACTCCTGTTTTCCAATCCATAGAACGTTGCACTTCCCGCCAGGTTTTTCCGAAAGCGAAGGGAATAAATAATTCAATTTCTATTGTAAAGCATGCGGTTGTCAAGCGTTGAATTTATTCCATTCATGGTCTATTTTTACAAGAAAACTATTTGAAACTTTCGCTTCTCGTTCGCTGCGAGCAGGGTCATTCGTAGTAACAGTTCTTTACTGTCTCAGCATCACGGAAAAGCGCTCGATCGCCGCTCTAAAGCATGCTTGTCGTCTTTTTGTTTCATGATGTTAAGAGATAAGGAGTCAAAAGACCATTACATGGATTTCACGTATAACAAATATTCTTGTTATTGTTTCTGTGATTGCTTACCTGATCTGGTATTGTTCTTCACCCCTTTAGAATTACATTGCATGCTGGGAATTATTTGCTTGAAGTGTTTATGAGTTGCGTGAACTGTATTGAAAAGGCGGTTAAATTTGAATATTGCCCGGGAGTCTTTTCAAATAGGCGTTGTTTATCTATCACCTATGACACACCAAATTAGAATGAGTCGGCGAAACCTGAAGCACTTGAAAGGACCGCGTGAATTCGTTGAAAAAAACGGCACGATCTCAGTGTTGTCACATTTGTCGAACGTAATATGGCGGTGCAAGTTCGATTTTCATTTCAAGAGGCCAAAGGGTAACTGAATAAGAAAGTTTAGGAGTGTTGCCTAGCATGTTGTTATTGTTTTACTTTGTTTGAACAGCTTGTTTGCTTTCAACTGCTCTTGAAACTCATAGTTGGGGACTTTTTTGCAGGCTCACATCAAGACCCAACGAAGGAAAAATGAAGTTAGCAATGCCATTTCTTCATGCTATCGTGCTGCTAGTGTTAGCTGGTAAGATTAACAAGCTAACATTTTACATAGTTAAGCATAACTCAGACACTAGATCAGTAGACTGAAAATTTGATATTGAAAGAAAATGTATTTTTATGGGACGAAAATGAGCATAGATATTGCAATTAGGCTTAAATTTGACTTAAGTTTGATTATGTTAGTTTTTCTGATGAGGCAGTTTGGCTAGTACTGTGACATGATATGTTTTCCTATTTTGTAGATGAATTTTTTGCTCTATTCAAGCGGGTTTTGTGCATCTGTGAAGGGTTTTACTTTACCAATGAAAATTTAAACAAAATGTCTTTGGATGAATGGGGGAGTGGGTTGTGAATGAAGGATGGGCAAACTTTGTATTTGAATGTATGCGTTCATTTTCTCATGAGCTTGACAATATTTATCACAATATTGACTGACTGGTGATAATAAGTGTTACCTCATTCGCATTCGTTGATGTTGCTGTTGGAATGGGCTAATTTATAATGGTACTAGGACCAAGTGGAGTCTGATTTCTAATAGTAATAAGACCGAGTGGAGTCCAATTATGAGTGATTAAAAGATCAGACAACCGCAAAGCCAGAGTCCAATTTGATTATCACGAGTACAATTACTGACAGAATTGAACAACAAGAAGTCCTGTTACCAATTTGTCATATCCATTTCAATTTCTAGAAAAACAAATACACCTAGAACAAATATCTTCATATATCTTTGGATAAGTGGTTGTTGCTATGGTTATTTTGATCATTTCTATGATTATGGGATTAGCTGAGTGGACTTAGTATGATTGGCTCCTTCAACTGTCCAGTAAAGGTGTCTGATTGCAGCTAACTGTCTGACTACACTGTCCAATTACAACTGTACAGATTGATCAGTGAAGAAATGAAGCTCTGATTACACCAATAATATTTGACAAATTAGTTATGGCTATGATTAGGTTTATAATCGTACAAGTGATTAGTAAAATTGGACAAGCACGAAATGGAAGTTCAATTTGTTAATTTTAGGTATGATTACAAACAGAATTTGACAACATGAAGTCCTGTTACCAATTAATCAAACGTATCACAAAATTTGAAAACTACAAATTAAACTAGACATCAGTTAATGTTTTCATGAAAAAAAACCCTCAATTGTTTTACTTTGAAGAACCCATTACCTTGGAATTAAGTTTCCTTTATGAAGTGGGTGGGTATAGATGTCTGTGACTGTAGTCTGTAAAAAATGTTGAAATTTCAAGGCATCTAACAATTTATTCCCAGCCTTCATAATTTTATTAAATAAGATTAATAAAACTTAGCTAGTTTTGTTACATAACAGTGTCTTTCATGTGCCTTTTTTCTCTTCTCAAAGGTGGCATTCAGTGTTCTCCAGTAAAAGGGAATTTTTCTTTTCTCATCAATCAAGACTTGGAAGTGAGAAGAGTATACACAGCCATTGAAAGTACTGCTGTGTTCAACTGCACAGCAAATGACTTAACTGCTAATGTCACATTGAATCGAACTGACAGCCAACTTAGACAAGAAAAAATAACCAGAAATGGTGCAGTCTTCACTATTCATCGCATCACAAGACATGATGCAGGTCACTACTTATGTGTTGCTAAGAGGAAGGATGGACAAGTTATCACCAGAAAGATCTTATTATATATCGATTCCAGTAAGTTCCTGCTTTTCTTTTCTAAGAATCACAAAGGATTTTTGTGATGTTCCATGGCTATTTGAAGAACAATATGAAATAGCTGTTACTTTGTACTTGAGACTTTGAAATGTATGCAAGTTATAGTTGGTAATACAGAAAAAATGTAATCAGTTATTTTGCTTTGATTTCTAAATGTCAATTTCTCTCTCTCTCTCTTTTATAAGGAACTCCTAGTGTTACTGTTGACCCTCATAGGAATAGGAGAGTTTTACATGGTTCCCCTCTTAAATATGTCTGTGAGGGTAATATGGGAACGCTGACTTGGTTCAAAGATGGTGTGGAACTTCCAACAGACAGTTTGCCAGGTGTCAGTGTCTTCTCCTCCCATGGTCCTAATGGAATTTTGGAAAAGGATCTGGTCATCTTACAGGCTGACTTTGCACATAGTGGCAGATACAGATGTCTGTTAACTTTAAAAGGATTCACATCTTTTCAATATGTAGAAGTCAGTGTCAAAGGTAACTAAAAGTCATAGTTGCCTACCTGTTTAAGGCTTAAGAGATAAGAAATTTTTTTGTGCACATTTTCAATGTAACTTTTTTCTCAGCTCTTTTATTGCGATCATTAGCAGAGTATCTCAATTCTTTTAAAAGAGTCCAATAATTGGAATCTGATTTTCAACTGGGTATTTCTTACAATGTACTCAACTCTATTTGCATAACTGTATGTGATGAAAATGTTTGCTGACCTTATAACTTCTTAAAAGTTTGGGATGACCTTTTTTCTTCCAGCTCCAGAACCTGCTAGTATCACATCTGTAACACCCCATAGCATATTTGTCAATGACACAGACAGTGGTCCAGATGTAGAACTTGACTGTCGAGTCAGTGGTTTCCCTCCACCAAAGATAACATGGACAAAAGATGGCAAAGAAATAAAGAAGTGTTATAAAAGCCACCCATGTGAAAAGATTCAGCGATATATTTTAACATCCCACAATGGTTTGATCATTCGGAAGAAGAATCTCAGTCTTGATGATCAAGGAGTATATCGCTGTGAAGCAGAGAATGCTTTTGGAAGGGCTTTCAAAGAGATTGTTGTTGATCTTCCAAGTAAGTCGTTTGTTTGGTAATTGTTCCGACTGCTTTTAAGAAAAAAGTGAGGGAAGGTTTGGAAGTTTGGGGTTTGTGTTACTCAAATATTTTAATCTGAGAGGCTCATCGAGTTGAAGACAGGTTTAGTAGATAGAAAATTTACACCTTGAAGTGTGTCATGTTGTCATGAAAAGTCATAGCATTGACTGCAATGATTGTCTTTTTTTGAATGGAACAAGAATGGTGAAACAAGAGAAGAATTTTAAATGTTTATCCTACTTTGACTTATGCTCTTTTACGGAGTGGCGATCACAAGTTTATGGCTTCTTGAGTATGTTCCCTTTACATTGGCAGAACTAGGCCAGGCGCAGGGTTCGGTCCCTCGAAACTGAAGAAACCAACGTTGGAAAAAAGAGATTTTCAGCGCCCTCGCCCTCTACTGTTGTTCACAGATCCCCGATCCGCCCCAGCCTAGTAGTTCCTTTACATCTTAAAATCAGTATGCAAGTTCGCCTTACTATTCTCTGTGCATTCCTAATAGCACTTCCTAGTAAATTTGTCTTCCAATCAGAAGTGATCATTTCCTTTTTTCTCATGTACCACCATAACGTGTGGTTTAGGTTATTAATTGTAACATTGTACGATATTGTAAGGAGACACTAGATGCGGGTCGCTCTTACGGGCTAAAGGACTAAAGTGAACTTTGATTTCATTTACAGGTCCTCCTGTATTAGACAAACTAAAGGGAAGAGAGAAAACTGTGAAATGGTATGCAGGGCAGAAAAAGTCAATTGTCTTTTCATGTCATGCTACACGAGGTGCCCCACGGCTACGTTTTAAGTGGTTTATAGCATTTGGTTCGACTAAAATGTTTGTCTCGTCTAAAAATAATTTTTATAAGGGGTGTTTTACTCAAAGAGACGGGGCTAAAAGCAGCATCCTAGAAACACCTGGGAAAGACGCATCTTCATGTTTCACCACGCGCCTTCAAGTGAAGTGCTCCGTGGAAAATGATTATGGAAAAGATGAGGTGGTTTATACACTTTTGGAGATCTCCTCTCCTTCTAATGCGCGAGACTAATAGTCCCAGCGACTTGTCTTATTGGTATGTCCCGGCCTGACCATAGCACACAGGTGGCTATGCGTGCGCTAAAGTGAGGTGTTTTTTTGCTCACTGGGTATTGAAACGAACAACTAGATGTACAGTGGTTTATGGTTATCTATGCCTGATGTGGCATTTTTTTATTGACTTAATGTTTACAATGCACTCTTACTGTTAGTTTTAAGTATTGTTCTTTTAAAGTGATTAGTGAAAATGATTGATTTTAAACTCCAACCTCGTTTGTTTGTCTAAAGTACGTACTCCTAAGTCTATCAAAGTATGTACGACTTGTTGATAATAATGGTTTTTAAGTAATTCGACCTCACATTGAGGGTTTTATTGTAAAGCAGTATATGCTAGTAGTTTTGTTATTTTTATTCCCTCATTTATTTGTATTTACTACTTGTTTGTTGTCGAGCTTATAAATCACATTTTAATCGATAATGTTTACCTGTGCATGAAATTAGATTTGTGGAGATTGTAACGTTAATGATATATCTGAATAAAAACTATTTACTCAATTATAGTAGTTCGTAAAATTACTCGATGAAGTCTATAGAAGTCTATGCAAGTGCTGGGGTAAACTAACTCCTCAGCTTTTTTTTTATTGAAGTTTTAAACTTGGAACCTCCCAGTAGCGAAATACTTTCAACATTAAACCCTCATGAGCATTTGTTTCTGACGATAATTCGAGGATAGTTTCCAAGCATTTGACCTTTTTATTCTCAAAATGTCTTATCAAATAAATTCAATTCAACAAAGACGGAGTATAAGTTGAGGACAAGATCTCTCCCTGGGGTGTCATGACAGATGCGATTGCTACAGAACAATAATTCGTAATATGTAATTTTATTAGACATTATCGTGCAGTCTTACTCATTCCCAGTCAACTCCAAAATGTGTACGTTGGAGTAGGCGAGAAAGGGGTGATGGGAAGGAGGTATTATTAGTTTACGTGTGACATGCATACTGCATGCTACTAAGATCAGCGGTGTTTAAAGCGTTGTGTGAGAATAATGTTGAGATGAACCTAGCAAAGTGCAGGACGCCTAGCTTATTACTGAGTTCTCCAAAGTTCATTGGTGGAGCATTGTAGCGTGGACTGCGAAGGGTTCGATTCCTCTTTGGGGACTCTTTAAACTATTATTGGATGAGGTTTTTGCGATATCTAGAATAATTAAGGTCGAGGTAGGAGTTAACAGCCGAAGCCTTCAGCGTCGGCTGATAACCCTTACCGAGATCTTGATTATTTTGGATATCACAGAAACAGACTTTAATAATTTTTTTTTATATACATTGGGCGAAAAAAAATGGTTACGACAGTAAGTGAATCTAATATTTTATTTCTAAACGCGTAAAAACATGCAAATCAGTGAGCAACAGAAAGTACGCGTATTTGACATGATTATCCTTAGAAATCATGCACCGCGGTTATACATGACATGATTACCCATGACCTTAAGGGTCCATAGGATAATCTGCAGCTAGATAACATGTGTAATCTGCAGGTGGATGACGTCCCAGGCGCTGATTTCGAGAATTCCCAGTATGCTTACGGCCAATCAAGAGATAGTGGGTTGAAATTGCATAATGATATTAATCATTGGGTGTTACAAGGATCGAACTCTAGACGGGATTTCACTAAGATTTAACACAAATGGTAGAAGCAGTTTCTCCACGGACATATGCAGTCAAAACAACATTGTCCAGCCCGTGCGATGATCCGACACGCCTATTTGCATGTCCAAGCACGCGAAATTTTTTGTTAAAGAAGTAGTACACCTGAAGGCTCATGTTCGTCAATGCCTGGCGGTAATTTGAACTAAAAAGAAACAGAATGACAGGGTTGATTGCTGTACTAAAAGATGGAAACAAATAGAAAAACAGAGCCACAAAAACCAAACATTTGTCTTTCGCGATGAGATCCGGATGGAACATTTTCAGCGACAGATATATACAAAGTGGCGTCCAACAGACGAAAAATGCCGCAACAATCGATATTAATATTTTCGTGATCTTCTGATGCTGTTTTTGTCTCTTGCTGTTCATCTGGTCTTGTGTCTTATCTGCTGTATCTGGACGATTCCTAACAGTTTTTATAACGCGAGCATAAAGGATTGTCATTACAAAAATTGGCGCACAATAAAATACGACAAAACCTATAAAGTTAAAGACTACTCTCAGCAATCTGCTCCAAACAGTTCTGCAGAAAGTTTTATCGTCGACTTTGACAACTTCGGTATAAATAACATACGGGAAACCACAAACTATCGGTATAATCCAGGTGAGAGTCAAGAAAGCAAGTCGTACTCCTCTACGATCCAACACTATGATCTTTAATGGGAATACAATAGCCACATATCTGTCCACAGAGATAAGAACCAAGCTCAAAACCGACACCACTTGTGATATTCCTCTGAAGTACATTCCCAGTTTGCAAACAACTGAAGCCAAATGATCACTGATAAATTGTCGACTTGTTAACATCCCCTCAGCTGCGAACAGCGGCCAGTTGAAACATGCGCAGAAAAGGTCTGACACTGCCATGTTGACTATGTAATAGTTAGTACTAGTTTTAAGGCTCGTGGTTTTGATGAAGGATACTATAACAACGAAGTTTCCAATAAAAGCCGCTAGTGTTACAATGGAAAGAAGTACTGTAAATAACGTGGTCACTGCATCAGAACAAGACAGATCCTGATTTAGAATCTTTGTCGGTTGAACAGAAGAATTGTTCATTGCTCAAATCAAATCTAAGAGCAATGTTTCAAATCGTGTTCTTCGTTGCTTAAAGCGAATCAACGTATCCAAAGGCACGATCCTACGCTGAATGATTCCTGGCGACAAATATGAAAACAATAGTTAGTTTATAGACTTCTGATGACGAACATTTTTGACTATGAGTTAAAAGTAATCCTGGATCGCATTGGTTTCCCCTCTTCACTCGGTGATTGGTCAAAAATAGATAAACTATCCTCTCATCCAATCAGATTCAAAACTGACCCTGCGTGGTCACTCGCGTTTTCCCCCGCTCCAAGCAGTATTTGCCTTGCTTTTCTTTTTAATTTTTTTTAAGCTCACAATAGCTCCGTGTGATATCAGGGTCACATCGACCTTTGTTTTAATTACAGGCCTTTTTAAATCCTTTGGTTTTAGTTTTACTCAAAAGCGAGGACTTTTCATTGAACGCGCTTTAGAGTAAAAGAAAATTACTGAGTAACCAAGAGACTGGTGTGCATTATGATTTCGCTGCATATACATCGATGAAGAATCACGCCTTTCAGCGTGCGCCAAGTACTTTGCGTGTCTGGCTGTCTTGTGGAAGTTTGGACAGCGGAGTCTCCTGCTGCGCAGGCTGTCGTGACGCACGCAATTTTTCATGACTCTCTCCCAAGATCTATACAGACATTCTCCTTGGAGTGCCAAACACTTCGTTAGCTTTAAATTGTGGGAGGTCCCACCTAGATCGACTTAATATCTCCATTTCATAATTTCCTTAATTCTCGTTAACTGTTTACTTGATAGTAGTTAGACTTTGAAAGGAGACGTTGCACGTTGATCGCTTCTGTGGGTGGAAAGGTCTATAAACTTTGGCTGCTTCTGAACAGAATAGAACGTTTTAAATCTGCGCATATCTGTTTTGCTTGTGTAAAAAATCACACGAGGGGTATCGATATTTGCTCTCTATTAGCTCTGAAAACTCTTAGCTCGTGTTTCTAAGAATTAAAATATTGATCGAGTCGTTCACCCTGTTGGCGACTTAACGTTTTCTATTTACAACGATGTTAACTTTAGAAGTTGCGTTGTACAACGCGACCTCTATTTATCAAGTTCAGGAATAGATAGAAAAGTAAAATGCTATGAAAAGCTTGTGCGGCTCCAGTCACGAAAAGGAACCATGTTCAGTTCACCATGGTGACCCGCTAATGTTTAGAGTCAGCTCAAACATCATCCATCCAATTACGCGTCGTGTGAAAATTTGTTCGCCTTCCCGAAAATCGAAGTTTCTGCTCTTATGAGGCTGGGGTATCTTCCGGCTAGGCTAACAAATGCAAACTAAACGTCGTGTCTCTCAGACGATCTATCATGACTCACAAAAGACCTCGTGTAACAACAGAAATTAATTCGTGAATCTGGTTAACAGAATAGAATGAAACAAATGAAAACCAATCAACCATTGCAATATTCTCAGGTAGCATTATATGTTCATGTCTTTTCAAGCTTGTTTCCATGCTGTAATCTTTTTATTACCACTTTTGACAATAGATATGGACTGCTCTGTTCGTTTTCATTCTCTCAATCTATTAGCTTGAAACAAGATTGCTTAAGATTTTTCTGATTTCCGGCAAGGTTTTATGCATATTGGATAAATTCACATCAGAGCTTCTGGCCAATGTGCCGATGAAACCACAGGCATAGATTACACCCCAACGCATTGAGTTAGCAATGCGTTTTCATTTCTTTCATTTAACTATATTAGTCGCTTTCCATCTGTGCATCGGTTTAATTGCTCTATGTGATACATGTTTGATCACGTTTTATCAAGTACCGACGCCTTTAAACGTACACGTGCAGTCGTAAAACATTCAAAATAATCAGCGTAGAAAGACCTTCAAACATTTTAAGCCGACTTCGTTGATCAACTACAGACAAGTGTTGTTATTAAGCTTAGAACTTGTAGAGAAACTAATGTTTTACCGGTTGATGCGGGAAAAGCTGCCTCCAATCTCGTTAAGAGCACTGTCTAGGTTTGTTAGACCCTTTTCCTTGGAATTTCAAAGACCACTTGACCACGAAGCAACAAAAATGTTGTACACTTTTGAAACATTCTCGTATCGTGCAAGGAAAGCCCTCTTTTTTTTCTGTAAATTACTCCAGTTGCACTCGGCAAATTCTTGAGTACATTTTATCATTAATATTTTAAAACTGATGAGTTCTTTGGTAGTTAAACTGGCACTGAACTATGTGACTAAGCTGTCTCGTCGTTATCAATAGCTTATTACCAAACCATTTTCAAATTTATAAAATTCTTAAATTTCAGCAAACTGTACATGTGTATGTATAATCACATCACGTTTCGGCTGACGAAAGTTTTCAAAACTTCATTGTTAACTTCAACCTAGATTTTTGTGATGAAATTTCCCTGCGGGCGCCAAACAACTGAAACACAACGCTTTCGGGTAAATTAGTCCTTCTGAAACTTTGCATCCCAGAATTGTTCAAGTGAAGCTATAATTTCTTGCATTCGAGAGAAAGAACAGTTACCGAGCCCTTACCTTTTTAAACTCCGTCAAACGAGAGGCGAAGATTTTTCAGGTGTTCTCAGTAAGTGTCGTATCTTTGTAAACACTTAATGCTTGGTAGATTATCTAGTGATAGGTGAATACTTATTATATCATTACCCCCTGTCGTTAGCCTCAGGAAAGATAACAATTGTAGTTTGAAAAACAAGTGGTGTACTACAATTTGGCTGGATGAGAATACAAAGGCTCTTTTCATAGGTAATGCCTAATTGAACAAATTGTGTGGGTTATCCGTCATATCTGGCACTTTGTTATTGAATGTTTAAACGTGCCTTGAACCATAACAGCTCTTCCAAATCGGCTTCTTGAATGAAAACAATTCATGCCTCATGCAATCGCGTGACTAAATCCGGCTGAAGATCCAAATGGAAATTTAAGTGTTTCTGATAATTAATATGTTAATTCATGAAATTTTGTGGTTCTATTTAGACAGTTTTGTTTCTTTGCCATAGACAATGTGAAATTGAAATTTGATTAAATTTGCTCGCAACAAGAGCAAGAAACTCCACTCATTTGATGAAAATAAATTGAATTATATGATTTATAATCACCTTGCGCTTTTTGTCCTTTTTCATAACACCTTTTTTCTCCATTGATAGATTATTGCCGAGGACGCAAAATATCAAAATGCGATACAAATAATGAAAATATTGAAGCGATGGAATTACTGTTTGCCTTTCTATTTTTGTATTTACATTTTGCACAAAATCATATTTTGTCTACAAATTGTAAAATTGCGTATTGCGCACTGTTGCTGCGTACTGTTGGTGCGCACCGTTAGTACGTACTGCAACTAGTGTATCACGATCCATAACACGGTCTATCACAATTTATTGTTTCTACTTCATAAGCATGGTCTCAACTGTGTTTTAGCATAACAAAAATGTCAAAACCTAGTAGAGTTTTTTTTAGAGTGGACATTAAGATACCCTGCTGAAGAACAGCTGTAATCTTTCTTCTTTTACAGGCGAACACTTGCCCCGTTCGCCTGAAAAAACGCAATAAACTGCGCCAGTTCTGCAAGCTATTTCAAGTTCCACTAGGTTTTGAAATTTTTTAAAGGCTAAACACGGCTCAGACCTTGTTTATGAAGTAGAAACAATAAAAAAGTATGAAAAAATAAAGTCTACCGATTACAGTTGCTTCTAGCTTACAGCTGATGCAACCCCTAAAAGAGTACCTTAGTTTTCTTACAACCGCTGCCTCAACACAAACTATGTCGTTCATTCACAGTCAGCTAAATTTGCTTTCGGACGTTGGATAGCTGTTGCTTTCGTGAAAATATACTGAGACCTTTGTTCTCACGTATGGTTTTTTTTCTTTGATCACTGTGAGTCAACATTGAACCAAGTCAGTCGGAAGATCCTCTGCGACATAAATTGACATCGATCTCCTCAATTTTTAATTACTGATATGAGCAAGACCGTTCTTTGTATTTCAGTAATTGTGAGACTTCTATAGGATCAGTAAGACTCAATTGCAAACTATCTCAGGTCTTTTAAAGAAATAAAATTAAATTTGGATCGATACGAAATGAATACCCAGTTCCGAGTATTTACAAACCATTATCATGGGAAATTTTCCAAAAATCCTAACTTTGTAAATATGAATGCATCAATAAAAATCATTATATTCTCCAGACTGTTCTCTTTACGTTTCCATCAGCACCGACAACGAGAATTTCTGAGACAATCAGGAGCTTCTTAAATTGGTGATTATTTCCTTTATTCTCACAACCTTTACATTGAATTCAAGGCTGGTACCGTGGGGAGAAATTAGAGGTCAATCACTGTTAGGGGCAGGAGCTCACTACTGTTGTACGGGTTAACTGGTGAAAGACCAAAATGTTCATATAAGGCTTTATTATACTTGTCTGGTAGATCTCATGATTATTGACGATATCAAATCGAGAAAAGTGAATTTCGGCAAATAAAACCTCGGCGTTTACAGAAGACGAGAAAGAGGAATATGAATTTATATATATATATATAAATTTATATGGAGCCACCGGGTGTGATCTTATTGAGACAGCTAGCTTGACATGGAGACATGTTTCAATTAGCTCAGATTGTGGCTGAACGAACATAACTGAGCCACTTGGTAAGACCCAAAAGTTATTATTTTATCTTTCAATTTAAAAAATCATTCGAGATGGCTTCATTATTGTACTCAGATCAGAAAATGTCAAATATCACAGGTGTTTAAGAATATTGTGTGACCAAATGCTTTTTCTTTACTTTTGCATAATTAAGATTTCAAAACTGTGATCTGAGAAAGAATTCATTTAAAGCGTAGGCGTTTAATACGACAAAATTGCAGGAAATATAGTTTTCTGGAATCCTCCCCCCCTCCACCCCCTCATGAGAAAATAGCGTTACTGCGTGTGAAAATATAATTTCTTCTTGTAGGCAGCTCTGAAGGGGAAACAAGCCAACGTTGCCTGTGAAAAAACCTCAGTTTATGTTCTCTGATTCTAATATTGCGTGTAATTAAGCAGTGAATGTTATTAGCCTGTAAAATTATACTCCTTAGACCTGAGGAAATATTTAGGGGAAAAAAAACTTATTTACTTGGATGATTAACAACGGTTTGACACTTGACGTAAAAGCACCTCTAGACGTGCGATATTTGACGTTCAAACCCCAAGACAAAACTTAACCTGCAGGGCGTAGCTGTCGAAAACGTCAAAAATGAAACTGCAGGCAGTAAATGGTGCTAATTACAATCATTCTAATGACATCACGCGTCAATTTTTAGACGATATCAATGTAGCGCTTTTTGAAATGTTACGTAAAAGAAAAGACTGCAGTTGACATATCTGGCTCAGTTGTACCTCTGGGATTACAACGCCATTATAAGGACTTTACAACTTATGAAAAGATGTGTTAGAATTCTTGATTCAGCGTTATAGTTCAGCCTACGTTTGTCTCTCATTTGTTCGCAGCTTCTCTCTGAAAATCTACTCGAAAATTAAAGCCGGCAATTAGTGTTTCTGCGCCAACTTAGTGTTATAATATTCAACAAAAATGTAAGAACTGTTATCGAACTTCAACTCGGAAATTTAGCTTTTTCAGATCTCAATTCGTCTTAGAAGCCTTTACACAGAGTTATCCCGCACCAATATTTTACATCAAATTCAAGTCACATGTTTAACAGAAGAAAATTTAATTCAAAACTAAGAGAAGATCTCTTGATCAAAACAAGATGTAAGACGTTCTATAAAGACATTCTGTACACTGTAGAATGATAAACTGTGAGGTTATAGAAGTCATTCTGGGGCTGGTATTGCTGATATTTGTTTATGATACTTGGTTGGAACTAATTTTCGTATCCTAAAATTTGCTTTCCCAACCTCTGAGAGTAAACATCACGTAATTCTTCTGGGTGCAAGTCGTTTTTCTCGCACTTACCCTAACCATGGTTTGTGCCAGAAAAGGAAGAGGCAAAGGGAGCAGGAAAGAAAGAAAAGATAAGGAAAGAGAACGACCTGAACCATTAGCGAGACTATGCACTCTAGATGACTGTAAGCTATGGCCTGGCAATTGTTAATGGACTTGATGGCTATATGGCCAGTTCATGTTTGACTCCCACTTTAAAAAAAGATATAAATATGGCTGGCGTCCATGTCCACCCTTTTAACTTTCTTTAGTGACCAGGAAATTCAAGCAAGTGTGCAAATGATGGGGATTGTTAAGACAATTTTGAATATTCTGCCTCAAAAGCTCTAATTGTGTCAAGGAATCGAATCTAAACTGGCCAGCATGAAATATTGAGTACCAGCGCGTAAAAGTCATGTCTTGACTGAGACCAGCAACAGGTTTGATTCTCTTGAAGCAGAATTTCAATTTCTACTATACATTTCAATCAGAAAGCATACTTGCTGAGCTTTTAAGTCAAAGCTTGATCATGCGTAAATATATAAATTCTTGGAAAAGGAAACAAAAGAAGGGAAAAGACAACTTAGGACTCTTCTAACCCAAAGTTCACGTTTACTTTGGCTTAACACAAAGATTTACACGTTTTTTAACTTCCGTATTCACCGGCTTGTGTGTGTTTTTTTGTGTGTTTTTTTTTTCTTTTTTTTTTCATTCCCAACAAAATAGTTCTAGCAGCCCTTCAACACGATGTAGAGACCAGCACGTAGCTGTCATAAAGTTCACTCATGTGCACACGTTTGACCGTAGTGTTGCCGTGGCCCCTACCTGCAGGCTAAGGTGGCTTGTAGTTATGCTACGCCGGAATCAAGAGAGGATGTATTGACATACCAATCTACACTTCACTACAAAATACATCGGCAAAATTATGTCAGATTGAAATGTCCTCCATTTCACACTTTTACCGGATCAGTTACTAAATCTGCAACACTTGCAAGTCGGATAGGCGATCTCTTCGAACAAAACGAGGAGGAAATTGTATACAGAGCTTAAGAAATTAGATAACAACATTACAAGGTTCTCTCTCAGCTCAGAAAGTTGTAAGAATGAAAAAGAGACTAAAAATAACCTCTAATTTTCACCTTCATAAGTAGCGGAAGGTTAATGACGTATTTGGAACAAAACGTATAGAAAATTGTACGCCACGCTAGAGTGATAAGATGACAAAAACATTTTGAACTTCCTTCTTGGCCGACAAATTTGAACTAAAATTACCTAGAGGTTACACCTTACCTTCATTTCCCACACTTGTGAACACATATTGCATGGGTAATCAGTGACATGGGAAAAAAAGAAGAGGAAATAAAAATATCCTGCTTACGATAGAAGGTAACACCAGTGATTTAAACGTCTTTTGCTGGCGGTAAACGGATGAACTTGAATTAAAAAGGACTTTTGAAAATTTATCACGTCCCTGTTAACACCGTTTATTGCAAGTAATCAGATATGCAAATATGTCCAGGTAAAGATTACTTGACTGAGCGCAAAAATTTACATCTGTTTCAAGTGCAGCAGATATACTATATGGACATCCTACTTTTGCAAGAGACGAGAACAACTTAAATCGCCCCGTCACTCTTATTAATCGCAGTGAAGCAGGACAACAGTATAATAAGATTGGCTTCAGTTCCCTTGTAAGCTTTTTAATTTTTTGAAATTAATTTTGTTACTAACTAACTAAATCATGATTATTATATTCAGTGTTGTTTCGTGCCGCCCAACTTGACAGGATCCATTTGCGTTCGTATGCGGTGCAAGCCGACTAAAGTGGCGGGTTAAAGACACTTAGATAACTGTTCGACGACTGAAGTTTCACTTTTTAACTTAAAACTCCATTCGTAACTTTGTAAATTCCTTTTTTTTTTCTGTTAATTATCAAGGTACATGAAACAAATCATGGATCATGATTGACCAACTGTAACGTTCGCGGGTGCATGTCCTCTGAAGGTAAAATTCCTGCTGTAAAGCATCACAGGTTGCAAATTAGGCTTTAATTGTTATGTAAAATTGTTATATACCTAGACTTTTACTCAACAAAACATCAGGACTCACAGGAAAACGAAAGTAACTGTTTCCCTCGGGACCATGCAGTAAGGGTATAATGTTTCCTTCTTTCTTAGGATCTTGTGGTTACCTGATTTGAAAAGTTTCTTGAGATTTAAATCATAAAGTAGAGCGGGGAGTTTCACCTGTTACTGTGGTTCCATAAACGACAGTTCATCCATGATAATATTATTATTGCAAGCTGTGATGCTCTTAAGCAGGAATTTTACCTTTAGAGGACATGCACCTGCAAACGTTGCAGTTGGTCTATCATGATCAAGTCTCAGTGAACTCAGTTGAACTGACACCGTGTTACCAAATGATATGTTTGTTGATTAGACTCTGGTTTAGGTTCAAATTAAAAGAGTACCCTCAACAGCATCAAGAGTAATTTAAATATTTCATCTCATAGTGCACATATTTGTTACAAGGAAACTTGTGGAGTAAAGATCTCTGTGAATCACCGAAGAGCCGAACAAATTTGCAATTTATGCCAATCCTCCCCATCCTTGATTATTTTCTCTCCTATTTGTTTGACCCAATAACCGAACGTTTCATGATTTCTTTCCATGTAAGGTAATTAATTCCCCATATTAAGTTATTCGAAAAATTGAAAGTTAACTCCTTTACCTCCTCATTGGATCGATGCTGTTCGTTTGTGGCTCGATCGTCTCACGGTTAGCACTGGACCTTTTTAGCTGCAAAGCGTTTTTGTATATTCCCAAAAGTACAAGAGAGCAATCCTGAGATTCGTTGCTTTCAAATTTATAAACATTTGAACGTGTGTTAATATTTTATGTTTGTGTGAAAGAAAAGTCGATGCATGAATTTAAGAACTTGAAAAGTAGCCCTACGTGGAGTAATGGTTGTGGCGAATGATATATAACTTACAAGCTTATAGACCCATGTAACCTAACCATCTGGTCCGGAAATAATCCACACTTTAGTGTGAAATTACAGAAAATTAAACGAACGAACTCGCAGCATCAAAAGAGAGCTATTGGTATTCATGAGATACAAATTAGCATGAGCAGTTTTTTTTCTGCAATTCTTTACCGTAGTTGTCAGGTTGTCAAGGATCCTTCTCGGTTTTCATTACTGTATTTCAAATAACAAAACATTTGTTTCTTTGATATTATTCGTATATGTTTAAGTTTCGAAATTAATCGAGAGGTAAAGATAATAACCGTGCAAAATTCTTGGCATGCTTAAACAATGCAGAAAGATGAAGTTGATTGCAAGACGTTTAAATTAGTCGGATTATAACACTTGCAAATAATCGAATGATTTATTCGTGACAACTCTGAATATACGAGCCAAGGAAAGAGAAGCGCAGAGCAGAGCATCCAAACATCTTAGATTCGATTCCTCGCGAGAACTCAGATCTTCAGTAAGCCCACGCTCGTGACAAGACGAAAAAAAACAAACCTTTATTGCACTCAAAACATTTTAATCACCTATGCTAATTAAGTCTGATCTAAATACTAGGGACTGAGAATTTAAAAATAATGCAAATACTAAATGAATTGATACAAACGATGACGTATGATTTGTTAGGTAGTCAAGTAATATGACTTTCACCTCAAACGCAACAATCACGCGTCGGGGAACAATACAAGATAATGTAAGGTTGGCCACCGTAAAGAGTTTCTAAAACTCCTCTTTACCGTGGCCAATTTACATCATCAACTAACTCAGTTGATAAAACCAAAAAATCTCGTGAGGAATAGTTCGCTATCAATTTTTTGTAACCTATACTTATATAGAAATCTTGCGTTGAGTTACAGGTCACTGTAAGAACCTCAAAGTGTCAAGTACACCTGAATATTCAGCCTGAATATTAGTAAACAAATCATTCATGAACAACACTGCGGTTCAACGAGAAGGGCTTTGCTCTCAAATGGCATCAACGCTGTTTACAGTACTTTTATCCATCATCAGCTTGGGAGCTTTAATTGGTAACAGTCTTGTAACTATTACCTTTTACAAAACACGAAGCTTAAGAACAAGCACTAACTACTACCTTGTCAACATGGCGGTGTCCGACCTTTTTTGCGCATGCTTCAACTGGCCGCTGTACGCAACTGAAGGAATGCTGACCGGGTCAGAGTTTATCACTGAGCCTTTCGCGTCAGTCGTTTGTAAACTAGGATTGTACTTCAGAGGAATATCACAAATTGTGTCTGTCTTGAGCTTGGTTCTAATTTCTGTGGACAGATACGCCGCTATTGCTCTCCCTCTGAAGACTACGATGCTGTGCAGGAGAAAAGTCCGCCTAATTTTGCTGTTTTCTTCTTGGATTTTACCAGTTGTTTGTGGTCTTCCTTACTTATTCTACACAAGGGTTGTTAAACTGAACGGACCAGTATTTTGCCGAACTGTTTGGAGCAAATCACTGAACGCAATCTACATCGGCGTTGGGTTTGTTATTTTCTACTGTGGTCCACTCCTTACAATAATCATATTTTACACTCTGACAATAAAGATATTACGGAAACGTCCAGTCGCTTTAGAAGAAAATTTGCCAAGTAAAATTTATGACAAAAGGAAGAAACAGAACGAGAAGGTCATAAAATTCGTGATCATAATCGTTGCGGGCTTTTTTATTTGTTGGACTCCCCTCATTGTTTATCTGGCTTTGAAGATGTTTCATCCTGAGCTCTTCCCGAAAGATGTTTGTCTGATATTTGTTGGCGCTCTCTTCTATGTTCTTCCATCTTTGAGCACCGCCATAAACCCTGTCATCCTTCTCCTGCTTAGTTCAAACTACCGTAGGGCACTGAACGACTTAATTCTTTGCAAAGTCTTGAAAGGCCGTCTGTCATATTTGTCAAGAAGGAGGACGCGCTCATCGAAGAACAATACCATTTTCTATGAATCGAGACTGTAGAACTACGATGTTAAGAAAATCCAAAATCAGAAAAGAAAGGGAGTAACACATAGAGACAGACTCTTGACAAATCCTCGTGTTTGTGGCTTCGGTCTGAGTACTATAAAATTTGTATTTAATTAATTTACGTGTTCTTATGCAAATACACATATGGTCAAATATATATCCAAATTGCTCTCCGTCATTGCTATATTCGCCATTTTTTTACCAGTCTGAAGTAATTCAAATCCCAAATCCCAGTTCTTAATGTAATAGGAAAAAAGATGGTTTTAGCTCTCGTAAGCCACCAATATCGGGAACTCAAAAAAGTGATATTAACTATAGCAGATAGCTTACGATAGCGCTCTTAGACATAAGCCCCACGCTATGAACGATAGAGTGTGATCTGTTACGAGAGCTTTACTCTGAATAGCTTAAAACTTGCGAACTATAACTAGCTATTAATAATCCAATATTTTTGCCTGTTTCAGGTTCACAAACGTGCAGTAAGCTCAGTAATCCACAGGGATCGAAAAATACCCAGAATCACGTAACAGACAACTACTGTGTTTCATAAATGAAAACAACTTCCTAATCAGTTTAAACAACACGAAACTCGTCACATTTTTTGGACGGTTTTCAATACCTGTTAGTTTTTTCCTCACTTATTCGTTGTCATGATTCTTGTTTGTTTAGTGTTACCTACTTCCATTGTCTCCTTCCTTCTCTTGTTTCTCGTTACCTCGTTTTTCGTTTGAAATCTTCCTGGCGAAGCAAGAAGTTCTACCTAACCCCCCTCGTTTCATTTAATGTTACGATTCCCGTGGCACAAGAAAAAAAAACATCGGCCATCAAATAATAGTATATGAATTTCAGGTATAAAAATGGTGGATAGCAAACAACTATTTCACATGTAAAGACTTCCTGTTAGACTCAGTTCTAGGAACGATAGTGAAAACCAGATGTCCTTTAAAAGCATTTTCGCCTGCAATTTTAGCTCTAATGACGATATGCGAAGTTGTGCGTGATCAAAATATGATGTTGTCGTATGAGTAAGCATGGAAAATGTTAATGGCCAATTAAGAAAATTAAAATTGACATACAGTAAAATTGCGCTTGCTACTGTTGTTGGTTCAGCTTTTGGAAGAGCAGAGGCAATTTTCTTTTCATTTTTTTACATTCAATTTCTTAATACGCGTTTGTTCAAAGCTTTGAAAACTCTCTTAAGGTGACAGGTATGGTGAGTTTACTTTCGACCCCTTTTAATTTCCTTTTATTCAGTTCAAATGACCTATTATTTGTTAAAGAATGAAAACCTTTTCCTATTATTCTCACAACTAAAGCGAAAAGCGAAAGCAATCGTAAAGCAATTATGAAAAGAGACTCCTCACAACTAGAAAAAAAACCAATCAGTTAAATAAATGTATTCCCTTGATGATTGATAGCTGAGAAGAAAGTAAGGAAATATACTAATTTTTATGACACTGTTAAAAAAGGAAAATGTTATATGATAATAGAAAGACAAATATCGCTGGTGTAAGATATAAATACATCGGGGAAACGTGATTTACAAAAGGATGTTGAGTCACTTCGCGTCGAAATCTCCCGGCTAAGATAACAGACGACTGTGATGAGGTGGGTGCCTTTAGTTTTGTATTATCTTTAGAGGATATGTCATGAAAACGAGGGTTAAAATTAATAAGAAGCGTTATTTAGTTGCTAAATGAACTACGAAAAAGGGCGACATCGTTATTTTAGACTTTGGTTCATCTAAAGTTGGTTGTATACTTGATCGTACTGCTTCTTGATTCACGTAACGCAATCGGTTTTCAGTAGGTGACCTCTGAAACTTGGCTATTTGTAAGATCGGACAGTCTTGACTTTAGTTAGTTCGATCGTCACCTCAACAGTCATTCGGTTGCACTTTGTTTGAGAAGATTGTCGCACTTTGTAACTCTTAACTTACTTGGTGTAAGTTTGAAGTGTGACATCTTTTTTCTCCTTAATGATACAATGGCATAGAAAAACGGTAGATGTTAGCTGGCGAGGTTCTGTCGCACTTTGAAATGATCGTTTACCGAGCTCAAAACTTGCCATCTCTCTTATTCTATCTAAAGACTTGTTGTTTCTTCCTTTTGTAATTCATTCATTTGTACGTTTTCTTTGTTGTTCCCACAGTTTAGCATCGTCACAATTCTTTGCGAAACGTGTAGCAATGAATATTTCCAGTTTTTCAACGCCTACTTCGAGTCACCCCAGTCCAAGCCAGCCCTGTTCTAACGTGGTGTCCACGCTATTTACAGTTATTATATCCATGGTCACCTTCGTGGCTCTGATTGGCAACGTTCTCATCATTGCAAGTTTTTTCAAAACTCCCAACCTGAGGACGAGGACTAATTATTACATAATCAACATGGCCATGTCTGACCTCATTTGTACATGTTTCAGCTGGCCACTTTATGCAGTTGAAGGAATGCTGACAAGAGCTGAGTTCTTCAACCAACACTCTGCCTTAATACTCTGTAAACTGGGAATTTGCTTCAGGGTAATTTCACAAATAGTGTCCGTGTTATGCTTGGTTCTAACATCCGTCGACAGATATGCGGCTATCGTTCACCCAGTAAAGATAACGGTAATGAGTAATGGCAAATTTCGAGTTATTTTACTGTTGTTTTCTTGGATCATTCCTGTTTGCTTTGCTTACCCATATTACACGTTCGCTGAAATTGTGAAGGTAAATAACCAAACATTCTGTAGAGTAGTTTGGAGTACATCAGCACACACAATTTTTAATGCTGTTGGATTTGTTATATTTTATTACATGCCTCTTGCTGGTATAACCATTCTCTATACTCGCATCACAAAGACACTTAAAAATCGTCCAAATATAGGAAACTCAGTCCAAGAAAAGCATATCAGAAGAAGACGAGATCAACATCGGAAATTAATGAAAATCTTAACATCAATTGTTGCCGGCTTCTTTACTTGTTGGACACCACTTTGCATTTATTTGGCATTAAAAATGTTTCATTCAGGGTTGTTTCTTCAAGATAAATGCTTCTTGCTCCTAGGTTTGTTTTTCTACGTCTTTCCGTCATTCAGCACAGCAATCAATCCTATTATCCTTTTCCAGTTTAGTTCAAAATTTCGACAGGCGATGAAAAGCTTTCGTATTCCTTTTCTTGATTTCAATAAATGTCGCCGGTTTCTGTGCATACCCAAGAATAGGGTTGGATCAGTTGAAATAGATCATGTTGGTATGGCAGAGTTAAGCTAGATGTCTCTCATATTTGACGGATTTGGAAAAACACTGATAATAAATAACTGGTCATAGCAGAAAAAGCCACGAGATTGCAACAATTCAGCAACAAAAAGCTGTAGTTCAAAAAAAAGAATGGAAACTTCTCAATCTTACAAAGATTGCAAAACATTGCGCAATGAAATAAAATGTATAAAAAGTAGACTTCAATTTGGCGTGTTATTATTGTTAATTACAACCATGATACAGTGAATAATGATCAGTCTTAAAGTTAATAACTTAGTTTTCCAGTATCAGCCGGGAAATCTCACGAAATAAGAAGTGGTCGGCCTGAATCCGATAATGCTTGTAAAACATTTAATGTCAAAATCATGTCTCTTTATGTTAGGGATATACTTTTGTATTTAGAATTGTTAAGATGTCAAATAAATAAAATGAATTACGTTTACGTATTCCATCTCAATTCTAACTTAATCACTCCTGCCTAAAAGGAAAAGGTACTGGGTAGAACGTAAACAGGAAACCCGTTTTCAAAAAAGTATTTTTGCATAGACATTTGCAAAACCTCTTTCCCATCAGGCAACAATATCCTAATCACATTTTATAACAGATGTCAAATGAAGTGATCAATAAGTTTGGTCAGAGATAACGAGGTAATGACATGTATTCTTGTGTTCTCTTGAGGAAAGAAATCGTAAGAAAAGAACCACAGAAAATGAAAAGTAGCATCTTTCATTGTCTCAACATCAAGGTGCCTCTGAACCTTCTATATATACGCCCGCAGTGGTAAAACGTTTTGAAGGAAAAATGAATCTTAAATGAATGAATGAATGAATAGCCTGAAGGTCACACTTCACTGATGAAAGTGAAGCAAGCGCAATGAAGGGCAGTTGGCAAATACAGTCAAAATCAAGTATTTTTTCCAAGCTTATGATGTGATACCTGTGAGCTCAGTACAGCTGAGAGCGTTTAGTTGTTGTGACTTAGACGTGACTGAGTAACCTAACCAAAATGTTTCCTTTCCACAGAGCAGCCGTTAATGCTCACTTGATGTCATTTTTTCTCCCACAACACTGTAACATGTACAACTTAGGGCAGTTATCTTATTTATTTCCACTTTTTTCTGATCCAAATGAGTTAAGATTCGTTTGCGAAAAACAAAGTCCTTCAAATATATACCTAATGTAATATAAAGTAAAAGTAAATTTTACTTTGTAGCATGAGGATATTAGACCTGTTATGGTTTTAAATGACAGAGCTAAAAATTATTCATAATGCGGACTCCCTGTCAATTTGTTTGTTCTTAATCGTGCACACATTCATACATCCAATAACATGACGAGAATTGGCTGACAATTTTATTTATATTTCGAACCATATACAGAGGTGTCAATATTCTCGTTCTTTTGCGCCTCAAGTTTTGCGGATTGATATCAATACATCATTCAGTTAAGCTGTAAGTAAGCGGTAAGTCACAATTTGTACGAACTTGACATGAGAGAGCATCAATTTGGGAGATATTTTTTCTTTGAATCAGAGATTTCTTCTCGACATTGCCTTTTTCCTATATATTTAATTTATATATCAGTTAACAACTCTGTTTTCCTTTTCTGAATTCAATTAAATGCCAATTTTTGGTTACTCATAAGTTTCATGTTTGTCCTTGTTGACACACCATAGTGAAATATCGATTCTTAGAAAATTGTCCGCTGAAAATATGAGCAGGTGCATTAGGTGTAGGACTGAAAATTTAGTATTTCCTCTCAGCCTAAAAAAAAGTTCCAGCTTAAAAAGAGTTTCAGTTAAATAACATTTCATTTTTTATCTTTTTGTACAAAGGCAGTCCTACAGGAAAAATGAAAACATGGATAAAGCCATTCTTTAGGGTGTTAGAGACGCAAACGTGACTTAAGAATCTAACGTAATTAATGCAATAACTGTTTGTTAGGGTTCTTTTGATCACGAAATATCTCAGTGTTATAACTGAGGTAAGATTTCTTTACATTTTCTGTAGCCTTATCCCGTGTGTAAAATCAATACGTAACAGGATGTTGATCCTTGGAATGTTATCATTTTTAAGCGAATAGAAAAAAAATCGAAGAACTTATTATCTCCATTATGTTTGCGACAAATTTAATTTGCAAAGGTGAGAACGCGAACGTGACCTGACAATCTAACCCTAATTAATGCAATATTGCTACTGTGCCAACTGTTCGTTAGGGTTCTTTTGTTCACGAAATATCTCGGCGTTATAACTGAGGTAAGATTTCTTCACACCTTTTGTAGCCTTATCCCGTGTGTAAAATCAATACGTAACAGAAGTTGATCCTTGGAATGTTATCATTTTTAAGCGAATAGAAAAAAAAAATCGAAGAACTTATTATCTCCATTATGTTTGCGACAAATTTAATTTGCGTTAAAATATTGCACTCGTTCAATGCCGGGTTCATGTAGCCTGAACGTTTTGGAGTTTTAATTGCAGTTGAAGCCAAAATTATATCTAAAAATAACATCAATATTTCTTTCACGTTTCTTACAGTTTGCTATGGTTCAATGGCCCAAAACTATTTGACAATGTCGATTTGCTCGTTATCTCGCAATGGGCATTAAAACTCATTCGCAAGTTTGTCGCAGTTCCCGTTCAAATATAATGCGCAATTTACTGTGGATATTTGCCATAAATAATCCCCAAACATTACATGCGGATATGGTGACCAGAATTAACGAACATTTATTTCGGCCTTTATTATTTTGTCCATTTCTGAAGTCCGTGAAGTAAGTTTTCAAGAATCGTTTGCCGCGATGTAGTTTGCGAAGCAGAAAGTTAGCCGTTCTGCTCCACGGTGGATGTCCTTCGTGATATCCTAGAAATTTCCCGTATGCAAAAACTGCGGAAAGAACTGGAAACACCACCATTCTTGATTCCTTTTAGAAGGAATCAAGGTTACCTTCCGCAGGTTAATCATTTTGTTGAAAACCTCCTCAAACAGAAATATATTTTCTTGCAGGTGTAGGCATGGACTACTATTTTATTATTCATGTAATGCTTAATATTGGGTTAAAAATCCCAATTTTATCTCCTGAACTTTTGATTTATGACATTTACAAATAACAACGAGAGAACGTTTTTCTTCAAGCAGCTTATTGATATCTCGGTTATATTTAAGCTTATGAATGCTTCTTAACTTTTCACTCAAGTGGGAATTGTGAAACCATCCAGCAGAGCGGTTTGCAACAAACAAACAAAACATTTTCCTGAAGACTGAGCTTATCATGATAAACAACTACAGCCATACGATGATGAATTTCAGTGATAGTGATTCACCATGCCCTGACGCTATTTCTATATTTTTCACAACATCTACGGCCTTCCTAAGCATGGTTGCTGTACTTGGAAATATTCTGGTGATCGTTGCAGTGTACAAAACTCGTAGCCTTAGAACTAGTACTAATTACTACTACGTCAACATGGCCATTTCTGATTTCCTCTCAAGCCTCACCATTTGGCCGCTTTATCTTTCAAACGAGATCATAACGAGCAGAGGAAGTCTGCTTAAAGGGTCTCTGGCCACTGCTGGTTGCAAAGTGGGAGTATTTTTCAGAATGACGTCAGTTATTGTGTCAATACTGAGCCTGGTGTTGATCGCTGTTGATAGATTCATCGCTACCGTGTTCCCATTAAAATCAACGTTGGTCACTGGGAAAGTCAGAACATTTCTGCTGTTTGCGACATGGACGATATCAATGGCATACTGCTTCCCGATGCTGTATTATTCCAGAGCCGAAGACTTTGGTCAAGAAACTTATTGCAAATTTGCATGGAATAGCAGTGCTCTCATGATATATTACATTACTGGTTTGGCGTTGTTTGAGATCGCACCAATTATTGCCATTGTCATTCTTTACTCGCGGGTTATGAGTGTTTTGCAAAAAAGGATTAAACCAGGAACTGGTGCGAGAGACAACAGTTCTTATCAAAATCGGAGAAATGAGCAAAACCGAAACATTTTGAAGATATTCAAATCAATTGTTGTTATGTTTTTTATTTCTTTTTCTTTCTTTTTCGTTTATTTGATTCTTAAGATGACATTTCCTGAACTTTTCGTCAAAGACAAATGCAAGTGGATTCTTGGGTTCGCTTATTTTTTGTTTCCGTCGCTTAGTTCGGTAATTAATCCAATTATTTTGTTTGCATTCAGCACGAATTTCCGTCAAGCCCTGCGTAAATTGTGGATGTTTTCTCTCCGGAGATTCTTCTTCTGTGGCAGAAAAGAGAAAAGTGAACGAGTTGAAGCTGGTGCCCTTCCAGCAGAAGAAACTGGATTTAAGTCAATGGCGCACTGAATATATATGAACGAGGGATTTAATTACAGCGATACAAGTTTGCAGATTTGTTTAAAACATTTATGTCATGAAATTACTTTTGATTTCCTACGGAGATTTTTAAAAATTAAGTTGAGTAATATTCTTAAGATACCTTGGTCCGCGTTTTATCACTTAATTTTAGCACAGCTTCTTGAATAAAGATGTCTATTATTTTTCCTTCAGACAGAGTCTTGAAAAAGATCACGTTTGCTTTCAAGTAACGTACTATGTCCAGGACTTATCATACATGGAATATCTCACACACACTTCCAAATTATGTAATGATATTTTGCCTTTGTTCAAATTACGCTTTTGGCTCACACTTCTAAATCACACAATATTTGAGAGCACTTTTTGGTTTTATAAAACTAAAACCAAAGTACTCACGACGGCCAATCAAAGGGAAAGAAAATAACCCTAAGAGCCAATGAGAACTCAAAGTAAAAACTACCAAACTGCCTGCAACGGGGAGAACGTGGGCGATCAATTCATGATTGGTTTTAGTTTTGTATCTGATTAGTTGAGAAGGTGGTGCAAGTTTTCTGGACCAATCACAGAGTGAAGAAAAGCAAAACCAACACAATCTCGGATTACTTACGACACTCAATTGAACATTGTTCCTTGCTTCTAGCGTACACCTCCAAATCATACAGACTTAAATTGTACTTTGACACACCCTCCAAGTTGCATTAGAACTCTTCCTTGTGGAACACACTCGAAATTACATTAAGGTTCCCTTATGCTTTAGGCAAACACTCCCAACTCATATCGCTCTTAAGAGACACTTCTACATCACACAAGATATTACATTAGAGTACACACTTTAGAATCACACAAGAGATTTTGCTCCTAACAGACTGTTTCACACAATCACACAAGAGTCTGTTGTTTGAACGGCGGAGTTTGACCGAAAATTCTCTCTGATTGAGAATTTTCAATGAATAATCATGGAGTTTCCTAAAGTTCATCATGAACCATGGCCACCTTGAGGTCATTGGCTATGTTAACAAAACCACCAATGCATTCACTCATTTTCATTTTCAGCCTTTTGTCTTTCTTGACGTCAGTCATGTGAAGTACACAAATGGTGAGGTCATCGTAGAATCGGAAATAAAGCGATTTTGTCGTCAAGTCTTTGACAACAGACCAAACAGTGTAATCAAAGGACGTTCCGCGGGGTATATCGACGGTATTCAAGATGTGAAAAGCTTTGATAACTGCGTCTTTGCCTGTCTGGACTTGATCGGAAAAATGAGCCATGACAGCCGCGCGTACAAATCTTGATGGCGGTGTGAAGTCACCGGGTATTCCTAGGAGTCCACTTCCTTGGCCAGTAGCTTCGAACGTCATTTTCTCAACACCAGAGAATCATGGGCCGATTTGGAAAGTTCAACATAATTGCGGACGTTCATTAGATGGAAATCATAGGGCGGAGAGTTAGTTAAGATGCCGAGAGTGTTGTCGAATACCATTCTCCCCTGTTCAGTAAACTCAATAACGATAGCATCCCCACTGAGAAGCGTCCACGATGGAATAGTGAAGCTGAAGGATTTTCTTAACCACTTCAGGAAGGTTAAACTCAAACACCAGAGGGAAAGCGTCCTTCTTCAAAGCATCCCTTAATTCCTGAACTGTCCCAAAGTTTCCAAGAATCCACAATGGAAGCTGCAAAGAAGACACCACTATGTGGCATTTTTCGACCGGTATTTTCTGGAAATGGGCGAAGCCAACGAAGAGGTTTGCAGCAACAGAAAGACCAGCTTCATTTAAACCATCGGTAGCTACGGGCAAGTCCAAAGCGTTGACGTATGCAATGCTATATTTATTTTTCCACTGTAAAAGCGACTGGAAATGAACAATGCATTCTTTCTTGGGAAACGCTGTATGAGGATACTGCTCAGGTTCTACAACTAGATCATACCCTACATCGAAGAACTCCATACTCCGACCGACAACCACCGAGTTATCTTCGGAAGTCAAGCTGAATTCGGTACAGCGTTTGTAACGAAAAGCCTTAGCAGCAGCACGAGGACCATGGAAAGAACCTTCATCATCACAGCTCGCAAGAGGAGATCTAAACCAACAATTAAACCACATATAATGTAGTTCTATATAAATTTTTATAGGAAATTGCTGTCAGGTTTTGTGAAGAGGAATTTTAACACTTAAACGCTACTTTTTACAAGGATGTGTTTTTTAACTTTTGAATATAGACTTTACAGTAAAACTTTCCATTACTAATGATAGGGTGAAATGTTTTCACATACACTGTATCCAATCAATTATATTTACGTCTCCTCTCGGCTTAATTACCAATTGGCTTGTTCGTGTTGTTTCTTCATTTGTTTCTAATTGTTTAACCTCCTTGGATGTTTTCACTGCCGTTTGAAGATTAAACGACTTAAGTAGATTAAGTAGATACCTACCTCGTTTCCTTTCTTTTCAAGACTTTTAAAATAGAAATTTAAGTATTCTTCTGATGACGACAACCAAAGTAACGAGAAACTGTTTCATAAACAGGAAGTTTTAAGGCCCTGAGTTGTGATTTATTAGATGACGTCAGATCGACGTACTTCAGGTAAAAAGTTTGGCAGGGCTTAGCCGCAATGAATTATCATATGGAAAATCAAGTTGGTTTTGTCTATTAAAGTTTACTCTCTCAAGTTTGAGGCGCTTCGAAATTTTCAAAAGTAATTACTCAAGGCTTTTGTTTGAATCTCTTACATTTCTTCCACTAGGTAGAGAGACCCGGCTTTTGGGAACTTAGTATTCCGTCTTAAAACTTTGCGAAGCCAGTTCAATGCAAAAACTGGTCTCACTTCATTGAACCTCCATGGCTCTTGTACTGGAAATGCATTAACTTATACCAAGGATGCGGATCATAGAAGACACTGAGTCATCGGAACTGACAAATAAATCCTTCAGGTTAATAAACATGTTGAATTGCTTAGTTTCTCTGGCTTTTCGTCCACTTTTTAAATTGATTTCAATCAGTGTTATGGACATTCTTCAGTAGAACTGCTGTTAAAACTAATGCGGTCTATATTTGCATACTCTTGTTTTTCCCGTTCAAGCAAATCAGTCTTTACAGTAATAAAATTGTTCCAAACATTACACAGGAAGTTAATTCTCAACATCCCTCAAGTGATCCTTGGTAAGGGACCTTTTTCACCTAAACGATGACAGAGTATTAATTTCTTTCTTCTACCCCACCGTTGAGCTACGTTTTCACGGGCATGCGGTCCATTGTAAGAGAGACTTGCTCGCGAGACATCTTCTCTCTATAACAAAGGCATTGGTCTTTTCAAAGAACACGACGTGGCGAGTGAAAACTAGACTACTAACACCTACAGAAGACCAGTGGTGAATACTTTGTTAGAAGAAATATAACTTTGAGTCCTGCGAGTTTTGGAGAAATATTACACTACGATGTGTCGATTTTGCGCCTTGAACTGATTTTGCAATTTGAATGGCGTCAAAGAAATCTCTAGAACTTCCGTTTTATATTTCAACGCACTCAAACTTGCGTAATGCTCTCTGCGTATGATCATGCAGTCCAACATTGTGCCTATTATCAAAGTCACAGAAATTAATAACACCCTATTACTCTGTCACATTGGCTAGGTCTTTAAACTTATCAGTGTGTCTGATTTCCGCTACTCTACGTTCCTTTCTCTACTAGATTGAACCAACCTCAGCACTACAACGCTAAATTAATGTCGGTAAAATGATATTCATGTCGATGAACCAAGTCATTCCAGTTTGATTTAAACCCTATACTCGTGTAAATACTTTCTTTAGTCCAGTGAATTTGCATATACAGCTGATATAACCATGTCACAGTATTTGATAGTATTTGATAATATTCCCCTTTAAGCCAGGGGTCGTGACGCTATTACGCTGCGCACAATAAACTCACAAAATATCAAGAATCACTTTTTTTAAACAGTTAACTCTTAGTTGTTTTTGTTTAACCTTTATGACGACAGTCGAAGGATCGCAGGTGTGGTGTCGATATTCTTTGTGTTTAGGCCTCCGTTCAGACCAAGAAATGGATAATTCTAGTCGCTATGTTCTCGAGAATCAGTCCACTTGTTCTCCCATCGTTTCTGCTTTGATCACAACAGCTATTTCTGTTGTTAGCATTTTTGCGTTGGTCGGCAATATTTTGGTGACTGCAGTTTTTCTTACCAACAAAACCCTTAGGACAAGTACAAATTATTTCATTGTTAACATGGCCGTTGGGGATCTATTGTCCGCTGTGAGCACATGGCCGCTGTACGCCACTGAGGGGATGCTGTCAGGGAAACATTTGATCGATGATCCAGTAGCCACAGCTGTTTGTAAAATAAGTCTGTATTTCAGAGGCGTGTCACAGGTTATTTCAGTTTTCAGCTTAGTCGGTATAGTCGTGGAGAGGTTCGTTGCTGTAGTTCATCCACTTAAGGCTAAAGTTCTGATGGAAAAGACTCGACCCCGAGCTGTTTCATTGGCACTGACTTGGATCATCCCGTTACTACTGGCTGTACCATACCTCAGATTCTTACGGATCGTTAGGCTTAATGAGAATCAACCACTCTGCTCGCTTTCGTGGGAAGCGGAGAACCGCTATGTATTCTATGCTATTGGATTTGTTATGTTCTACTGTACCCCCCTGGTTTTGATCATCATTCTTTATACCAAGATCATAAAAAGTTTGAGGCGATCAAGACGTGTCACTGATGAGCAGGACCAAGCGCTGAATAAGATAAGAACAAGAAATCGCAAACAAAACCAGAATATTATGAAGGTCTTTGCATCAATTGTCGTGGTCTTTTTCGTCTGCTGGACTTCAATTGTTGTATATCTAATATTACTTGAAGCAGTTTACCCATCGCAAGACAGAGACTCTTGTTTGCTTGTACTAGGTTTGTTATTTTACATATTGCCATCTTTACCAGCAGCAATCAACCCCATAATACTTTTCGTGTCGAGCACAAATTTCCTTACTGCTCTGAAAGATATGTTCAATCGTTTTTCGTGCATAAAGTTGTAGACGAGAGGCTCTCATTGAACTTAATTTCATGTTGAACAAGGAGTGAGGATTATACTTTTCAAATCAAATCAAATTTGAACGAAAGCTTCTAAATAAAATAGACAGGACATTAAAATTACATTAATACAAAAATTCTCTCGGCCATAAGCAGGAGAGTGAGTTTTCTTTGCCTTAATAAAGGCGGACTGAAATACTTCACGCAATATCCACAAATATTTCCCGCCCACAAAGCATTTCGCGTGTTTGTACAAAGATACGAAAAAAAAAATAAAAAGCTTTGTCCGAGTTTGGCTTTCTGCATTTTACAATTTATTAAAGGTCATCTCATCTCTAGAATCATCACCAGAACGTGCGATTTTGTTTGCCATTTGTACATATAGAAATGAGCTTGAAATGAAGCCTTTGATGTGAAAATGTAAAAGAAAAATCGATGGGGTTAACTTGATTACTTCAACAAAAGTTATCGATGTTTGAAGCACGGTTATCTCTGTCATTATTTAATGAGTTGTAACGGCTGAGAGGTTGTAGTTTTTCAGTTCAATATTTCAAATGACATAATATAAACCGAAGATCATGTTTAAGCCTCGAACTCCGCTACTTTTGCGCTTCACACGAAAGATGAAAAAGTGTCAGTTTGCCATAACGCCATTAGCAGACATATCTCGATCATATCAAATCGGTGGCCAGAAGATAAGTTCAATGTACGTAAATACCAAATATTTCCGGGAAGTTGCAACACAGGTATTAACAACAACACGTCAGTTTAGGAACTGAGTCACGTTATCTCGTACGTGCCGGCTCTTTCGCTAAGAAGCTATTTTATTATTAAAATAATTGTTCTTCAGGAAAATTGGACAAAGCTGGAATGTAATCCTAAACGCCTGGAATTAGGATACCCGTTCAGATGGTAATTTTTTGTCATGGCTATATGACAACTTGTGTAGGATGCTGTGAAGAGGAAATTTTAGCCCATCATTAATACTGAGAAGCGGAAATTCTTGGTTTATTTCTTGTGTGCATATCTGCAAATTCAAATAAAATTTTAACATATATATATATTTAATATGTATTTTCAAATTTACAACATTCTTGAAAACGGGTGTATAAAATTTTTGTCTTGACAATTGTTACTTCTGTTTGATCAACTTCAAAACAGCCCACCTGCCATGTAAGCAGAAAAAACAAGTACGGCAATGAATCAGCAATTTCTTGGTTGTCACGACCGACCCAAATGAGTTAAAAACTACGCTTTAAGCTAGAGATTTCAAACGCATGATAGTTGACGAAGGTGAAGCTTGAAAAAAGTATCACGCACAGAAATCGAGAGCGAATAATCGAATTTCTCCTGAATAATTCTTCTAGGTGTTGAAAATCTAACATGACAATATCATGTTTTTATTTTATTTTGTTGACAACCACACAATGTTAGGTAACTTACTTTATTCAAATATTTAACTCGAAATAGCTGGCAAATAGCCAATCAGATCGCAGCATTTGTGGCAGAAAGCGGAGTAGAGCACAGGAACACGACATGCAATGTTCAAAAATACTCACGAACATTCTACTTTGGTACAAAAGAAGGGTTTTAAGTTATACCTTTTACTAAGGTTTAGCTATGTGACTTTAACTTTTGGGGCTTTCGTTTTCAAGTGAATTATTGGCGGATAAGTCACGTTTCTAGAGTGGGCGTGAATATTGCTATTCGTACAGATGTCTTGAGCGTCGAGATATTCTTTAAGCTTAAGTCCATATGTCCCTACAAAAATAAAATTATAACGATAAACAGGCCGAAGATGGTTTAACTTGAATAATTTACCCATTTATAACAAAAGATTAGGATGTTTGGGGAGTATTTTTCTAAAATGTATCTTAAAAAAAAACATCAGCCCTGCATAAACACATTTCATGACATGGATATTTCAAGTAAGAGCGTTTTTTAGATAAAATCATGTCAGTGTTGAACTCCAAACACTGCTGGCAGGCGAAAACAGTGAAATATGAAAATTCAGGCAAGGTATATTATTGGAACGTTATATTTCATTTAGATCAGTATTCCGTGAATTTTATTCAACAGAAGTCTATATTCAGATGTTGTTAATTTGGTTTACAATGTTCAGTTTGATGGTACGTGAATATAAATCATCTCCTCAAGTTTTATCAGCTGTCAAACAGGAAACTATTTGTTGTTTTTTCTAGACGAACTTTGCCTTTTTTCTCGCGTATTTTGATTTTACTAAATTTTGATGGAAAGGTCGCAAACAACTGTCCTTTGAGAAATTTGAGCAAACCTGGATATCAAAGAAACATCTTAAAGCACTCTTTATTTTCCGCATGGAGTTTTATCACAACTGTCAACAACAATGTGTCTTTCACTTTCAACCCATTCCTACTCCTTTTGAAGTCCCAAATTTTCAGCCATATTTTTAAACAGAACTACTTTTCTAGAAAATGGAGCTAAAATTGAGGGTTATTTTTAACCCCTGGTCAGTGCCGATGTGAAGTTTTGGTTACATGTTTAGATTATGTATTTTTTGTCATGGCAATAGCAGTTTAATTGCGTCATCTCTGGAGTCATGAGAATGACTGCGACGGCTTTGATCATGCAAACGTAATCAATCAGTTTTTCATGATTGCCGTGAGTGAGAATAAGTTTGACTCCCTTGTTAAAAAGATGCTGTTAAAACGCTGGTTAGCCTCAAGTAACGTTGCGCCAAGGTCTTTGTTTAATGCCTCATGGTATGAATTTCTTCAACCCTACTGGGTCTCCTGGCTGTCTTAGAATAATCATCATTCTCTTAAAAATGGCGTCATATGACACTGATACGTCGAGTTTTTGATATAAGTTTAGTATTTTGATACTAAAGAATTTTAAAAAACTTAACATTACATGGTTAAGTTGGACTTACAACTTGGCAACGCCCAATTGCTGTTATTTTAACTGTTTTATTCGATCCGTGAACAACTTGCTAAATCGCTTCCACTAGAGCGACGATAATCAGAGAACTAATCAACAATATTGGGGCATAGTGTATAATACCTTGTGAGTCGGCCTTCAATAGTGGGCTGGGCGCGCGTTTCTCCGCCCGACCAGTCGGGGAGAGGTTCGCTGAGGGTCTGGCACTAATAATCATTATCAGCGCTAGACCCCTTGCAGACCTCTCGCCTGCTCGCGTTGCTCCAGGCCTCTCCCTGTCCCGCGGGCAAAAAAACGCTCGTGCCGAAGAATTAAGCTAGCTAAGTAGTTGATCCCTTGAACTTAGAGCAAACTTAGGACTTTGTCCACCAGAATTTTAGAGCTAATCCATACTAGATATTAAAAATCACTACAACTCCAAGAAACTGAATTTTGGACTAAACGAGCTGAGAAGACGGCTACTGTCACTTGGTCATTTTAGTTGTGGCTAACCGTGATCTCAACAGATTTCATGCTCGTCTTTTCAAATACCCTTAGCACACACTGGTAGACTCCACTGTCCTCCATTTGAGCGTTCGTAATCCTGAGGATAGCTTGCACTCGGTTGGTGGACCAATACCAACCATTCTGTCCTGGATTGACGCGTTACCATTACTGACATCTCCTTTCTTCCTCTGAAGCTGAATCTCTGACACTCCTTCTGATTCGCATGTGACAATTGTACTTCCACCTTTCGGCACTATGATCGGATTGGCTGGTTTCAATTCAAAGTAGTCGGGGATTCGAGCTGCAAATTTAAATATGAGTTTAATACAACGCGGCTAACAAAAGTTGTTCTTAGTGAACGAGAGTAGTGGCCTGTTACTGCCAGAGTTTATTCAGATTTTTGCAGATGATTCACCTTTAGTCCATTGTAGGAAACAAACTTGCATTGCACTTAAAGCGAATTTAAAAGTAAAGTGCGTCATTATAACTCTGATTGAGACACGGCATCCTAGAGAGGCAGCTTTACTGATATGATGGGTTTTTATTCTTATAATACTTTACTAATTATTAATTAAAACGAAATAGTGGTGCCGAAAATAACTCTCTTAAATTTAAAAAAAAATCAAAATTTGTAAACAAATCTGTACCGCTGAACAAAAACAAGTGCAAAGATTCTACAAATTCTCTTTACCTTGGCTCACGATTAAGTAACCTCTTGTAGATGGCCAGCGTATGCTCTCATTCTCCTCAGTTTTGGCCTCACAAGCGTATGTTCCCTGAACTTTTAGACTTAAATTTAGAAGTGTAAATACTTGACCCTTTAAAAAAACCTTCTTTGCGTCGATTTTTCGCTCCCTGAAAGGTGCCAGGGGACGGTGTCTGTGATAGAGTGATACTGTAGCATTTCGGTCGTTAGTGGAACAGTTTAATGTCAAACTATGGGCCTGGTATCCGTGCAAAATCACGTCTGGTTTAACGAGGAAAGATAATGGTTCTGCGAAAAAGTTGACAATAAACAAAAATTGATTTGTAAGTGGTATGCAACTGAAAAGCTTTTTGGACAAAAGTAAGCTCGTAAACCGTTACCTTCCTTGAGGTGGCCATGAGAAAAGATTGCTTATTGGCCTTCCTCATAGGCAGTTATGATAAAACGAACTCAATCGTGTATGCACCATGCAAGCAACCAAAACGATATGACTTGCTGAAGATCTGAAGCCTGTAGAGCAAAAGGGACTGGCTCAAACATCTGTTTAATATTTCGATGGTGGTTTGGGACTCGACTATAAAATGCTTGCCTTCATCAGTGATCGAAGAGATCTCCACATTTACATTTTCCGTGATTACAGCATAAGTTTTACTTGAATTACCTCTAACATACAATGAAATCATCTTGTGATCTGTCTTGTCAAAGACCCTTAACACGCATTTGCCTGAACATTTGAAATCTTAAGGAAGGCTCTAACTTTATTTGTGGATCTGTCCTTATCAACAGTGACAAGGTTACTTGGGACAGAAACTTAGACAGAAATTTATATGGTATAAATTGCATTTGCATCAACATTGTCAAACCAAAAAAAATGCGTAATGAAAAAATAAACGTGTGCACATAAAACAAACATGATTTTTGCCAACCTTCCAGATCATTGAGTCAAAGACCTGGGTGTCAGGTAACACAATTTTGAGTACGAATACAAAAGTTAAATACTGCTTTCAGTTTATACATACCTAGGACGTTCAGATCAATGATTAATTTTGCAGGTTGGGCGTGACCGTTTGTTGCAATACATTCAAATTCTCCTTGATCTCTCGAGTATAATGCACTTCGTATTTTAAGAACTTTTATAGTCCTAGCGCTCTTTCCTCCAAACTTGTGTTCTTTAATTTCTTCATAAACTTCATACGGAATTCCCTGGCATCTGACGTCATTTAACTCGGAACACTTCATTGTGGGCAACTTCTTGCCATTTCTGTACCAGTCTACGTCAGGTTTGTGGATTGCTGTTGCTATGCATTTGATGACTTTTATCGAGCCTTCTCTTACGGTTTTTTCTTTGACAATAGGTTTCAGTTCATCTGTTGAAATGTTAGAGCAATTATTTATTGCACTTACTGCTAATAATCATTACACGAATTTGTTTTCATGCGAGTTATTTTTCATTGGTCCAAAACAGAAACGACCACAATTAAATACATATAGCAATGTTTTGACAACCCTTTTTTTAAATTCCACTTCTAAATAGCTTTTCATCGATCTCTATGTTCCCTTAGGGTATTTAAATGTGGTTTTATTGAAAAGGAATATAGATCTTTAAAAACGAATTTTGCAACACACTCTCCATGACAACTTAGAGGTGTCCCCGTTTTTCTTTTTCTAATCTCACGCTGCTTGCCGCGGTTGGCAAACTTGTGAGAAAGATCATCAGAGAAATTTACATTTCAAACCTCGGTGCTGGACATCTGGTGCTGTTGTTATAACCGGAGGAGCTGTAACGTCTGGTTCTGGTTCCGTTGTAAAGGCTGAGGTTGCCTCTGGGAAAACAGTGATTTCTCGAGTTGGGGTGTGCGGAAGTTCCGTAGCGTCCGATGTTGTTATGACTTCTCGTATTGCTGTGGTGAATTGGTTTGCCACAGTCACAATCTCAGTATTTGTGGCTTCTACTGTTGATGCAGTATCTTTCGCGGCTGTAGAATACTCTATCAGTACTCAGGGAGGGGTGGGAGGCAAACTGTTGATACTGAGGGAGGGCAGGATTGGGCTCCAATGGAGGGGTGAAAGACGAACTATTAATACTCAGGGAGGGGTGGGAGGTGGTTGTATTAGTAAATGCTTCTAAGAAATGTAGTTTTTAATGGTTCATTCAAATTTTTTTGAGCGCTTTTTTTTATGTCAAAATTTCTGCGTTGGGTCGTAGCGTTTCTTTATTTTTTTGTCATGCGAATGCGAAACTGGCACCTAGACACTGGACTAAAATTGTTCTTGAAAATATCGCCAATTCCCGTTTTCGATCCTCCACTGTTGGGTCATTGTTGTATCATTACAAAAGTGGAGGATCGAAAACGGGAATTGGCGATATTTTTAAAAATAAATTTAGTCCAGTGTCTTGGCGCCAGTTTCGCATTCACATGACAAAAAATAAAGAAGCGCTATGACTCAGCGCAAAAGTTTTGACATAAAAAATAGTCAGTCGAAAAACCGCTCAAATAATTTGAATGGTTCATTGAAACTCCATTAATCAGTTCAAAATTTACTGGACAGTCGAAATAATTTTTTACATTAGACCTGCATAATTGTCTGCTTTGAAGTTTAACATTGAATTTCAACTGTCTCAAATTGCTCGGCTGTAAAATGCTTTGCATTTGCTAACCCGAGGACACCGGAAATTACAAAGTATTCGTACCCTGCAGTGGAATAGGAAAAGTTCGCCAAACTCGTCAAAATTCTTTCAGGTATATTATATTTCACCCTACGGGCAAGATTACTGAACTGTTTCCGCAGATTAAGAGTTTAACCTACGACAACGTTATCACAGGACCACTGGTAGCCATAACAAGAGCTGATGAACAGAGATTTGGGGAGACTGGCACATTTAACAAACGATCAGCTTACGACTTCTTTGCCGCTTCTGTCCAGTCTCTGCTCGAACATCAATTGTTATTAGGGCTTAGCTGTTTTACATCTAGCAATTACGAATATGAGACGCTTGGCGCCTTGGAAAGACGTCGAACATATCCAAATACCCTCGCTCTAGAACAATCATAAAACCAAAATATTTCATTTTTGTTTTGTCATTTTTGGGGGGTCGCTGGATTGTTCAGGAAAGATTTGTTGGTTCTTTCTAAAACATTTAAAATCACACTACAGTTTCTCCTCTGATATCTGAAAAAGTCTATCATGTTTACATCTGAAAAACACATTTTTTTTTTCATGATGTTTTTGATAAACAAATCAACCTCTTAAACCTGCTTAATTGGATTATAATCCTTGTCAAGCTTTAAAAAAAATTTATAAAGAAACCGGCCTTCTTGACCCTTCTGGATGCAGCCCAACAGAATCTGTGAATAGCCTGTTTACCAGGGGGTGCCATAGAAAACATTTGCCTGTTGAGAGTAAACAAATTTGCCCTACACGGAACCCAAAACATCACAAATCACACCTGAGGTGTATTTTCTCTCAATACGTATTACTATCAATCTTGGGCAAGCGATCACTAATGAAAGATTTCGTCAAAGATATATAGAAACCATTATCTAACAGACTAACCTGGTATTATAGCAAAACACAAAATACCAACAAGAGTACTGCAGAGAACACAGGAGTTAGTCATCGCCATAACTGCTCCAAACTTCAGTATTTTGCTTTGCCCTGGCTGTGCCCACCACCTGCGACTGATTTTGCTAAAACAAGCATATCTCCCTAATAGAACACCAGGGGTTTTGATCACTCACCCAATCAGGTGACGGAATTGCGCGTTCTTGATCACTGTTGAAGGCAGTTTTGTCAATTAACCGAATTTGTTAAGTATTTGTGCACTTAGAGGCATGTCATGATTTCACTAGTTCTTGCCTGGCGCCGAAACATGGAATGCATATGGTCCGAGTTATGGCGTGATCTCAATTGTTATCGATGGCGATAGTTTTTGTCAATAGGCGGAATATTTAAGGTGTCTGCATATCGCGTGATGTGCCGATAAAAGCTGCAGCAGTCAATACTAGACTGGCGGGGACAGGACACGCGATTGTCGTAAAATGCCGTTGATGTTACAGAGCAGCTACCTTAAGTTCGAGTGTTGAAGGGTCAGAGGTTAATTTCTTCTTGGTGAGTTTCCGTTCCCGAATGTAGTGAATTTTCAAGTTCCAAATTCTTAATTAGCTGACTATCGTAATCTTAATCTACCTTAGCCCTTCGCCAGAACGATTGACTAACGGCTAACGCTCGAAACGTCAGCTTTTAAACTATCTACGGTGGCCAAATTACGTTATCAACTCAGTTCAGTGATATTACTAAATTACCCTGTTATACTATCCCACCGACGCAGCACCACAGTTTCTATAGAAACTTAAGCCCTTTTACCATAACCATAGGTCAAGTTGACCCGCGTTTATCTTTAATAGGCAAAGTAAATAACAATATTATGTAATCCAATTGAAAACCAGACATGATATCAAAATATTAAAATCAATTTATCACATGGTGGCCATACAGGAAGCCCAGTGTCTAGGACTTTATATTTGCATTTTACGTGGATCGTGTAAACTTGCGTTTCTTATGAAAACGTATGGGATGAACGACATAAGCCTAGAAATTCTGCCATTTTTGAAAGATTTCGCATCAAAATGACGTACCTTCCACATGTAACTGTAACGAACCGTTAATTCAAACGGCTCCTACAAAACGCAAATTTAAACGGCTCTCATGGGGCCTGGGCCTCGATCCTCCTGAAAAAGAGGGAGAGGAGGAGTCCGTTCGAAGAGGAGCGCGGGTTCATCCCTCGAACAGCGGCTGATAATTGAGCCTAACTCCCACTAACGAATAAAGAGGGTAAGTTTCTCAAGAAACTGTGGTGCTGCGTCGGTGGGAGAGTGTGACAAGGTAATTTAGTATTATCAACTGAGTTGGTAACGTAAATTGGCCACTTTAAAGAGTTTCAAAGCTGACGTTTCGAGCATTAGCCCTTCGTCAAGGCGACTGGTAACAGTAACTCCCATTAACTCCGACCTGACTGATTTTGGCCCTTTCACATTTGGCGCGTATGAACCATTCTTTTCCTCGTTTTTGACGTAGCAAATGCAGCACGAGTGGCTATTTCAGCCTGAATGAAGGCTTCATCCAATATGGCTGTGCTTCCCTGTGACAATGATGACAAAAGCTCTCAATTCAGGGTGCTATTACTCCGTTTACAAAGGCGGTTCCGATCAATTCTTATTGGACTCTTCACCCGCACTGAGCATACATTCCTTGGCGCAGCAGTATCCTTCGTCAATGTTCCAATCCTAGTAGCACTATCACTATTATGTCTCCTCACTAATTTAAAATTTACTGACTCGGTAAACAACGGCTTCCTCCATTCGTGATGCTACAATAAGGAATTGAGACAAATGGAAAAATGAAGTAGTTGATTTACACGAGAGAAACAGTAGCACCACCTTGGTCATCCGTTCCCCGATTTTTTTTTTTTTTTCAGATTTCATGTTTATTTTTTCATTTTGATCCACTGAAGGCAGCTGTGATTTCCAAGATGTAGGGACAGTTTAATGGTCCGTTAGTTAGCAACATATTGCCGATCGCTTAACCCCTGCCTGTAAAACCTGCCATCTTATGCCGTGCCATTGGACACGTTCAAGGCTAAGATTTTAAAAAGAAGGTCGTTATGAAACTTTTAAAATTGCATGGACTTCATTGTGTCAACTCCTCAACATTTCCCGTAAATTACGATTCATTGTAGGAAATACTAAATTCATTTTAGTCCTAAACTCTGACACTTCAGATAAAATTATCTGATCTCCACTCCACAATTATCGACTGCATGTTTTGTTATATGACCGTCTTCGGTTATTCCGTCACTTAGTAACAACTTTTGAGTACTCTCTTCTTTCCTGTGGTGCTATATGTTCATGGCTGAGATTTTCAGGAAGAACCTCAACGGCACGTTTCAAATTGAGAGGACTTAACTTTGAAATCTCTGTAATATCTTCCGAAAAATAGCATTCATATCATAGGTAAACGAACTTCCTTCTATCTTGCAACTCAGACAGTTTAGTTAAAATTTACCCACCTCCGATCAATAATTCGTAACGATTTGTCATTTTTATTATGTTTCATGTAAATCTCGATGGTGTTGGAGACTTTTCATCTAGTAACTCAATATAGTTGAATGAAATCCGCTGGGAAGAAAAATTACCCAGGAATAATGCTACATATCATAAAGAAGATAAACGAATTAACCGTGGGAATACAGATTAACAAGCAAAAACTGAGAGATTAAGAGAAATAAGGAAGGAAAGAAAGGAGCAACATGAGACATGATAAATATTTACTTTGACAGTTTAAGACAACACACTCGGCCCACACTCATTCTTTGCGCTTCCCACGGCCCATATGTGAATTTCCCGTTTATTCTCTGTCTTCCACGATGTTGTAAGTTCCATTAATATAAAAAACCTCACTGTTATCGATCAGTTCGTAGACGATGTAATAAAAGGCAAGGATCTCTAATCATTGGGATGATCAAGCGATGAAAATATTAAACCTTAGCCCAATTTGTGGGGTTTCCATTTTCCATCGAGTGTTTCCGTTTCACGCTGATTGGTGACTTGCACTTCAAGATAAATTCCTTGAAGATAAAGTTTAGGAACAATGTTTACCGAGCCCACTGAATAAGTCAAACTGATGTTAGTGAGTTTTCAAAGGAATTAAACACATTAAGGAAGACTGATCATTACCACGATTGGAAAAAAGTAATATTATAAAAAAATTAGAACAACTGACCGTTTTAGTGTCTTACGACCCTTGCGAAACCGAGTCAAGCAACGTCTCCTTTGTGAGCGAATTGATTATCATTGAAAAATTTAACGCGGAAGGTTATCTGAGTGTTTAAACGTAATGCTTTGGAGGAAAATCAATGCAGTTTTGCCTAAGTATACAAGTATTCGACTTATTTCATCCTTCTTTTTAATTTGAGTGTGGAAAACAAAAATGAAAAATTGTTTATTGTAGCTCACGCCGACGCGGTCTAAATATAACTCTTGAGAAATCATTGAATTGTTCGAATATTCCAACGGAAACTGGGTCTTGACGTAATCAACAGACGTTGATCCAAACGA